GATTAGATTAGATACTGACGAGGTGGGAGAGATATCCGATCGGGTTAGAAACAGCACACAGTGCCTACTACTACTATACTATACTATACTATATATCTGAGCAGTCAGATATATATATATTTAACAGACCAGCAGCCTGCTCCACAGCCCCAACAATCTTCGAAATAATCGAATTCTTTCCCAAGCTTATTCTGCCAAAAAGAGTTTGGGTTTTTTACTAATTTAGGAATTTACTCGGCGGCAAGGGCTTTCCCAAGACTGATAAACCTAAGCTGAATCACTTGCCTCTCCCGCTTTAGTTTCAAAAGTAATATGTCTCAATAAGCCAGTAGTCAATTTATCGGCAATTGATTCTTGGATCTTGGATGCCAGCAGGGCTGCTTGGCATTCTGATCAATTTGTCCGATTATGCTCGCCTAATTTGAGCCAATTGCAGTTGGCTGAAAATGAGGAAAATGATGATTTGTCCGAAGCCATTATTCCATTATCTCGACCGCCCGATCGCATTCCACATCGGCATTCCACAGAGCTATCTCCATCTGTATAGCCGTCTCTGTTTGGAGAACCCAAGGCCATTTACACATTCAAGTGGAACTGAAAACTACTGACAAACTGCAAACGGAAAACTGGCAATTGTTCTGTTTTCGTCTGGTTCAACGTGGAAATTGCACAGGGAGAAATAATCAGCGCAAGATCTCTCGCATTTATCGCATTGAAAGAAAGTTTCACATTATCTTATATTGTGCGAGGAAATACCTGACTTTGATCTTGAAACTCAGCTATTCGAGTTATCTGTCTTGAAAAAGGGCTATCAGGTTGGGTTCCCATGATAAGAGAGGTGATGAAGTAGTTTGTTAACCTTTTTATGGGTGGTTTGTAAACCTCTTTTGGTTCCGCTTTATTAATGCGACAGTAATTAAAACCCCCATTCGACATTAGGTAATTATGTCTAGACACAAGCTGGCTGAGAATACAGCTCTGCGGTCGAACCAAAAACCCTACCCAACGAGTTGCGAATCTAGATAACAAGTTTACACTTATGCAATGTTTACAAATTGTAAATGAAGGAGTAATTGCCAGCAGAGAGCAGAAGCCTTGGGCCATTTTAGTTATGCCAACAGAGTTATTAGCCCCCGCGGATGAGCGTAAAACTATTTGCAACCACTCAGATACTCAGATACTCAGATATCACTGGGTGTTTTTCACAGTGCCCCAATCATTTGATATACGTACGCATACTTGTGGCTCCATTGAGGCGCTGTTCGAGGGGCGTCGAGGGCGAGCTGCTCTCCATCCCGATCCCCATACCCATCCCATCCCCGATCGCGATCACGACCCCCGTCGCCATATCCACGGCATCATCAGCACTGGCAGCTCGATTGAAGGGTCGCGGTTTGCGATTTTTGAAGCGCAGGCGCAGCTCCGTGTTGAGAACGCGCATTCTGTTTCTGTCTGCGATCGGAAATCGATGGGAAATCGATGGCCGCACACACTTCCTCTCCACGAACGAAGCTTTGTTACTGCTGCTGCCTGTGGTTGGGGCACGGGAATTGGAGCAAACGCATCAACGACTTCAACTTAATTCGAACACGATCGCAGCGATCGCTTTTGATCGCTTTTGATCGCTTAGATCGCTTAGATCGCTTTGATCGCTTCGATCGCTTCGATCACTGATCACACAGAACACTCGAAAAAAACTGAATGCTGAATTAGGGATCGCCCCTATATGATATCACTCTGCGCACGAGCTCGTAGCCTTTTCACTTAGTTAACCTGGCTGTGGCTGTGTGTTTATTTTGATTCCGTACAACTAACCGTACGACCAAGCGGCCACACACCGTTGTTGTGAAAATTTCGCGTGCGACTGACTTACCGAGCTGAGCCACCCAATTCAACCCGGCCAACCCAACCCAACCCAACCCAACGGAGCCAATTCAGCCGAACCAGCGAGCGGTAAGCGGTGAGCGGTGAGTGGCGAGCGGTAGGAGGTGAGCGGTAAGCGGTAAGTGGCGAGCGGCAAGCGGCGAGCGGTACGCGATGAGCTGCGAGCGCACAACTTTTACAATCTAATCGCAGCGACCACTGGGCAGAGCCGTCTTCGCCAGGGCTGGCAATCTAGCTACTTTCCCAGCCCCATTGGGCTAGTGCCTCCAAAACTGGCATGGTATTCCCGCCAAATAAATATCACAAAATGGAAAGAGGTGTGCTCCAGCTTAATCATGTGTACAACTACATATTTACATACATTTACAGATGTAAACTATAAATGTTATGTTTTGTTGTTCTGTATAAATCTATTACATTTGAATTGCTTTAATTCCTATTCCCATGGTAAAGCTACTACTAAAGCTTCAATACTTTTTGTGGCAGCCACGCCCGCCTGAATAATACAATTCGAAACAGCAACTAAACGACTGACCGCGAGTGTGACAACCAGTGGTTGTTATCGCCGCCAAGGGGTTCTTATCAGGGCGATGGAAACATTCAAGTCAGCTGGTAACTCCTAGAATTTGCTCTCGCTAAAAAAGGTAAATAGTGAGCGGACTTGGCACACAAAGAAAGACAGACGTTGTCCAAAATTTGTTAGGTTTTTGAAAAGTTAATTAGTATAGCATTCATGCTAAGAAGTCAACAAAAGTGCTGCCTAAACAGTAAAATCCACACAAAAAATACCTGTGCACGTTGATAAAGCTATTTGTTTTGGTCGTTTACTATGCAAAATGAGTTTATTTAAAAGGCCATTCAAAAGAAAACGATTTTTAAGCCCCAATAAATAATTGAGTATCAAGGCAAAACCAATAAAAAATCGACAAAAAATCAATTTGATTCCTATAACTTGCTTTAATAAGGCAACATTCGGTCTCAAAATAAATGAAAGTAATTTCTGTTTGCTTGGACGGACTTTAGGAAAACTATGGAAAGTCCTTCAGGACACAGTGAGCGGCAACAAGTTTTACTCCGCTTCTTGAAATCTGAGCTCCGCTCATTAATTAATCGGAAAGAGCAGTTATTGTATTTGACTTAAATTAAACGTATAAATGGAGAAGCAAATAAAGGTCCTGGAAAAATGAAAATTTTGATTCCATGAATTAATTAAAATGAGAGGCATGGTTTAAGCCAGAATCGAAGGATAAACAAGAGTTAAGGTCAAGAGAGAGCCGAAAGTTCCGGGAATTCAAATGCAAAACGCCGTTTGCCAGCAGCCGGAATTTGTGCATTTTCCTGGAATTCTATGCTTGTTTATTTCGTTTGATTTACAGAGTAATCTATATTAGTTTTAAATCAAAGCGAAGCATTATCTTGATAATTACATTTGCCAGTTTGAGTTTTTCTGAGAATTTTGTAGATATTTAATATAAACGACTGGGCTGGACAATAAGAATTTACAGGTGGAACTTAAAAATGCTATACCCTATTTTTAAAGTTGTAAATTAGCATAAGGGTTTAAGTGCTAAAAATACATTTTATTTTACATACTAATGACAGATGGGGACAAATAGTTCTGTATATTTTGATTAGATTGTTCATGCAATATTAACAATCCAATATAAAATCCAATATTAATTATTTACTAAATTTTACAAATTGATTGCCTACTTTTTTGCAAAACGTAAAAATGTTAGTAAAACCGTGCATTTAGGGTGAAGTCACAACCCAAAGGATAATGGTAGGGTAAACAAATGCTTTTTATAAATAGACAGGACAGCAGCTAACAATGGTCAAACAGGGAAGTTCTGAAAAGGAATCAAGGAACTCCATATGGATGTAGCTTATTTAATTTAATTAAAGACAATACGCTATGAACCCAATTAAAAACGCAGCCTTTAGTCGTGTTCAAAACCATGTGAATTTAGAAGGAATTTAAGAGAGAAGGAAGTGGGAGGTGGAAAATGAAAATAGGAAGAGGAAATTGAAAATTTTCATCCCGTTTTGTGTTGTTGTTTGCTGTCTTTTTCTCCCAATGCTTAGCACTTCTGGAAGAGGCGCAACTGCAACTGCAGCATCTAAAAGTCTAAAAATAGACTTGTTGACAGCTCCCAAAACGAGCAGCAACAACAACAAAAGACGAAGGCGTGGGAGAAGGAGAAGGAGGGGAGTAGGGAAGGAATGTGTGGGAACGTTGGAGGCGAATGCAAACGGTAAACTGTGGAAAATTGGAAGGGAAAATCGAGGAGTCGCAAAGAGAGCGCAAAGGAAGAGCGAGCCCGTAAAATGCGGGGAATACTGACCGATTTTCTGCAGTATATTCATGATGAGTCCGTGTGATTTTGCCAGGATTCACAGATTTTTCTTTGGGCAATTAACATGCTCCTTTTCCCGCAAAGACATTCGGTGTCCGTGGATCGCCATTGCCAAAAAACAACAAAACAAAATAAAACAAAATTCTCTTTCTCTCACACGAACGACCAGTTTATTAGTGTTAGTCTTTGCTCACACACACACACTACAGTATTGTATTTGGATTTGATATTTCGCCCCGTCTCGTTTTAGCCGCTATTTAAATATATATACGACCCGCGTTTCATATTAACACTGCACCTTAGGCCGGCACTATTTAAAAAAAATACAAAAAAATAACAACTTTGAACGCAACAACAAAATGAAGTGGTTGCTTGTAGCTGTGTGAAAGTGTGACCGTCGTACGGTCCTGTTGAAATCCCTTGGTGTTACCGGATTCCTAAGCATCTCGTCTTCTGAATATGCGATAATTTTTGAACCTTCCTATCGATTTAAATTGAAATTGCCTATCGCAATCCGTGCCACAATCGATGGAATTAATGTAGCGCCAATTTTGAGTCATTTGTCTAAACATAGGCCCTTTCATAATAATAGGGAGAATAATCGATAGTCTCGATAGTATCAAACAACAATTTCACTATCTGAGTCGCAAACCACTATATTTAGTATTTTTTAGTTTATTTTTGGTTAACGCATTAGGGTTAAGCGCCAACTCACAGTCTGGTAACACTAAGGCACGGCACGGTACGCGAAGAAATTGAAAAAAGCTGGGATCGTAGTTTGTTTTATTGATTGCATTGGTAATTGCAAAAAGAGTTCGCTAACTAACTTTTACGACACCTGCATCACCGCCGGCTATTGTATGTGACTTTGCGGCGTATTTTCGTGTGTGTGTGTGTGTGTGCGCATTTGCAGCGCTGCAACCTAGATGCAGTTGTGTTAGTGTGTGTGCGAAACTGCTCCTTTGTTTGCCCATAAAAAAGCGGCGTCGCCTTTGCGCAATTGTTGTTTTTGTAGTTGCGCCCCCACCCCCACACCCTTTTTTGTTGCATTTGTAGTTGTCATTGTCATTGCCGCGGCTTGAGCTTCTTCCTCTTTTTCTTCTGCCGGCGCCAGGGTGTGTGCTGCAAAAAAGGAAGAGGAAAAGCGAGAAAAAAGGCAATTCAGGAACTAGAAAAAGAAAAGCACCCCATTTTCCCAATTAATTGCACGCAACTAGAAAGTAATACCCAATAATCGTCTGCTTTATATGCAAAACTTTAGAAAATGTCAATAACTACATACAAGCGGCGGCAACAACAACAAAACTACGTGACCAAAAACCAACCACCAGGAGTGCATTTGTGTGTGTGTGTGTTTAGTGGGCAGTGGGTGAAAACAACAAAAACTGTAGCCGGCTTGTTTTTAGCCACCCCCAACCAAGCGAAAGAAAGAGAAAGAGAGAGGGATGCGGATGCCGCTCCTTTTCGCTCTGCTCTCCCACGCCGCAAACCGTTAGCAGCTCTCCTGCAGGTTGCACCTGTCCCATCTCACTCGCACTTTGCAACATCAGCGCTCGCCTTTGATTTTTGCTTGGCTCGGTTCGGTTTTTTTCTTAATCACTTGACCCCATTACCTGGTGGCTGGCCAATACCTGCTTTAACGCCCCGGCCCCATCCCTCGACGTCTCCTTTTTTCCCAGTGGTCATTTGTTTTGCCGCTTTCTAACAAACAGAAACAGTTGAATTGGCGCATGCTCTCTCTTCGTCTCTCTCTATTTTTGCCAACTGCACTTGGGCAATAACAGTATGGCTTTTGGAGGATGTACAAAACAAAATAATAATGGCAAAATAAAAATTTAAAAAAAATTCATATCTGTCGGTTAATAATGTTCATTTTTTTTATAGCAAACTTTAATTTTCAAGTAATCTGTTTTAGTTTTAAAGTTACCCCATTGAGTGTTCACTGTATTTATCAATTCAATTAAGCGTGAATAAATCCATGAAATATAAAAAGGATCGTTAATGCTTTGGTATAACATATGAACCCTTTCTGCTGTTTAGATCGTACTGTAGTGTTGCCATTTTGGCCGAGTGCTTCTCCCCGCATTTCCTTTTGTGCAAACTGCACTTGGGAAAATTGCACTGGTTTACCAGAAAAAGTGAACCATAAATACAGTGAAAAAAATGTTTGCAACAGAAAATGTTTAAAGTATGGTTTTACTTATCCCAAAATTGGAATCACAGGGGAACCAAAAGTTGAATCACAGGGATCGGTAACCCTTACGTACATATGTATGTATGTTCTATTTAGCCTTACAGCAGGATCACACCATTTTTTGTCCAGTGATTTTCCTTGCCTTTCCTGTTGTTCAAACAACATTGGCACACACACACAAGTGAGTGCGCGAGTATTGGTGTGGCTCATCCGGCTTTAGTGGACACCATTCTTGTCCAGCTTTCTCTTTTCAATAGTCGTGTCGTCGCACTAGCAAGTGCATCTCTCTTTCTTTGCATTATTTATAAGTTTTGTTATCGCCTATTGTTTGCCTTATCGGATGACGATGAGTCAGGAGCCGCAAACCGATAACAAACTGTGGAATGTCCCCCGCGCACCCGCACACATAAGTGATATCATACTTAAACGGCTATGTTTGCCATTTTCCAGAAGCGAAGAAGGTGAGCGAGCGAGCGAGAAGAGAGCGACTGGAGCGAACTAGCCACACTCGACAACCGACCATCGACCAGAGCACATCGTATCGAATCCAATCGAGCCCAATCCACGGTCCACATCCGCCAGAGCCGCATCGGATCAGAATCTGAGCCACAAGTAGAGTAGCCAAAAATGGCCTGGAGATTCAAGGCTTCCAAGTACAAAAATGCCGCACCCATTGTGCCCAAGGCGGAGGCCTGCGTCCGCGAGATCTGCGTGGGCAGCTACCAGACGTACGGAAACAACATCGCCGCCTCCGGTGCCTTTATGGCTTTCAACTGGGAGCACACCGGTTCCAGTGTCGCAGTCCTGCCGCTGGACGACTGCGGACGGAAGAGCAAGACCATGCCGCTGCTCCACGGACACACTGATACGGTGACGGACCTAAAGTTCTCGCCATTCCATGACGGCCTGCTAGCCACCGCTTCGCAGGATTGCCTGGTAAGGATGCGGGGACAAAGATCGGTCAAGAGCCCATAGGCAATCCTTCAGTAGAATCTTTTAAAAGTGGATCTTTTACTTTAAAATGATTCATTTGTTTTAGTTGTATTGCATACCCATAATTATAAGAAAATCATAATGGTTTACAAAGTGATAAGCACAGCAGAAAGAATGACGAACCCTAAAACTCACCCCTCTAATCAACCCACTTCCGGATACGCAGGTTAAGATCTGGCACATACCGGAAAAAGGTTTGGAGCAGTCGTTGTCCGATCCAGAGGCCATCTTCTCACACAAGCAGAGGCGCGTAGAGACAGTGGGCTTCCATCCAACGGCCGATGGCTTGATGTACTCCACAGCCGCTGGTTGTGTGGCTCTCTTCGATCTTAGCACTCAAAAGGAGATCTTCTGTAAGTAAAAAGCAATTACATATGTGGACTAGCGATCTTTAACTTCGGGTTTTCATTGCCGCAGCGAACAATGAACATCCTGAGGTGATACAATCGGCCAGTTGGCGTGAGGATGGTTCCGTTTTGGCCACCAGCTGCAAGGACAAGTGTGTGCGTATCTTCGATCCCCGCGCTGCCGGTTCACCGATCCAGCTAACAGCTGAATCGCACCAGAGCATCAAGGACTCACGTGTTGTCTGGCTGGGCAACCAACAGCGCATTCTCACCACCGGTTTTGATGCGGCCCGCCTACGTCAGGTCATAATCCGTGATGTGCGCAACTTTAACACTCCGGAAAAGACTCTCGAACTCGACTGCTCTACTGGCATACTAATGCCGCTCTTCGATCCAGACACCAACATGCTTTTCCTAGCCGGAAAGGGCGACACAACCATCAACTATTTGGAGATTACGGACAAGGATCCGTATTTGATCGAAGGATTGCGTCACACCGGCGAGCAGACAAAGGGAGCCTGTCTGGTTCCCAAGCGGGCACTCAAAGTCATGGAAGCAGAGGTCAATCGAGTGCTGCAACTGACCTCCAACATGGTTATACCCATTATGTACCAGGTGCCCAGAAAGGTTCGTAACCCTAAACCTCTTAAATATTGGCCAATTAATCTAAAGAGTGTTTCTTAGACGTACCGGGACTTCCATGCCGATCTCTATCCGGAGACCACTGGCTACAAGACGGAACTGGTGGCCAGCGAGTGGTTGAACGGCAGCAATCAGATGGTGCCCAAGATGAGCCTTGACCCCGCCAAGCGCGAGCACGGCGATGAGCCAATTATTGTAAGTTATCATTTTTACAATGGGGACTATTTTAGACGTGACATGTGCAGTGCTAGGATTTTTCGGAAGGAATAGATTTTAAGAAACTTGAAATATTCAGGGTCTTTAGTTAGCATTTGTTCGGTGTATCGTTTAACCGCCATTTGGCCATCAATGCAGATTCATCGCGGCAATCTAAGTGATTTTGTTAAGAACCTGGAGAACCAGCGGGCCAAGAGCACCACCATTGGGAAGCCAACTCCCAATCAGCAGGCCAAGCGCAACGATAACGAGCACTTTGTGATGCTAAACAAGGGCAATAACTTTGAGGAGAAGAACGGCAATGACAACAGCAACGAGAGCAATGGCAAGAAGGGGACGACACCTTCGCAATCGCAGTGCCAGCCGGATGGCGAGTGCAGTGAGCTCATCCGCAAATTCGAGGCCAAATACAAGGTGGACTCGGAGAAGGAAAAGGCCCACGCCCACGCCCAGTCCCAGGAGGACGACAAGGAGTCCCCCACTGAGCAGGAGCATTCGACGGGCAGTAGCGAGGAGCACTCTTCGTCTGGGGGCCTGGATAATCACTCGGCCAGTGGCAGTCACTCGCCACCGAAGCCCATGCCACGCACCTCGCGCAACAATTCCCTACCGGAGGCCAGCGATTCCGCTGGGGAAAGCAGCAGCACCACTACGCCGCGCCCGAGGCCGCGCACCACCGCTGCGTCCGCCTACAAGGTGCCGTCACCACCACGTTACAATCCACTTGCAGGCACTCCTAGTTCATTTTTGATTTTTAAGGGTCTTGTGTTCATATTTATTGATTGCTTTCTTGCCATACCCAAGGCATATTTATGATTTTTTCAAATGAGCCTGATTCTACTAAGTTTTCCCTGAGGTATTGTATTTATAATGTATATTTAGGTTTTTTTGTAATCGAAAAACAATTGGTTTGTTAGTTGTTTGTATACCTCAATGCACCTTTTTTTGAGTGTAGGAGAACCTTATTTTAGATTTGTTTTTCACCCAATATGCTTATGTTACTATTATTATTTTTCTGTAGAAAGTGTCTTTTGATTAAGGTTACTTATTTCTAGTAATGCCTGATTTTTTGATTTTTTTTTTCCTTTGTTTAAGTAGGGATTATCTTCTATAGTTGACACAGTTTCTCATTTTGTTTTTGTATTGGTGGATATTGATTCACGATAAACTTTTTGGTTTTCTATAATCAGTTTATATAGTGGGTATATATTTCAGTTGTTGATTAACGATTATGAAATTGATCCACAGCCACGACTGGGCCCGAAGCCCTTCTCCAGCACCACAGGTGACGTCTCATTCGACAAGGTTTTCGCAGTCCCCCTGGCACCGGGATCCCATGAGAATATATCGAGCGTTGGCCAGGACAGCGGAGTTGAAATGACACCCGCCCAGGGCTCCAAACCGGATCTCATTGTGGAAATCGAAATCAAAAGTAAGGGAACTTACTCTTTTTTCAACTATGGATGTAATTATTTATATGTATTTATATACTTTTTGCAGAGAAACACGAGAGGGAGCCTGTGGTGGCCGGAAACGGAGTCCAGAAGTCGCTGACCACCTCGGAGCGCCGCAAGGTAAGAACGCTTGCCAAAAAGGGTCTATATTGTATAATCTACTCCAATTCTGTCATAACGTTCTGCTCGCCCTCTTTTTACATGCCTGTGCCAACATCAAAATTCGTCTCCCTACGCTTAACTAATTTTGAAACTCCCCCGATAACTTCCAACTAACCCGCCAAAACCAACTTCCTCTTCTGTACTTGAACTACTGCCACTCCTGCAACGGGAACTACTGTAACAACTGTGTAGTCCTCGGCCGACGATGATGAATCATCCGACAAGGTCTGCTAAAGGGTTGCCCCTCGACAATCTCTGCAAAAGCTAATCCCGTACTCGGTTTTCCCCTTGTTCTCTTAGATATTTGAGCAGAACTCGGAGTCGTCTGAGAACTCGATGGAGGGCGACGGTGACCGGACAGACGCCGAGATGCGGCGATTATCCTCCTCCAGGAGCAGCTTCGCAGAGCGGCGGCGCATTTACGAGAACCGCTCCAAGAGTCAGGTGGACGAGAAGCCCCAGTCGCCGGTGCCATTGTAAGAGGGAACTCCAAGCCGCACCGATGCCAGTTATCTCACCGTTTATTGTTTATCCACAGACGTCGCGAGCACTCCAAGGTGGACCCACTGAAGCCCAGCCAACAGCAGCAGCAACAGGGCAATATAATCGACACCAAGCGAATTTCGGTGCCGGAAGGTAAGCTAATGGAGGAGCACCGCCGGGGAAATGGCGCTGGACTCAAGAAATCCGCCACGGAGGCTGCTTTCAGTGCCGCCAGCACCAAGCGCACCTCCACAGTCTTCGGCAAGGTGTCCAAGTTCCGTCACTTGAAGGGCACTCCCGGGCACAAGTCGACGCACATCGAGAACTTGCGCAACCTGAGCCGCCAGATACCGGGCGAGTGCAATGGCTTCCATGCCAATCAGGAGCGCGTTGCTGTGCCACTTTCGGGACCCGGCGGCAAGATTGCCATCTTCGAGTTGAGCCGACCCGGACGACTGCCCGATGGCGTCATTCCCTCGCTCGTGAACGGCAGCAACATCATGGACTTCCAGTGGGATCCGTTCGATGCCCAGCGACTGGCCGTGGCCTGCGACGATGGCATCGTCAAGATCTGGCAAATCGAAGCTGGCGGACTGAGTGAGCCCACAAACACACCCGCCGGCGAGCTAACTGCTCACCTGGACAAGATATACTTTATTCGCTTCCACCCGCTGGCTGCCGATGTTCTGCTAACCGCCAGCTACGACATGACCATCAAGCTGTGGGACTTGCGCACCATGAGCGAGAAGTGTTCAATGTCGGGCCACACGGATCAGATCTTCGATTTTGCCTGGAGTCCCTGCGGCCGGCTGGGCGCCACCGTATGCAAGGATGGCAAGATTAGGGTGTACAACCCGAGAAAATCGGAGACGCCCATCCGAGAGGGCAATGGGCCGGTGGGTACTCGTGGAGCTCGCATCACTTGGGCGCTGGACGGGCACTACATCGTCTGCACTGGCTTTGACAAGTAAGATCCCACGAAATCCGAGTCTGCAAATGAGTGAAAATTTGAGTGCGACTTCAATTGCTTTTCCAGGGTTTCGGAGCGTCAGATCAGTGTGTATAACGCTCAGAAGCTTTCGGCGCCGTTGAACACGGCCAGCTTGGATGTGTCGCCCTCGATATTGATACCCTTCTACGACGAGGACAGCTCCACACTGTTTGTCACGGGCAAGGGCGACTCGACAATCTACTGCTACGAGATCACCGACGAGGAACCGTACATCTGCCCGTTGTCGCACCATCGTTGCACCTCGCTGCACCAGGGCCTCAGCTTCCTGACCAAGAACCACTGTGACGTGGCCAGCGTCGAGTTCTCCAAGGCCTATCGATTGACCAACACCACGATTGAGCCCCTCAGTTTCACTGTGCCCCGCATTAAGGTGCATTTTTGGTGCCCCAAATCAAACAGCTCCTGTATTCTAACCCATTTTCCTCCATCATGTTTGCAGAGCGAGCTGTTCCAGGATGACCTGTTCCCACCCACACGCATCACCTGGAGCGCCACACTAAGTGCCGAGGATTGGTTTGCCAGCAATGACAAGGCGGCAGCCAAGGTCAGCCTCAAGCCAGAGGGCATGGAAACATGTATGTGACAACTACTTTCAGACTCTGGCCAAGCCACTGACCGATTATATCCCTCTTGCAGTATCTTCCATACAGCAAGTGCCAGCGCAGCCCATTAGGAAATCGGATCACACTCAGTTCGGAGGCCAGAAGTCCGAGTACGAGATCAACAAGCAGCAGGAGGTGAGCTCAAACGGTCCACTGGTTGGTGTCCACACTAAAAACCGGACTTTACATTAACAGATCCAGAAGTCGGTCAGTGCACGCATGGAGTTCACCACCAAGCTGGAGCAGGACGACATGGAGGGCGTGGACGAGAACGAGTGGCAGGAGTAGCAGCGCATCCAGCGTCTAAGGCGGACATGAACCATGGAAATCAGTTCACAATTTAGCGTTTAACCATTGGGCGTAATTTTTTTTTACCAATTTAGACATGACGCGGCATCATGACAAACCAGTAAAATGCTCGACACATAGACGGACGTATACTTGTGGGCGAGCGTATATAGAGAACTCGTAGTTAAGCCGAAAGTATAAAACTAACACATTACCCACACTCAAGTACACACACCCTCTTCCCACACCATCATCACCATCATCATCCCTGCATTAAGTTCCTCGCTCCTCCGCCAATTACTGCAGTTGCTCAATAATTGCCAAATTACAAATCATAAGCCAGTTTTGTTCGTTTTGTTTGACGTTTATTTTTGTGAGTGTTTTTTTTTTGTCGGGTGTATTTTATTTTTGATTTACCTTATATATGTTCGTGTTTTTTGTGTGCTATTTAAGTAGTTAGTCCAAAATTAGTTTAGCCTATTTAGGTGTTTACACTTACGAATAATTTTCTTGGTTCTTCTGTGTCCTTCAGTTTGTGTGGCCATATAGGAAAAAAGGGAGGAGAAGGACTTAGATGATACTACTTTTACATATACGCATATGTATTTCCCTCTCAGTTTGTTTCGTGTTTGCATGCGAGTGAGTGAGAGAGAGAGAGAGTGTGTGTGTTGTGTGTCTGTGCTGCCCATCCCCATCTCCATCCCCCTCTTTCGCATCACTGCCACCTTTCTTTCAACACAATCAATCTCATCCGTTGGGGAAACCTGGCCAAATCGAGTTGATGATGCCGCCAAACACCTCCTCTAGTCTTTCGCATCGCTCGATTCCCCGAAGAACCCCATTCATTCCCCATCCAATACAAGAAACTTAAACATATATAGACTGTAGCCAAAAAAAAGAAATGGTGAGAATTACAACCAAGCGAGACAATTTTTGTACTGTAAAATGCGTAAATCAAACAAACTGCAACAGCCGAATCAAACAGAAAAGACATGCAAATGACAAGTAACAATTCCAAAATGTAATGTAAAACGAAAAGACTTGAACAGCGGGTGGGCCAGTTGCCCAGCTGCCCATCTCCATCCTCTGAATCCTCCTCCCCGAACGCCCCCTACTAACAGAATAGAAGAGAAGAGAAGGAGAGAGAACAAGGGGAAAGTAATAAGTTGCCATTAAAACGTAACCGTTTGTAATACGTTAAAAAAAAGAGGGAAGGCAATAGAACGTAACGTAACTCGAGTAGCAAGCATACCCATAGGCAATAACGTTTTGTACTTGCAATAGAATATACATTTACATATATACATGATATATTATATATTTTGTATACCAAGCGTAACTAAAACAGGCCAAGAACTCGAATTCCTGGCTAAATTGACTGATCCAACAGCATAGGGCGAATAGCGTGGCGTATTCAAATTTAACTCTTTCAAAACAGACCAACAACCAATTCTCGGGTAACGGGCAATATTGTGCTAGACAAGGTTCTATTATACAGATATATATATACACACATACCATACGCATAGTTATAGGCATATATATGTACGTCGCAAAGCAGGTGCCCCCCAAGCTGAAGCCCAGCAATTCCAAATCGAAGTCAAAGTTGCATTTAAATCCAAACACCATGGAACGACTGACAGACAGAAACAAAAGTATTCGCTAAACATTCTGATCTTCTGATCTGCCCCGCCCCAAACCCAACCCGACTAGTACTTACATATATGTCAGAGATTATCCCGAAACGAAAAAGCAGAAAATCAAGAATTTCAAAAGGTTGGATGGGATGGCGTTTTATGATTGAAAAGTCCCATGTCCCAATGAGACCCACTCCGAATCAAATCCCCCGACCGCCCGCAGATATTATGTCATTCTGTATTTATTAGCCATATTCGATTACGATTTTTGAACGTCTCTCTTATTTATATTTATATTTATATATATCTATAACAATACCAATATATGAAAATACAACTTCAAGCGATATAAAATACGAAGATAAACGAGTGAAGGATTAATTTATTAATGATTCACAGCGGAAATCGAAGCGATTAAGTGTATGAGTGTAAGCTGAGAGTAGGAAAGATGGAATAATAAAGTTAATAAACAATTAGCAGGAGCAGCAGAATCGGAATCAGAAGCATACACATTATTTATACAATTTATTTTACAGTACGAGTATTTCCGATAACCCCCATCCGATACTCTAGCACTAAGTTATAATTACAATAATACTAATGAAGGCAAAAATATATTTATATACACAATTCAATAAAAAAATCAACGGAAAATATACATTAAACATGAGTTTCTGATTCATCCTGTACTATATTTGAACCTTATCCAACTGGCAAGGAACCAATGATATAGCTTTTTAATCTATATTCAAGTAATGTTCGTTTGGTTGGCTTAAGGCAGGTTTCCTCTGACGTAAGTTTAAGTAATATTAGATACATTTTTGTTTTATTTTTTTGTTGTATTTTTATTTCTTAATTTGTATTCTTTAAGTTTCCAAAGAATCCTTTCGCAGAAAAGTTGGCAAAACGCAGGGCTTCTAGTCCATAACTTTTTTAGTTTATCTTCGATTTTAAAATGGTATGTATAACCTCTATGCAATTGTGGTTTAATTCTACAACAAACGGCATCAGTAAATAAATTTTAATTTTTCGATCCATTTTTTCGTAATTTTTATGATGTAACCCCTTTCCAAATTTCTAAAACATTGACTTCACCGAAAAGTGGTCTTTTCCCTGCACTATTATTATCATAATTTTTTTAATTTATCTCCGATTTCAAAGTGGTATTCCTCTATGAAATTGTATTTTGATTCCCTAACAAACTGCATTAGTTTTTTTTTTTTAATTTATATAATTTAACCCCTTTCCAAAGTTGTTAAATATTGCTTTGCTGAAAAATAGCCAAAGCCCAGCACAGTATACATAAGTTTATAGCTTTTTACATTTTTTCCCCAATGAACAGCATTATTTGTTTAACTTAAAAGTTTAAAATTTTAAAATTGGAATGGAATTATTTTATATGAATTTACTGACCAGGCGGCGACCTCATCGACGGCATAAACTCCGGCGGACTGATCGCCGTGGAGCAGCTGATCCGCGAGCAGTTCGGGGTATTCATGTACAACGACGGCAAGGGCCAGGTGATCAACCGGGCGGAGTTCCTGCGCTGGAAGTACCGCGACCACACCGAGGTGACCATCCCCATCGAGGCGTCGCTGTCCATCCACGATCCGCTGGGCATGTGGGAGAACCACAAGGCCTGCTGGCAGATGCAGTAACGCCGCTCACCCTCGCCTGCAAGCTGGGACGAGCGGAGGTCTTCCGCGAGATGTTGGAGCTCTCCGGCCGCGAGTTCTGGCGGTACAGCAACATCACCTGCTCGGGATATCCTTCTGCCGGATGGGAGGACCAGTGAGTATCATTATACATATAACATTTTATTTATATTTATTTTATAATTTATTTATATTTATAATTTTAACAAAAATACTAATTCCATCACAATTACTTTTTTCCCCTGTTACGATTTCCATTAACTGGATAAATAAGATTGGAACTCCGCTCTGTTTATCATCCTGAATGGAACAAAGCCGGAACATCTGGACATGTTGGATGGCGGCATCATCCAGCGCTTGCTGGAGGAGAAGTGGATGACGTTCGCGCAGAACCAGTTCCTGAAACGCCTCCTCATCCTGTCCACCCATCTGCTGTGGCTCTCCGTGTCGGTTTACCTGCGACCCGCCCACAATGGCGAGGTCGAGGGGAAAGACTCCGAGGGATCCGATTCGTCGGCAGCCGCTCTGCCGGACTTGGAGGCGGGCGACGGAGGCGATGGCGACGGTGGCGACTACAATGCTCATAGAATCGCTTGGTACGGGTCTTCTCCACGAAGTCAATGAGAAGGATCAGGGGAGTGTAGTTCTGGAGGTGCATCAACAGCTCGCGATCGGTGTAAAGATAGCGACCGCCTCTTACGGTCAGCAGGCTCATGTTGCTAGACAGTTGTTGCTGATGTTGTTGATGTTGCTGCTGTTGATGCTGCTGTTGCTGCTGTTGATGCTGCTGTTGCTGCTGTTGATGTTGGAGTTGCTGATGCTGCTGCTGCTACTGCTGATGCTGCTGATGCTGCTGCTGCTGCTACTGCTGATGCTGGTGCTGCTGTTGCTGCTGCTGGTGGTGATGATGAATGACGCCGGTGGCTGGGGTAGGAGTTCCGGTGGTCGATGCAACCTGGCCGGGCATGGCGACCACAATGCCCGTCTGCTTCTGGCAGCCAATCTCCTCCACCATGTGCGCTGCGATGACGACAAAATGCAATTAAGGCAAGTGGCTTAACTAGGCCAAGGTTGCTGCGTGGGCTGAACGGGGCACCACCCACCCTTGTTACTTGTTGCAAATGGAAATGCAAACTGGAAGGGCGGAGGCAGGTGCAATGAGTCCAACTTACTGCGTGCCCCAAACTAAGCGGCGGATGGATCAGCAGGTCTGGGCTTGGTCCGGGGGCTCGGCTCTTGCCCCAAAAGCTCTATAGCTACAGCTCTATGGCTACAGCCATCTGATCCGGCAGCTCTGCGTGCGTGCCGTGCGCCTTGGACGATTGTTGCCACACGAGTGCCTTCCCAAGTCCGAAGTCGGAGCGCTTTCACTGCACTCGGTCTCTTTTTCGGACTCGGACTCGGTGCAAAAAACGATGGGGATGTGGACTGTGCACAAAGGAGCTCGGCCCGTTTGACAATGACCTTATTGGATGCGCTGTGCGCTGCCTGCAGTTCGCAGATTTGTTGCCAAGCCTGCTGTCCACTGCCAACTCGAAATGGTTATTTAAAAAAATGCCAAGCATGTCCCCTACAAGCTATATAAACAACGATACTTTTATAAATAACACATTTCTTTCAAAATAATGGAAGTTAAGTTTTAAAAAAATTCTGGCGCGAATGCAGTACCAACATTTAATCTTTATATATATTTAGTAATTAAAAAATTGCATGGTAAAAAAAACAAAGTACAGCCAGGCTTATATGAGAGAGGATAATTTTTTGAAATGGTCAACACATTACCTTACGAACTATCTGACTTTCTCGTGTTTGGCCAGCCGCAGATCGAACTCGGCCTTGTGTTCATTCTTGAGATATCTCCGCATCCCGACGAGCATGTAGCGCATCTTGGGCGCGGCAAGCACCTCCAAGAGCACACTCATCAGCGCCTGGAAGCTCTCGACGCTGCCGCTTTTGTACTCCAACAGAGCCTTTCCGAAGCGGCGAAACTGATCCTGGCTAACCAAGCTGCGCAGCTGTAACACAAGTTGTGGGAATAACAACTAAAAAGAATACATTCCTCGGATTGTCCTACCTCTCGCAGGAAATCGGTCCTGGACTCGGGCGCCTCCTTTGCCTGCGAACTACTAGGCTCCACCTTGATATTCTCCACCAATTTGTACCGTTTTTTGGCCACCTGGCTGGAACTTTCCGGCGGAGTCGGGGAGCTGCGCTCCCTCTTGTGAATCTTCACCAGCCCAGTGGAATCATTTTTGCTTGCCGTGCAGCAATTGAAATCAATACTCTGAAAGGAGAATATTTTCCTGAGCATCTGAGCATCGAAAATCGTGCGAAGTAAAGCAGATTTGTGGGAAACTAGTGTTTACCGAAACATTTGAGTCGAGGCGACTCATAAAGTCCATGGCATTGGGCGCCGAGCCGCCCAGTTTTCGTCCAGCGGCACTGGCATAATCGGCGGCAGTCCATGTCTTTATGGAATTGGCCATCTCCACTTTACTACAAAATGAAAAAATTAATAATACAGCCAACACAACAAAGGCCAATTCAATTCAAAATGTAGTTTTTAGCAAATATTTTGGAACCACTTACGAAAATAAATGGTGCCAGAAATTGACTTATCTGAGTTAAATTCTGTATACGCCCGCGGTAAAATTCGAATTTCACATTATGACTGGGACAAACAAAACTTGACCATTGTGTTTTCGCGACCGAATTAGTCAAGGTTCCCTATAAAGTTTTTGATTTTTATATTGAACTGCTTCGACACTATGAGATAATAACTTAAAATCCAAAAACGAAAATGCTGACAATAAAAGTCTACATACATAGCAGTTTCATTGGCTTCTTTAAAGGTGCTACTGGAGCCAGGCTCCCTTTTAATTTTGGGAATGGCGCCCAAGGGCTCATCAGCGATCTTGCAAACCGTCTCCAAAGGTGGATCCGACTCCCGCTCCTCAGGCTGTTTCATCTGTGGGTATTAAGGACTTTGATAACAACCAAGAGAATGGTGCAATTCCAGAGTCTCACGTTGGCCTCGGCGTTCTTGAAGAACTGGCGCAGCTCCCTGACGATGGGTCCGAAGGGTGAGCACTGCGGCCGGTCGCCCAGGTGACCGCGAATCCATTTTGACAGCTGCTGCACCTGGGAGGCGTCCTTGAACCGCGAATCGCAGAGAAGAATAGCGCCGTAGTCGTTGCGATGCCGGATCACACGACCGATAGCCTGATTCACGGCCCGCGTCGCGTCCAGGTTGTACCACTCCTGGCCACTTAATAGCTGGTTTTCGCGCGTCCGGTTCGTCTCCAGGTAGCGGCGTTTCAGTATCACCTTGGGATCTTTCAGGGGCGGAAAAGGCAGGCCTGTGATAATCACCGCCCGACCATTTCGGTCGGCAAAGTCCAGGCCTTCGGAGACTTTTCCCCTACAAACGGCCATGAAAACAGCGCCCTTGGAATCGCGAATCGCCTGGTAGAACTCCTCCATCGTACTGGTGAACTGCTCCTTGCCGCGCGGCTCGAGGAAAATAGGTTTTTTGCTCGAGATGTCCGCCCACAATCCACTCGCCTGCCACGCGTCCACGCACTTGTTCAGCATGGGATACGACGGAAAGAAGACCAGGAGGCCGTCGGGCACTATCCGCGACACATTCAGGATCGTCTGTCCCAAGGAGCTGATGTACTTCGGATTATCACTGCAGGAGGGTGGCGAAAAGGATTAGAAGTCGCTATCAATTTGGTGTATCAAAGCTCTGGCGCGAGCAATGCTTACCGGTTCGCGTAGTTAGATATCAACTGCTGACGATCGGGTCCGGTGCCAATGATCTTCACGTACACCTGCGACTGGTCAACAATGTGCGGGTTCTCCAGGTGCTGGGCCACTGGTATCGCCAGCTCCGCGATCAGCGGCTTAAGTGGCGCCAGCGTGCCGCTGGTAAGAATGACACTGCGCACCTGCGTGTTGAGCAGCTGCTCCATGCCGAAACCAGGATTGAAGCACCAGAAGTTCACGATTTTAGCCGCCTTATTCGAACCGATAGAAGTGGTTCCTTTGCTAAGCCAGCCCTGCTGCTTGGCACCCTGCTGCTTTGGCTGTCCCTTATTGGGCTCCTCCACCTGGACGTGCACTTTGAAGCTGGCGTAGACCTTGCTCATCATCTCCATCTTGTTGCCAAACACAATGGTCAGCAGGTCGCTGAGCATGGTGAAAGTGCCGCCCTTGCGGATACTCATCTGCTGGGAGGCCACCATGAGGTACTGCACCAACTTATCCAGCAGAGACACTATCGTGGCACAGTTCCCATGCGTGAACTGAAAAGGGCGGGAAGTCATATCGATGTTCTATCAAGGTAGTGCTTAGCACACAGCTAACATGAGACTAAGAGACACATTGAGAGCTTTGTATGTGTAGTTGCCTTAGTTGCCAGCCTTACATTTGCCTTGCCGAGCAGCTCGTACATCATGGAGGCCGGAAAAGTGGTGCCCTCCGCAGTGTTATCCACTACGATGGCATCTATGGCCTTCTCCAGCTCCAGCAGCATCTCCTTGAGCAGCGTGAGGTCGTCTAGGGTGAAGTCCTTTGGCTCATCGCCGCCCATGTCCTGCGACTCGCCGCTGGCAAACACTTTCATCACGTGCGTGACATCCTCGATGGCCATGGCCACATCGGAGGACCTGATCTGCACCGAAGCGGACTCCTCGCAGATCTTCTCGATATTGTGAGCCTCATCCAGAATAACAATGGTATTCCCCAGCTCGATCTTATTGGCCTTGCGAGCCTTGGGATCGAGTAGGTAATTGTAAGGCATGAAGGTGATGTCCGCCTGGGCAACCAATTCTCGCGAAGCAAAGTAGGGACAAACCTTCAGGCGCTGGCCCACCTTGACCAGGTCCTCGATGTCCATTATGGTGGGACCCCGCAAGTCCGGATGATCCTTCCGCGACTCTACGCGCATTTGGAACGAACAGGTCTTCGAGTGCACCCGCAGCTTGCACATGTTCGTCTTGTTTGAGTTGCCCTGCTCCCTCATGACCTCGGGATGGATGCACAGCTGATCCCGGGAGCCCAGGACCACGGATCGCATGTTGGCGTAGGCCGTTCTCTTGAGCTCCCTCATGGCTTGGCCCAGTTGCGAATGAGTTCGGGATGCGTAGATGACCTTGGGTACGCCCCAGTTATTGGCACGGCCTACGGTCTTCGCTAACTCCGATAGATCCCCGCCAGGCGTATCATTTTGACCCGGCAAGTCGCTCTTCTCCATCTTGAGCATCTGCTGCTGCTGCTCGGACTGGCGGGTGCGAATCCAGGCAAGGGACGAACAGAGCAGACTTAGCGTTTTACCCGTCCCAGTCGGAGACTCCAGGACTCCGTTTGTGCCGTCTCGGAGGCACTGGATCACCTTTTCCATGTACGCCCGCTGCACCGGGTACGGCTCAAAAGGAAAATGCACCGGGATGCCGGCGATCAAGCTTTCCGGCATATTTGCGATTCCCGACAATTCCCGCCTTTATTTTTGTGAATTTTTGATCGCTCAAGGCGGTCTACAATTGTGGTCGATGACGATAGGCGCGGGAACGATAAGAACCTATCGAGAAAGCAAATAGCTCAATCATAGCTTCGAACCAAAAAACTGCTGTTCTGAGGCCATAACTTTTCGAAATGTGATGAAATTTTAAATATATTTTTTTATAACACTCAATAAGAAACTGCGCTTAAATTGTTTTTACGTTGGAGAAGGTCGATTTTTCGCCCTTCTTCATTTCAAATTTTTTAAGGATTCCGGAGGTTTCCAGCAATGTGGCTCAAAACTGCTTCTCTAAAGCCCATAACTTTTGTAATTTTGATCCGATTCGAAATGGCAAAACTGCATTTAAATTTTTCATTTTGGTGAAGGTCGAGATTTTGACCCATTTTCTATCTGATTTTTACAGGTTTTCAATTGTATTAAATATTTTTGTAGTTTACAGAATAGTAATACAGATTCCATAACTTTGACAATTTGAACCTCATTGCAAAATAGCTTACCCAATCGTTTGTTATTAAATTATTGAATAAATTGCGATACAATTTTTAATTTTTGGGTACAAGTTTTCTGAAATGTGCATGCGATTCGCGGGGGCCTGGCAACCCTGCAAATTCCTTTCAAATTCAGCCCCACCCGGGCCTCAAACCTGGTTGAGGAAGAAGGTTGTGTACGTAAAGCGGATTTTTCGCAGATCTCGGGCTGGTCGCTGGGGCGTTCGGCAGCTGGCAACACTTGGCCAAGTCATTCGAATTTTGAGAACTGGTGGAGCTGAATTGCTCGGAAAAGACCCGAAACCGAGAGGAAGAAAAAGCGGCAGCGGACGACGGCAACGCAGCAACGGTGACGAGGCGCGCGAGTGTGTGTGCGTGTAAGCAGAAATTCTGCCACTAGCGAGAGCGAGATGGCATCAGCGACGGTCGTTCGGTCGGTCCGACCGTCAGTCGTTCTCTCGCACCTCGGCGGCGGAAAGAGAGCCCCACATACTCTCGCTATGACCCCGTGTGTGCTTGTGTGTGTGTTTGTGTGCGTTCTCTCGAGGTGGTGATAAATTTCGTTGGCAGAGTAAAAATATAGCAAAGTAAAAAGTATAGCAGTGAATCGTAAATAATTGCAATTATGGAGTGGAGACGATGCTTTTAATGTCAGTGCGTTTCTTTGTTTTTTTTTTCCGGAATCCCTCGCTCCAGGTGCTGTCGGTGTAGTGTGTTAGAGTGTCCTCGTTTTAATTGTAAATCCAAAAAATGTTTAAAGTGGCCATGCGATCCTGACAAGTTAAACTATCCGCATGGCTTTTGAAATTCAAGGGCTTTGGCGGGCAGTCGATACGTGTGTAGAGCAACTCTGGCGATAACGATTGCTTGACGATAGCTCGGCTGCACTAATCAGCATTATCACATGCAAATTAAGGTCATCCAAACGAAAATGACCACCCATCAATGCCTGTCTGGCTCCCCGTGGTTGTGCACCCTTCACCAGCCCCTTTCCGGCGAACACACAGAACACTCTGCTTATCGCCTTTTTATGTGCCGTGCTTTGGCAACCCTGGCGCTGCAGCTGCATAAGTGGATTCCTACGAAGAGCCGTGTCTTATTCTGCCCCAAACAGCAATTTACAGATATTATTGAGTCTTAAAAACTCGATTTCTTAAAGTGCTCGACCCCATCGCCTTTTTTGAAGCGCGTGTGAGTTGTGTGTGAGGCATCGAACACAATAGGCTGACTTGTCCCCGCAGCCACCCTCACTACCACCCACACGGGTAGACGAGTTGCCAGACCAGCGATAAACCACATGGCACATAGTTTAATCCCAGAAATTGCAAGTTTTCCTACACATTTTAAAGCAGCATTGAAAAAAAAAATTTTAGATCCGTGGTATTAATCACTTGGTAAATGTGCGGACATTTGCTCAGCGCGTCGAGAGTTTGTTTGTTTGTGTGTGTGTGTGTGTGAGCGTATGCATATCCATATCCATTGGTGTGTTTGCGCTCTTATTCAAATAGACATTCAATGTTTTGCACTTTAAATCCAAGTTAATAACATCTCGCCTGGTAGTTGCACCTTCCCAGTGGTCCCAATTCCGAGCGTAAGGACATGGGATAGCTAAGTGATCGTTAATTTTATCCCGGCTTTGCTTAATCGCATTTCTGGCATCTCCCTCTCTTTTGGTTGTTATCAGAGATGCTGATTGGCCGCGCTCTTGTCGAACATAAACTCACGATCGTGAGGAATACAATTTTGAGATCGATATACCTTTTGGTAACCTTTTTCGCAATCATAAAACGAGAAAACTGGTTTAATGGTTTTCCTAGGAAAATAGAAAACCTTTTAAGCGTTTTATGATAAAAAAAACACGCTTTTAAATTTCTGTCAATTAAGCTGTAAAACATCGAGTATGCACAATTTACATAATTTTTTGTTTAATGTTGAAGTTTCGGGCACGAGCCTAATCTACCTGTCTCACGCGCCCATCTCCGGGCGACGCCAACAGAGCGTAGTGGTGGCACCAGCGTCGAGTGAATGACTCCGTAGTGGGGCATCAATAGAAAGAGAAGGAGAAAAAGGCATAGGCGAATTAGAAGGAGCAAGGGCGAGACGAGGAGTGATGGCCAGTAAGTGGAGTGGATGTGGATTTGTGTCAAAGCGATTTGTTCACCCTAAATATTTACGGAACCTCTGGGAATTTAATTTAATTTTGCTGTTTAATTAGCACTTGCTTTTATACACTGTGTATAACATTTTTGTGTGATAGCAGTGATTACGCAGTTCCATTATCTATCCATATTTATATATGTACACATTTCCCTTTAGGCGATTGTGCACAGTGCGTATGCGCAACCTATTGATATCAAACAACCAGTTGCATGGCCATTTCTTTACCGTTTCGTACCATTTTTATTTCCACTTTCAGTTCATTGTTGTTGTTCATCCAGTCCAAATGTCAACTGTTTCACGCAACATGTACCATAAAAGCGGAACAGCGAAACGCAGAAAAAGAGCAAATCGATCAAGCCCAGGACAACAACAAAACAAACAAGGAAATCTAGAGAATCTGCAGCAAAAACAACAGAAAAAAGCAGAGGAAGAGCACTGCTAACAACGTAAACAAAATTTAACTCACACTTACACAAGAAGGTAGAGCAACAACAACAACAACAAAAGTGAGAATACTAGAAGAAAAAGAGCAACGGAAGAATAAGGAGAAAGTGCAGCTGAGCTCAGTGAGGAGAGAAGATAACCGATAAAAGATAAAGTAAGCACAGCTTGAATATATAAAAAAATATCAAAAGCAATTTTTATTTAATTAAAAAAAATACTTTTTTTTTCACAAACCTCAATTTGAATGACCGATCTTAGATATTTGGCATTAACAATTTTACTGATAACTTTTGGGAATCACAAAACATTTTTCCTTAAAAATAATTTACATTATGTTGAAGAACGTTTTTTTTTTTAATTTAATTCATTACACATGCACCACTAGCTTAAGATAAATATGAAATTGATTTCTAACACTGAAACTTTCTATATTTTGTCAAGGATTACAGGGCGGGTGGTGGATAGAAAGCAGGACAAACCGCCGCCATGACAATCATACTCTTCCTGGTGGACACCTCCTCGTCCATGTGTCAGAAGGCGTATGTGAACGGGGTGCAGAAGACGTATCTGGACATTGCCAAGGGCGCCGTGGAGACCTTCCTCAAATACCGCCAGCGGACGCAGGACTGCCTGGGGGACCGCTACATGCTGCTCACCTTCGAGGAGCCGCCGGCCAATGTGAAGGCAGGCTGGAAGGAGAACCACGCGACGTTCATGAACGAGCTGAAGAACCTGCAGAGCCACGGACTCACCTCCATGGGCGAGTCCCTGCGCAACGCCTTCGACCTCCTGAACCTGAACCGGATGCAGTCGGGCATCGACACGTACGGACAGGGCAGGTGCCCCTTCTACCTGGAGCCGTCCGTCATAATCGTGATCACGGATGGCGGGCGGTACTCGTACCGGAACGGGGTTCACCAGGAGATCATACTGCCGCTAAGCAACCAAATACCCGGCACCAAGTTCACCAAGGAGCCCTTTCGCTGGGACCAGCGGCTCTTCTCGCTGGTCCTGCGGATGCCGGGCAACAAGATCGACGAGCGGGTGGACGGCAAGGTGCCCCACGACGACTCCCCGATCGAGCGGATGTGCGAGGTGACGGGCGGCCGGTCCTATCGAGTCCGAAGCCACTACGTGCTCAACCAGTGCATCGAGAGCCTCGTGCAGAAGGTGCAGCCGGGAGTGGTGCTGCAGTTCGAGCCTCTGCTCCCCAAGGAGGCGGCCGTCAGTGGCGCAACAGGCGGCGGGGCTGCGGGAACGGGCTCGATATCCCTATCCGGCGCCTCCCTGGCCTCCGGGACGGATCCCCCGCCCGACATCGTTTTCCAGCCGGTGAAGAAGATGATCTACGTGCAGAAGCACATCACGCAGAAGACCTTCCCCATCGGCTACTGGCCGCTGCCGGAGCCCTACTGGCCGGACTCGAAGGCGATCACACTGCCGCCGCGCGACGCTCACCCCAAGCTGAAGATCCTGACGCCGGCCATGGACGAGCCGCAGCTGGTGCGCAGCTTCCCCGTGGACAAGTACGAGATCGAGGGCTGTCCGCTGACGCTCCAGATCCTCAACAAGCGCGAGATGAACAAGTGCTGGCAGGTGATCGTGACCAACGGGATGCACGGGTTCGAGCTGCCCTTTGGCTATTTGAAGGCGGCGCCGAACTTCTCGCAGGTCCACCTCTACGTCCTGGCCTACAACTACCCGGCGCTCCTGCCCATTCTGCACGACCTCATCCACAAGTACAACATGAGTCCGCCGAACGACCTGATGTACAGGTTCAACGCCTACGTGCGCTCGATCCCGCCCTACTACTGCCCGTTCCTGCGCAAGGCGCTGGTCAACATCAACGTGCCGTACCAGCTGCTGCAGTTCCTGCTGCCGGAGAACGTGGACAACTACCTGTCGCCGACGATCGCCAACCAGCTGAAGCACATCAAGAACACGGCCAAGCAGGACCAGGAGAACCTCTGCCTGAAGGTGTACAAGCAGCTGAAGCAGCCCAAGCCCCCCTACCGCCAGGTGGAGACGGCCAAGCTCTGCACGGGGGCGGCGCTGCGGCGCGACCTGGTGCGCCATCCGCTGCTGCGGGACACGTTCGCCAAGCTGCACGCGGAGATAGAGCCCGTGGAGAACTACACGATCGTGGTGCCCCAGCTGACGCACCAGTCGTCCGCCAAGACGTACCGCAACCCCTTCGACATACCGCGCCGGGACCTGGTGGAGGAGATAGCCAGGATGCGCGAGACCTTCCTGCGACCCGCCTCCCTGGTGGCCAAGGACTCGGGCCACTGCCTGCCCATCGCCGAGATGGGCAACTACCAGGAGTACCTCAAGAACAAGGATAATCCGCTGCGCGAGATCGAGCCAACCAATGTGCGGCAGCACATGTTCGGCAACCCCTACAAGAAGGACAAGCACATGGTGATGGTGGACGAGGCGGATCTGAGCGATGTGGCCCCGATGAAGTCGCCGAATGGCAACGGACCGGGCGGAGCGCCCCCGGGACCGCCTCCTGGATCGGGCTCGCCCACTGGAGCGGGACCCTCGTCGCCGGGATCCGCGCCGGGCGGAAGCGCGGGGCCCGGCATGTCCGGAATGGGCGGCGGAATGTCTGGGCTCATGCTCGGCTCCGGCGGCAGTGGCGGCTCCTCCAAGAAGCTCGACGGCACGTCCAGGGGGCGAAAGAGAAAGGCCGGACCGCTGCCCCGAGGGTTCGAGTTTCGCCGCATGTCCACGGACTTCCGGCCGTCCTGCTCCAGCGTCGTGTCCTCCACGACGGGCAGTGGGCCGAGATCCCCGTTGCCGGGGGCCGCGTCGTCCGTCGCTGGCTGCGACTCCTCCTCTGCAGGAGGCGACGCCAGCTCCAGCTCCAGCTGCTTCGACGAGGACACCAATAGCAACAGCAGTTTCGTGAGCTCCACGTCGGAAGCCTCCTCGAGTGACTCCGGGATGGCCATGTCGCACACGGACCGCCTGGGCATTGCCTTCGACTTCAACGAGGAGGAGACCAGCGACCAGGACACGCCGCTCAACGGCTACGTGCACAACTTCATCAACGGGATCAGCGATGACTCGGCCGCGGGGGAAACGGATGCGGTTCCAGGCGGCGTTTTAGTACCGGGAGCGTCCGCTGCCAACGAGCCGCCTGCTGGAGCGCCGGTGGTGGTGGCGGCAGCGCCAGTGACGTCACTGATCCAGGCCAGCAATGGCGGAGACGTTTGCTCCGCCGCCGCTGCCAGCGAAACTGGTGGAACCAGCTCGAGCAGCGCTTCGTCGGGAGTGCTCTACGTGCCGCTCAACGGGCTGACCACCCATGCCGCCTACAGCAGCAATCTTGGCGTCCTTAGTTCGCCGCTGGACAGCCTGAGCTCCTTGGGTGGAGCGGCAGGAGCAGCAGGAACGTCGGGAACGGCAGGAGGGGGAGGAGCGGCATTGCTTAGTGGCGGCAAGCCGGGCACGCTGCCGCTGGCCAATGGCTATGGACACGCACACAGCTCAGCGATCTCGCCACCCTCGCCGTTGTCCTTGGTGCCTCCGTCGCCGCTGGGAGCAGGTGCAGGAGCAGGTGCGCCCGCAGTCGGCTCCACGGGCCTGTCGAGCAGCTCCGCCTACTTCAGCCACAACGACATCAACGACGCCTCGGAGATCTCGCGGATACTGCAGACCTGCCACAACGGGACGAGCAGCAGCTCCTCGGGCGGATCCGGCGCGGTCAACAGCAACTTGAATGGCAACGGCAGCTCGGAGAGCGGCGGCACCTCGTCCGACGACCACGCCTTGCTGGGCGTCAACAGCTTCGACGCCTTGAAGCGCACCGCGGGACTGGTGGGCGGCACTGCGGCGGGCAATCCCCACTACTACTGGGCCAGTGGCCTCAACCACCACCACAACAACAGTAACAGCAGCAGCAATAGCAACAGCAGCAGCAGCAACAGCAGTGGCGCGGGAACAGCGGCTGGCTCTGGCTCTGGCTCGGTCCCGGCGACTGGCAACAACCTACACTTGAACCTTAACCACCGGGCGCACAACAACAGCAGCCCCTGCAAGCTGGAGGGCAAGGGCAGCTCCAGCTGCGGCTCCTCGCCGACGCACAACAACGGGGAGGCGAACTCGCCGAGTCTATCGCTGCCCCACATCCTCAGCGAGGAGCAGCGCGAGGCGGCCCGGCTGCACAACGTGGAGCTGCGACTGCAGATCTTCCGGGACATCCGGCGACCCGGACGCGACTACAGCCAGCTGTTGGAGCACATGAACCTGGTCAAGGGCGACCACGAGATGCAGTCCGACTTCGTGGAGATGTGCATCGGGGAGTCGCTGCGCTTCCGCCGGCACCGCATGGTGTCCAGCATCCAGGAGTGGTGGGACCGCAAGCAGCAGTTGCAGGGAGGAGTCGCTGCTGGTCCCGCCCTGCCAGCTGGTGGCCAGCCCGCGGAGCAGGCCGTCGCCAAGAGTTAACGATGGCTCATGTGGTACCACTGAGCCCGCGGGGTCATCAGAACCATCTGTCTGTGATGTCAACGAAACGAAATCGAGGGAGGAGGGAGCAGCCGCAGCAGCAGCAGCAGCAGCCGCAGCAACCACTGCAGTTACTGCAGTCAAGAGTTCTCGTCAATTTTCAGTATACTGTAAATAAATGCCGGGACGGCCCTCACAGCTTCTGGATCGGGATCAACGCTGGGAGATATAGCCACTATATCTATATCTGTATCGCACACCAAGCCAACCAGCAACAATAATCAACAACAAAACCAACAAGCAGCAACAATTCTAAAGCAGAGCGATCGCCACATTTTTGGGGTCGATCCTCGGTAATTAAGGAAACTAGTAGTTTTTGTAGGCCGCTCGGAGGAGTCAAGTCCACTCACCAGTCAGCCCGCTGGTATCCATGTAATTGTACTATATATAAATACTTAAGCTAGCTGGTAGTCAACGATAACGTCTAAGGAAAAATAGCGAAAAGATTTTGTAGAAGCCGTTTCAGTTGTATTTTTTTCTACCTAGTGATACATATACTATATTTTTCTTTTGTACAACCAAGAACTTAGGAAATATTTTAAATAGACCTTTATTGGTAACAGTGTATATTGTATGTGTATAAACGAAAGGGAATGTTTAGGAAAAGCTTGAGCTTATTGAGCCTCACATTTTAGCCAATTTTTGTTGGATCTGTTTCGAGAAAACGTAAAAAATGCAAAACTACACATGTATTTATAAATATAAATATATTTAGGCAATAAATATGTATATAAATATGTATATGTACAGATATATACGTATATTTATTGCCTAAACTTGGTCGGCGTTATATTATCTTAAATAATCGTATTATTTCTTTTTTTTTTTTAATCTTATGTAACGTAAATTTAATTTAATAAGAAAATTGTGAGCGCATAGGTTAAAGAACAATAATTTTTGAAAGGCAGGCAAAACAATAAGAAAAACGAACCGATTGTTATATTTTTTACGTGTATGTTTGTATGCATGGCCTGTGAGCAATTGAGTAATAACAAAAGGAGGAAACGTGTACTAGTAGTTAGGCGCAGGACAGTGATTTTTAAACTGCTTCAGGATTAAATAATTATGTACAATTTATAGTATGCGTATCTAACAAATTTCATAAGACATCAGACAACAAAAACAGTGAGCAGCAGCAAAACAAACGGAAAACGATGCGAAATCAAACGAAAATAAAAAGAGGAACCATTGCACTCCGTCATTATGTGTTGGGGGGAATATCTGCCAATGATTCGAAGCACCCCCATTCCTTTCCCCAAAGCGTTGGCGACCATCATCCATCTTTAAATGACCCCTTTTTTTATGCTCGTCCCAAACCCTCTTATGAACCACTTCTTGACTACCTGAATTTGAGTAGTAAGTCGATTGGTAGAATGGGAAGTACTCCAGAGTTTTTTTTTTTTCTTAAGAAACCTGATTTCTTAATAATAATAATTAATATTAATAAAAATTTTTTCAAAGGGTTTATTAAATTTCCTCAAAGTGCAATCCCTCAATCGTCCGTTACAACATATGTACATAAAGCGGAGCTTTTACTGCTCATGTTCAGGTTGGTCGAGCTGCATAGTGGACAGTACTAGATAACTTAAATACATCTTTAAAATGTTTTTAAATACATAATTATGTTTTGTCGATTGTTTTGTTTGCTTATTGTTATTGTTTACTCTCACAGAGTCGTTCGTCACGCTTTTAAATGTTAAGGAATTTCTGTTAGGGAACAGGCCAATCTGATGTTCCAACCAATATTTCGTCGGGTTGAGGGAACGGCTTAGCCGACAAGCTTGAACAAAATTGAATTTTAGTATTTATCGTCAGATTTCTCATTAAAGAACTACATACCTTTTTGGAAAACTTAAAATCATTATAACAGTGACAAAACTATGTGGCACTGTTAAAAATTCGTTGATTTCTAGCTCTTCTTTATGTGAGTACGTGAAAGGCTAGCCGAGTTTCAATCCACGATTTGCCGGTGCAGAAACAGGCTTTGTAGGGAAAAATTAGGCAACCCAGTAAATCAGGATTTTGGGCTTGGCCTGGGCTGGTCGACGACCGTTTGGCAACACTGTTTCGGATTTTCGACGACAAAACAAAAAGCGGCTAAATTGCGCACAATTACGGGCAAATTAATGAACATCATTCGACAGGGACTAAACGCAAGCTTAAATGCGCGGCGCGGAAAGACAGGCGGAGATTTAAATAAAACACAAACCTATTTTTTTTCGGTGGGTGCGCGTGTGTGAGAGCGAACGAGGAACGGAGTTTCGAAGGAGAAGCGGTGCGAAAGAGGAGGAGAAAAAGTAAAAGTGGCGGTGCCTGTCTCTATACGCGTGTGTGTGTCAGTTGTGTGATCCGAAAAGAAGTTGCAGAAAACATTACGCAAAAGCAAAGCGGGGAATAACCACAACAAAAGATATTGTGCAAAAAACGGAGTGGAAGGGGAGGCGAAGTCGAGGGGAGCAGAGGTGTGAGTGAGGGGAAGAGGAAGGGGAGAGGAGCCCCCTCCGAGCCCTTGAGTGCGAGCGAGTAAGAACGACCGGCGCAATGAGCATCGTTGGCGAAAACCACCCTCTCCCACCTCAACCCCCAGCGAGCACAGTGGTGTCCGCTCCAGCAGGAGGGGGCGTCCTGGGCGTCGGCGTGGGTGTAACCACCGCAAACGGACCCCGTGTCGTCACCATTTACAAAACAGAAACGGGGTTCGGATTTAATGTGCGCGGTCAGGTTTCCGAAGGGGGTCAGCTGCGCTCGATCAATGGCGAGCTATACGCCCCCCTTCAACACGTGAGCGCCGTCCTTGAAAATGGAGCCGCCGAAAAGGCGGGCATCAAAAAAGGCGACCGCATTCTGGAGGTGTAAGTATTGTCCTCGCTTTGTAATTAAATAACTCTTTAGAGCACTGTAAGCTCAGAATTATTATTCATCACTGTTACGAAATAAGTATGTAAAAATGTAAGCTTGGCCACTCGTTAAAAGCATTTGACCCCCGGTGCATATTAAAAACATCGAAAGCAGTGAGCTGAACTTCGAAAAGAAATCGGTAGAATAAGCTTTTTGAGCTAAAGTCTTGCAGTATTTGTTTTTTGGAGTCCTCAGGGGTTAAGTAGGTTAAGTAGTTAACCATACGAGGAGCTTGCATGTCCAACCTCTGACCTCGTTGAGCTTCACTGGGTAAGGGAATTGGGATTCAAGTCATAGGTGGGAGTTATCGTACAGTGGGTTGTAAAAGCCGGGAACATCACTAACTGCCTTTGCATTTCAGGTTTCAGGCTTTGAGACAAATGTAATGATTATTACTTTAATTTGTAAGCATCTTCTTTTGCCATTTCATAAGATAGAATCAGCAATTGTGCCTTTTTTATTGTATTGTATTGTATTTTTGTACATACTATATGTACGTATGTTCTCTTGATTGGCATAATATTATGACACACACACGGATACTTATGCGAACACTATCGCACACAGGCTAATTAAAATGTTCACTTGTATTTATTTTATATTTGTTTTTCTTTCTTCCAAGCTGGTCTTTGTCTCTCGTCTCTTTCGCTCTCTTTCTAACTAAGCTTTTGTTAAGAGTCTAAACATTTTAGTTCCAGTACCCTTAATCAATGCGCATCTCCTCTCCTTTTCTCCCCTCTCTTTCGTTAATAAACAAGCTGAATTCAGAGAACTGCGAATAAGTGATTACTGTAAAACTCCAACATGTTCATGATATCAAACATTTTAGCCACATAAGAGGTTTCGCTGCCGCAGATAGAGCAATAGGGGCAGGTTTACTCCCCTTCTTGCACATGACAGCCTTGTTTGAGATGATATTCAATTAATAAGCCACCTAACTATTTTCGTCGTATTCTCTTCGGCTACGCAAAGCTGGAAAGTGTTCCACACTTTTCCACGTTGTCACGTGCAAAGAAGAAGAGCGGGGAAAGGGAGTGGGGCGGGCGTTGTCCGTTATGCGGCTTGTTGCTGCTGTTTGTAGTTCCCCTTGTTTCATTATCAGCGAGAACAACAACAACATTATATATAATTCGGCTGCGCGTGAGTTAACAAAAGCAGGGGCGCAAGCAAAAATAACGAAAAAGCGCAAACTGCAGAGGGCAAGCGAAAAGCAAACGAATTTGCATGTGCGCTCATCCTGCTTCGAAGTTCGAACCACTTTGAAAGTGAAATGAAAGGCTGGCCTTATCTGGGAGTCGTATTCTTCCCATTGGGCACTGGTACCTGTGCTTTTTAATTTGAGTTTGAAAAACATTTTGTCAGCTTTGGCAGATTGATGTGCTTATCACCACTAGATGAGTCTAGTCCACAGCTCCTGAGTGTTTTTGCGGGGCGTTCCTCTCGCTTCGCTGGCCATCGACCACGCCCATGAATTTGATATCGGCCACCTCAGTCGCAGAACCCCATTGCTCTCCATGCTCGGGTGGCTATCGAAGTTTCCTGGACCACCAGTACCGCAGCAGCGACCACCAGCTCTGCGGCAAGTCGTGCGCCGTGGCCAGATCGAGGGGCGTCTGCCGCCAGAGCGTGGGTGCATCGTTGCACAGACTCCCGTTGCACCGCACGCAGTAGGGATCGTTGGCGGAGCACTCCGGCACCTCCCCTGCGCAGCCCCGCACCGTGTAGATCCCGTCCAGCCTGCTGAGCACCGTGCTCACGCACAGCTCCGTGGGACTGGAGCAGTTGCTCGTGGTCATCGCCGAGGGCAGGTCCATGGCCGCGCAGTCCGCGTCCTGGTCCTGGGCATTGCAGCGGTAGCAGCTCCGCACGGAGAAGCGGTTGCAGGAGTCGGCATCCCGGCACAGCTGGCAGCTCTCGCCGAGAGCAGCAGGAGCAAAGTCCGCGTCCGCACAGCCCCGTCGCAGGAAGGTGTCTGCACAAGGGAAGAAGTTGGTGGTTACAAGGGCACTTGGAAAGGAGGATTACTAGGAGTACAAGTACATATCAGTGCGGTGATTGCACCCCCCGATTTGGTTTGGCGATTGAAACTCTCGCAAGCGACGGTTTATCGATCGATGCAACCACGTTTTATTTGGAAAAGAGCCTCCACTGGCTCGGAGCCTAACCTTGCTCGCAGGAGTAGCAGGCCGCAGTGCCCGGGGCGCACTTCTCCGTGGGCAGGTTGCGACCCGCCCGGCAACCCGGGTCCGCGGTGGAGTTGCAGGCCGCGCAGACTATGTCCTGGCAGCCGGCGTTGCACAACTCCCCGTGGCACTCGCTGAGCTCCCCGGTGGGGTAGAAGCCCATCGTCGTGGAGCAGCCCCGCTGCAGGACCTCCGTCTGGGTGTTCCGGTAGCTGAAGCAGTTCTCCCGGTGCCCGTACATCACCTTGTTCACGCAGTGGGCCACGGATGCGTTGCTCAGCGCGCACTGCGGGAGCTCCTCCGGCGCCTCCTGGGGGTCCTGGTCCCGCAGGCAGTCCGGGTTCGGGGCCAGCCGGCTGTGGGTGCACTGGAGGCAGCGCGACTCCGTCACGGTCCGCTCCACGTTGCACCCGTTGTAGTTGCACTTGAGGCACACGTGCGGGCAGGTGGTCGGCAGGTTGGTGTACTCGCAGCCGCGCTGGGTGTTGGACAGGTGGAGCACGTTCGTGTAGCAGCGGTCGTCCTCCCGGTAGACCGGACACGGGAGCAGGTACTGCGGCTTGTTGGCCACGTCGATGCACTCGGACCCGCTGCACTGGTAGCACCGCAGGCGGTCCGTGGGATAGACGTGCCGGTTGCACAGACTCGTGTTGCACCTGTCGCAGGGGGCGGCACAGTAGCCATTGGGATAGAGGCGGGCCAGGCAGCCGCGGCGCGTCAGTCCCGCCGATATCGAGGTGACGCACTCGTCGCCCTGCTGCAGGCAGTCCTCCACCTCCAGCTGCTGACCCGGTCGGGTGGCACACTCCGCGTTCTCGGCGGAGTCGCAGGCGTAGCACTCCAGGGCGTTGGCCACGGCCAGTCCGAGGATGAGCAGTCCGAGCGCTGCGGGGAGAAGCCACTGCGAAGCCAATGTTCCTCTCTTGGCCATCGTTCAATCGGTTCCGAGTTGCTGTTCAGACTGGCGGACAAAGAACTGGCCAAGAGCTGGCTAAGAATAATGCAGGCTACACTGCGATTAGATTGGCTTCTCAATCTCAAGTGGATCTTGGGTGGCTCTGACTGCGCGGCGAAGTTTTCGAGTGGATATATCTCTGATGGTTGGGAAGGCGGTGCAGATTAGAGGGGAGTGCCACTGGTTCTGTCCTAAAGCAAACCGAACTGGATGGAAAGAAGAGTTGCATGAGTTCCGCGTCTCGTAGGAAATACTAGAAGAATTGAAATCCACAAATCCCACAAATTCCACAAATTCACACTCCCACTTAGCTAATCAAATTGAATCAAGAAATTCCTTGGACAATTTGTGTAGGGTCTGCTGACTACTCACATACTCGTGTATGGAACCCAATTCGTTTCAACGAGAAAATGGGCCATCAATTGCTTATTTGCTAAGGCACTCGCGTAGTTTTCGGCCAGAGAACAATCGGGACTTTGTCCATTTTAAAGTGAAACGGATTTGGCCAACTGACTGGAAGCAGATGTCGACCCAAGGGGTAATCCCAAAAAACGCTAGATGACCTCACGAACCCTTTGAAGCCGCCTTCTGAGCCACGAAGCTGGGAAGCAGAATGGATATCCCCGAATGGATACTTGTGGGTGGATGACATAATCTAGGACTTCATGGACCACTGACGGTCTCTTCAGCCATCTCCCGTCTTCCGTCTTCCGTCTGCACCTTTTGTGCGACTCTGTGGCACTTGGCCACCTCGCAGTCCACTCAACATTGTACATTGTACAGTGTACATGGTCGTGGGCGGAATTAGATCAATGGGGATTAGTACTTCCAGTTTGCGTTCCGTTTCGCTTTCTTGGAGGTTCTCGTTAAAAGCGTCCATGCCAAAACAAATGCACCCACATAAGCAGAAGCATTAAGAAGGTATCTGAAAAGCAGCACTAAGAAAGAAAACAGGAAAATGTGAGGGTGCTTCCGCTTTCCGTTCCTTCGAACGTGACATTCATTCGCATGCAGATTTGCTTTGAGTGAGAAGAGTTTCTGCGAAAGGCAAAACGCTGTCCAAAATCCAGAGTCCCTAGGAAAAGGCAGCCTCCCTCAACAGGTTGCTTTGCCTATTTGGTTTTCTTCTGATTTAATTGACACCTAAAGATCCTTCTTAGTTCCTGATCCGGAAATCTCCTTCATGTTTCCCTTCAAATCTATCTAAATATCTACCCTCAAATTAACGAAACAAACAATTCAAAGTTCATCTTCCCGGGCTTGAATAAAATTGAGTGTTTAACGTCTTCACACACGCAAGTGCCAGACAATTTTCCAACTCAAACTTGCCACATGAGGTGGATGGATGTTGTTGTGGTGTGTGGCTTGAGTTATTGAAGGGTCATTAGCTGATAAACGTCTTTGTCCAGCCATATGACAGCCCATTACCCACAACAGGAGTAGTGGGTGCCACACAAAGACCTGGGTGATACCCAAAAGTTCGTTGAAACTAGTCTTCGGCATTAACAAGTTATCTGGGAGTCCATCTAGGTAAGGTCTGATCTTGAAAGTATTGTACAATATGGAATAGGTCACTTGAAAGGCGGGTTCAGCAACTTCTAGAGGAGGCCAGTAATTCAGTGGCTACAGTAATGGGTATCCTTAAATCGGGACTTCAGTTCTTGTGTGCTCCCTCGAATTTTTGTTTGCGGTTTCGGTTCTGTGTCAATGTTGTTGCTGTTGCTGTTGCTGTTGGTTTGTGGCATATGCCCCGACAATAATCAATAGATTTGCGTCACTGGATGGACGGCCAATGGATGGGGGAGTCCAATGTGGTCGTCGTTGTTGCGACTTTGTTGCCCGTTGCCTGGCTCTGGCTGGCTGGCTGGCTGGCTGGCTGGTTGGTTGGTTGGCTGGCCCACATTTCCGCATTTCCTAGAGCCACGAGACTTCGGTGGCGGTTTCAGGTTTTCATGTTTTCAGGTTTCACTTTTTGGTTTCGTTCGGACTAAGACAGAAATAAACACGACGGACGGAAAGCACGGGGGTTGCTGCCGTCGAGTGGGGAAAACACATCAAACAGAAACTGAAACAGAAACAGAAACGAAAATTAAGCGGTGGAAGGACACTTGTTAAGCACTCGTGTCAAGTCCTCCACCGGACGGACTCCTGTTGGGCTTAATTAATTTTCGATTTCCATTCCCGCTAATGGAATTACATTTTAGTTGGCAGCGAGTACGTGTCCCAGGTAAATTAAAAGCAAACATCGAACGCAGACATTGAACAATGCCGGCTGCGAGTTCCGGGGGATAAGTACGAGCACAGATTTCGCGCTCCACATTCCCTGCCTATTTTTAGATATTGAACCACTATTTCCATTCTATTTATTGCGTATATGCGAATTATCTTTTCATTCTGGCCGCAACTTTTGCAAATCTGTACGTAAACAGTTGGTCGCTTTGCTATTTGCTCGTCGGTGGCTTGCCCAAATTAAACAATTGCATTCTCCGCAATGTTCATGTGGGCACAACGCAGGAAAGTTGTCCAATTAGGGCGGAGGGCCAGCTTGCCATAGACAATCGCGAGTAGGCATTGGCCAACATGAGTTCAGAGATATCCCTGGTGTTTGCAGAAGAGCAAAGGAACAGGAGCGGAGAAGCAGCTTGCTTTTCGGGTCAGGGGATCCGGGATTGCATCTATTGAATCCCACAAAGCCATTCAGTCTTGACCAGCTCACCCACTTAAGCTGTTTCGCGGGAAGACTTCGACAAAAGACGCGGAACAATCAATGGACATCCAAATGGTAGTCGCCAACAAGACAAATTTGCCGCATATTGTCGAACACAATTAGGAGGGAAAGGCATTTGCATTCGCATTCGCATTCGCATTCGCATTCGCCTATAAATAAATGCACAACACAGAAAGCTTGTGTTTCTCTCTCGGCCTTTTCTGCATTTGTGAGTTTCGTCTCGTTTTTAACTATTTCTGCCGAGTGACTGGGCTCGCTGGCAAACTGGCAAACTGGTTTCCGGAGTAGCGTCTTGGTCTCAGTTTCAGTTTCAGTCTCCTGCAGCTCTCCCCCTCCTCTTCCTCTTCCTCTCTACCCTCTCCTCTTATCGGCCACTATAATGCTGCTATATGCTGTGTTGTGTGGAATGCCTGGTCCCCGATTTCCGACATGTCGCTATGTGAGTCACGCTGGGCTCTCTGGAGCTTTGCGAGCTTCAGAATGCCTCAGAATGCTTCAGAATGCTCCGGAGTGCGTCACGTTGATAGCTGCTGCGATTTGCTTACTTTACTCTACTTACTTACTTGTGCGGTGCAGCACGGATGGCAAATGGCAAATTGCAATGTCAGACAACTCAAGGGAAGAGGAGGAACTGGAGGAGTGGAGGAACTGGAGGAGGTGCACGCGGGTGGACTCTGCGCTTATCACAGGCCTTTCCATTTGTTGTTCGCCTTTATTGCTATCAAATTGATTTCACTTAATGGGGTTTGTATAATGACATTTGCTGTCGTTCCCTTTGACTTCGAGGTCTGCTCAACGCACAGTAGTAACTACTCAACTGCATTTAATACACATTTCTTTGTGTAGTTATTCAATCAATGCATTTATAATCGCCGAATGATGGTGTTCCGTCGCTGGCCTTTTATCTTATCTTCTCCTCGGTCCCTCGTTTGACGTTTGTCGACCTTCAGTTCCGTTCGAGAGCTTCGATCGCTGCGATCGCTGCGATCCTAGATAGGTACGACCCGTGTACTACGCGTATGCAGCACTCGACGCGGTTCCATCTTGACCCGAATCGAATCGGATTGAGTGGAGCGGCCTCCTTATCAACGCTCCTCCGCTTCTCCGATGGCGGTGCATCCACCCGTTATCGGCGCTATCTGCGGATCCGCGGATCCGCTTCCCACTGCCATTGTTTTCGCTTAAATTGATCTGTGGTCGCAGGCAACGCCCTTAATTCGCCAGTGGCGATCGCCCAGAACCGAGCGACTCACTCCCCGACTCCTCCGCTCCACTCTGCCCACTGTCCACTAACCACTATCCACTCGGAATGCTGCCCTTCCACTCGATCCAGTTTGCGCAGCTGACTGCCCTGGAGAAACGCTGCCACCGGTGCGGTCCTCCCATTCGATTCCTCCTCCTCTTCCGATCGGATCGGTGTCCCGTGTCCAGGAACAAAGTCTCACGAATGCTCTCCGTTCCGTTTCCCTTGCAGAAATGGCGTCAGCGTGGAGGGAGCCACCCACAAACAGGTGGTGGACCTGATCAAATCCGGCGGGGACTGCCTTACTCTGACGGTGATATCAGTGACTCAGCAGGTGAGTGCCTTCTCGTCTTAAAGGAGCTTCTGACCGCCATTAATCCGTTCCCATGTGCCCCATGTAGGAAGCCGACCGACTGGAGCCGCAGGAGGACCAGAGCGGCTACTCCTACATCGACTACTCGGACAAGCGCTCGCTGCCCATCAGGTGGGTCCCTCCTCCTCCGACACCCTCCAATCTCGTCTGACCTCCTCCCATCTACTCTCCTCCGCAGCATACCCGACTACGGGATCGTGAACAGGAACGGCGAGCGGTACATCGTGTTCAACATCCACATGGCCGGCAGGCAGCTGTGCTCGCGCCGCTACAGGGAGTTCGCCAACCTGCACTCGCTGCTGCGCAAGGAGTTCTCCGGGTTCAACTTCCCCAAGCTGCCCGGCAAGTGGCCCTTCCAGCTGAGCGAGCAGCAGCTGGACACGCGCCGCCGCGGGCTGGAGCAGTACCTGGAGAAGGTGTGCGCCGTGCGGGTGATCGCCGAGAGCGACGCCGTGCAGGACTTCCTCACCGACACCGAGGACGACATCTCCGCCTCGCCGGTGGACATCAAGGTGATGCTGCCCGACCACGAGGTGAGCACCGTGTCCGTGAAGAAGTCCTCCAACGCGCAGGTGGTGTGGGAGATCCTGGTGCAGCGCGCCAACCTCACCGCCTACACGCAGCAGTACTTCTACCTGTTCGAGATCGTCGAGTACAACTTCGAGCGGAAGCTGCAGCCGCACGAGATCCCCCATCAGCTGTACGTGCAGAACTACAGCACCGCCTCCTCCACCTGCCTCTGCGTCCGCCGCTGGCTCTTCTCGGTGGCCAAGGAGCTGACCCTGCCGGACGGCGAGCAGGCCGGCCGGTTCATCTTCTTCCAGGCGGTCGACGAGGTGAACCGCGGCAACATCCGCGCCGACGGCCGCCTCTACGAGCTGAAGGCGCTGCAGGACGCCAAGAAGGCCGGCGACTACCTGGCCTTGGCCCGCACACTGCCCGGGTACGGGGACGTCGTCTTCCCCCACTGCTCCTGTGATAGTCGCAAGGAGGGGCACGTGGTGCCCGCCGTAGGTGAGTCCTCTGTCCTCTGGCATTGGCTATCCCCCGCCTTACCTCTCTCTCACTTACTTTCACGGCAGGAATGAAGAGCTTTCGACTGCACGCCTGCCGTGAGGACGGCTCGCTGGAGGCGCAGATGGTCGAGCTGACCTGGGACAGCATCACGCGCTCCGAGAGCGACGAGGAGTCCATGTCGTTCTGCTTTCAGTACAATCGTCCAGACAAGCCGGCTCGTTGGGTCAAGGTCTACACGCCATATGTATGTCTAATGTGATTCGTGGTACAAGTGACAACACTAACGGAGTTTTCCCCCTTCCGCAGCACGCATTCCTCGCGGACTGCTTCGACCGGATCATGGAGGAGCGCAAGTGGGACGACAGCGGCGACTAGGGAAGGCGGACGGCAGCGCAGGAGCAGAGGGAGCAGCAGCGGCGGCGGCGACGGCAGCAGGAGGCACAGACCATGCAGACCAGGCAGACGAGGCAACCGAGGCAGACCAGCACCCAGCACAGAGCAAGCATCACCATCACCAGGCGGGCCGAGGCATTGCACATTGTTCGTTAGTCGGTCATTGCATCCCCTCCATTGCATCGACCTGTCCGCTCCCTGTCCTTCGGCTGCTCGGTTTCGGGGCTCCGGACTGTGTGGATTCGGGTTCGGGTTCGGGCTCGTGCCTGCCACTGCCTCACCCTTGCTGTGAAGTACACCCGGCACTGATATATATATACATATACGTTTATATGATTTTACATTGACAAGCAATTGCCATCGCCTCGGCTCCCGAGGTGGTCTGCTCCACTGGTCGGTCGGAGTCGAAGTTGGAGTTGGAGAATGCTGCCATGGCAGCGAGGATGTTTCAGATGCTTTCGGCACTTAGCACATAGAGCAACACAGGCACCAATTTAGATCAAGCAGAACCGACGATTCTCATGCAGTATATATATATCTATGAATATATATGTGCACCACTCACAGACAAGCATACATTACGAACCACAAATACTTATAGATCAATATATTTAAGACCACCTCAGCGTAATATTTAATTCAGACTTACACCTACCCGAATTGCTCCCTTTTTTGTATATTTTGCTCATAGGAAAGACAGAAGACAGAAAACAGATGAAAAGCTAGAGGAGATCTTTGAAAAGTAAAATCTTGTAAAAAGTCAATTTTAATTATACACAAATATACAGCATATGGATGCATATACATTACTGTTTAGCCAACTCAACAGGCCGTTTGATTGATCACTTATTTAATTGTATGTACGTAGGAGGGCCTAGAACCAACCAACCAACCAAGCAACCAGAAAGAAATCGATTTGGGTTGGCAGAAAACACAGCAACACAGGCGTCTTTGTCTCCTCGTCACTACATCAGCGTTCTCAGTCGCTGGAGCAGCTTTTCTCAGGTCCTGGGGCCTACGATAGATCTTGGGGAGAATTCAAGGTTCAGGAAACGATTGCTTCAGAAAAGAGTATGCGTAGCCGGGGTCAGAAGGTCAAGGAGCGAATGTGTGTGCTTAGGAACCCTTCCCTTCTACGAAAAACTTCCTCATCTCCCAACTGCTCAAGCGAACGTCGATGTAGTGCCACGGGGCACAAGCGAAACAATTCAAGTATAGCCGAAACTAAGCGATGATAAAATGTTGAACATATTGTACTCATGCGAAAACTTTCTATAGAAATTGTTAGTTAAATTTAAGGTAACGTTAACAGTTATTGAACAAATGCGAAAACGAGACTTACAACTCAACTAAAGTGAAGTGAAGCGAAAACCCAACTCAAAATGAACCTAGAAAGGAGCGGGGGAGTAAAAGAAAAAAATAGCGAAAATTGCGGGCAAAGCGAGCTTTCTTTCACTTCAGCAAAACAACAACCAACAACCAATAAACAACAACCAACAACAAACAACCAATAAACAACAACAAGAATCACAAAACCATTTTACACGATTTAAGGCAGATCGCAATCACATACCCGCAACTTATAGGAATGGCATATAGGCAAATATTTATCAACGATGCAAGTGACGTCTGCTTGTGATATTTACAATTTACACGATTATTACGATTAGTTTAACATATTATTTAACTGATTCCACGTCTTTTCGTATCTGTATTTGTTAATCTCTCCATATGCTTAGTCCGCGTAACATATTTATTGTATTTAGTTTAGTCCTCCAATGTGAATTATTAGGTATCGTAATTATTTGTATTGTTCTTTTTTTGTCTACCTTTGGCCATTTAGCAAGCGCTTAATTTAGATTTGTTTGTATTCCATATAATAATTAATAATACTACGCTACTAACTTGGCTCCGCCTTTATTTGATTACTATTATTTGTCGAGTAAGGTGGACAATTGGGGGGACGCGAAGACAGCGAACAGCGAAGAGCAACACTCATCCGAAAAACATATGCCAGCAAAGAAATACATTCCTCGAAACAAAACACAAATACGAAATAATTATTAATGTTTTCTTACACATTTAATGCCACAGCGTATGCGAACTGGGAAAACTTATCAAACGTTCATGTGTACAACCTAACTAAGATGAAACCATCAAATTAATTGAAAACATAATAAAATAAATTGCATTTTCCCCTTTTCAAAATTACTCAAAGGAGTTTTTGTGCGACTTTGGTTTCTTATATGTAGATCGAAGTTAATCGGACTTTGAACAACGCTGCGAAACGAATTGAAGGAGTAAAGCTTCTTAAAGGTTTTTGAAATGCCAATAGCTATAATTCCCCCCCGATCGACAAAGGTTTGTTTGATATAACTTTCTCTTGAAGAGTTTTCTATGTACTCGTACATAGGATGGTCCGTGCTGAAACTAGTAAAGCGAAATGACCTTTTGCGAATAATGGCACATGCTGACTTTGGCATCAAATCGCGAGTTGCGTTTCAATTAGCCACCTTCCACCTTCACTTCATTCGGGCTTTATTCAGGCATTATTCAGGCATTATTTATACTTTGTTTACTCCGGACTCGGGCTTCGCTTCGCCGCATTAAAACGAGGGTGTAGGTGATAATCACCTGGCGATCGGAGCTGGTTTCCTCTCCCTCTCTTTTGTATTGGCCAAGTGGCTTCTTTAGTGACGTAATAAACTCGGTAGAGTTTACTTATCTCTCCTCTGGGACCTCATGAATTAGTTCGGCTAAGTTGAGTGGAGTTATTTCGCTGATTTACCACTGCCTTTCACCAATTGATACTTTCCTGGCCCACTGTAGTGGGTCTTATCAGCCCAGCCAGCACCCAATAAAGACGAATGGTTGTGTAGGTTTTTTTGTTGCACTAAATCGTTTTACTACTGCCTCGAATAGGAGATTCAGTCTGATTGCCCGTTGCGTTGGCTCACAAAAGCACTCCCAGGGAAAGGTGAAGGTGTGTTTGCGGGAAGGATAGTGGTTTCCTGCTTAGTAGTGGTTTCCCATAATCACTCCCCCTCAATAATGATGTATCACACATAAACACGGTTCAAGCGCCAAATATTTGCCCACTTCGAGGGATTTATGAGTGCAATTTGTTAAACAATATTGCGAATTAGTCCCACGAGATTACTATACACTCCGACCAGAGTGGGAGGCCTGTGGGAGGGGCGTAGGTGGGTGGTGGGTGGCTTTTTGTATACCTTATCAGGTAACACATGTAATTATTAAAGCTGCTCGCTGCCGTCGCTCGATTGGATCGATTGGATCGATCGGATCGGCGGACGAGCGAACGAGTTCAGCTCTTGACTTTGTCAGTTGATTAATTTCGTGTTGACTTTCCGGGCACGCTGTTTTCACTGTGTTCGCTGTGCTTTCTGTGAACGCCTTCTGCCGAAACAAGGCCTCGAGTTCTCGAGATCTCATTCCAATTCGAATCTGCGGGGGAGCGGGGGAGGGAGCCGTGAGATTACGCCTAATTAGCTGGGCAAACAAGCGCGATCAGCGGAATGGACTGGTGGCCGGAGCGATTTAATTAACTGAGTCAATACGACGCCAGTCGCGGAGTTCAAACAGAAGCAGAAGAAAGCCGAAAGGGATCAGCCAAACATGCTGGATCTGCGTAACCATTCCACCTGTATACCGAAGATCCACTGAGAAACCAGAGCACAGATAAACAACTGGGGATTGCAGGTGGAGCTCTGGCGAACTGATCGGTCGAAAAGTAATGACATTCCGCTACCCCTTTCGATCCGAGTGCGATTATCGCTGGCCAGCGATAAGCGTTGATTAAAAGCAAACAGCGATGGTAATCGGAGACGCCCCCCTGCGCTTCCCCACTCCCCACTCTCCATCCACATCCACATCCCCCTTTCGGTTCGTCACCTGTTTCTCCGTCGCTCCGCTGGCTCTTGGGTTCCGCTTGGCGCTCGGCCAGCTCATTCGCCAGTGGAGCGCGATCGCGTTTAGAACGTCGCCACTGAGAAGCGGTACAAATGGCCCACTCCTCTCACTCGGGAGCCGCGCAAGCGCTCAACGGCCAGCTCCCGAACTTGGCCTTCGCGGACGCGGACGCGGATTCGGACGAGGAGGAGCGGACTGATCGGATGGAGCAGCTGGAGCAGCGCCAGCTCCTGGGCGCCGCAGCCATGCCCAGAAAGCAGTCCCTGAGCGAACGACGTCACGTGGAGCTGCCCCTCCTGAAGGTGGTCAACGAAAGGGAGCCAAAGGAGCCAGAGGCAGCCACATCCACATCTACACCCACACCCACACCGACAGCCACACCAACTCCCTCCCCCGAAGCGTTCGCGCCGGGTCTGCGGCGGAACTCGATATCCATGCCCTCGGGCATCAACGCCCTCGACTTGGAGGCACTGCGTCTGCGCCACCAGATGCAGCCACAGGACGCCCTGCACGAGGAGATGGTGAGTTGTGCTGCTCCTCAAGCAGAGGGCCCTCCCCAGATCGGATCTCCAACTAATGCACTCAGTGTTTTTTTTCTGTTTTTTTTTGTGTACATACCATACATACATACGAGTATGTATATATTTGAATATAATTGCTGCAAACCAGTTGAGGCCCTCGCGAAATGAAAACACAATGCGTAATTTAGTGACTACAGAAAGTTTCCCAAAATATTCAACCGTTGATTGGGTCTTAATTATAATTATATGAAGTGTGCAAACAATCCGAATAACAAATTCACATGTGTCGAGACCCGAAATCCAGTTGGAAGTCACATGATGGCACTCTGCTCCGACAAATCTGCTTCTGGCACAGAGTTATAGTTCAAAGTGTCCGCCGCGGAACGATAAATTCTAATAAGATGCCTCAGAGTCTGATAAATATGAAACACCCATTATGTATGCATAGTGCTCCACATTCGAATTCCCAGCTTCTGCTGCGGAAGCTAAGTTATTGCGATCTGGAATAATCGAAGTTGAAACGAGTTCGAAACAAAGGCACTGAAGCTCAGCCAGTTTTTTACCTTTTTTACACTGTGCAGCTGAATATATATGTGTACTTGAGTACTGAATGTATGCAGTAATGAGTGATGGCCACCATGTCGGCTACTCATCTTCAGTTATTAGCGCTTGTAATTTTTTCCCTTCTGTTAGTTTCGATGTGCAAATTCCCGGCAATATCAGTGATGTCAGTAGGAAGCGGGGCATGACTTGCGCTAATTATAGAGCTGCAAATGAGGCCGCGGGCGGGAGGGGTGCGTGGTCCGGCCAACGCGTCGTATGTGTGATGAACCCCAGCCGCCAGCTGTCGCAAAAATCACACATACGCAGAGTTGTCTTTGAAGAGGCCGCCCAGAAGTATGCAATTGTATCGTCCATCTGCTGTGCGGCGAAGGAAGCCAGCAAGAAGAAGTCCCACGGCTAATCGCCAGATTTATTACTATATGGAACGGCGGATATAGGCATATAGGCATCCCTTAAGCTGGAAATCAGTCTCCAACTGCGATGGCCCACTGCTGGACACTGCTTAATTAGCAACTTGTAGTTGTAGTGCCACATGCATTTACTCACTTTGCGGATCTGTAGGGCCACATGCATTAATTCATTCAGTTTGCAACAAGGGCCAAGTCGCCATATGCCCATGTCGCCATATCGCCAAGAAGTACGTGGCAATCGCTGCGGTCGCAATTAATTTACGAGCCGCGGGTAATTCCATCAACTGCTAATTACTTAGAGTCGGCCCGACTTGGCCCGCGTTCTTCTCAGTGTGGGTGTGAACGCTCTCACCCGACGCCCGCCGCGACTGCGCTGCTGACTGCGCCGCTGACTGCGGCAGAGAGAGCGGAGCGATTAAAACGCATAAATTGAGGCTTCAATACGATTTCCAGGCAATAGCGATCCGGCAATTATCAGCGGTTACCAGTGCGATCGCGGCGACATCAGAGTTCGGATCGGTGCCACATTATCTCCAATGTTTGGCAGCGCAGGAAAGTCCAGAAGCCCAGAAGATACCGCAAACCCAAAACTGTTCAAAACTGTGCAAAACTGTTCAAGAGTGTTGTGCAAACCGCCGAACCCGTTAGAAGTGTGAAAGCCAGAGTGTTGTGCAACACCCGTATAATGACCAGGAGCCAGAAATGAGCTCCCCCATCAGCCGCTTTGTCCTCTCGAGCGTTCCCGGAGAGGATCAGCCCCTCCAGAGGGACGCCCTGGTGCTCGACTTGGGTTCGGACTGGGATACGGATACGGATAAGGCAGGTACTTCGTGAGCCTGTGGCGCATCTGCACTCGGCTGCCTAATCTGAATCGGAACCGCAATCTGAATGTGAATCTCAATGTGAATCTAAACGGGAATCTGAACGTGAATTTGAGTGTAAATTTGAATGTGAATCTGAGTCTGCTTGCCCGCTTTTTGCGGTTCAGTGGGAACCGCGTTCTCGGCGGTAACGCCTCCGTGCTAATTGCGCTTACCTTGCTCGGGTATCGGCTGTGGGCAGGTGTCGAGGTGCCAGTATTGTCGAGGTGCCCCTCCCATTCCCGTTCACCCTCCCCCTTAACCTCCACCAGATGCGGTGCTGACTTTGTTCCGGACAGTGTTTACAGTGCTTCCTCGATTCCTCTTTCCAGATAGCTGACGACGCTACCTCCAGCCAGAGCACTCCGGGAGCTCCGGGCACTCCAGTCACTCCGGGCACCTCGGACACTCCGGCGCCGACGACGTCGGCCAACACGCCGGAAGAGGTCGTCAGCCGAGCGGCCATCAACTTCGTCAGCGCCAACGATGACAGCGACGACGAGTTCGGAGGCGGCAGGAGACCAGTTCACCGGTGAGTGGGGTGGGATGTCACCAAGTGCTCCACGCACTTCGAATCGATTCCAAAGCAGCAGCTGCCAGCTTCTTCAAGGTCTAGAATCTAATTAAAATCAGAGACCAAGCCGAATGCTCTCAATGCTCTCAGTTGAGCACGCCAAGATGTGTGTCATGAGATCCTGCGGATGAAAGGCCGCCGACAGGATATACCCTTGCCCATGCCCCATGTCCAGACACTTACATAGTCATTTATTGAATCTCAAAAAATGGTAATTAGAAAAGTTAGGGACTTAGAACTAGAGAACTTTGGTCAATTTTCAGCCAATCCATTTTTTGGAAATTTCGTAATTTTCGTATTATTTCATCATCAAATAAATAACTTAACTATTTACTGTCTAATATATGTACTCACTGCGAAAAAATATGCACTGCATTCTGATGTCTTCAACTTCAACTTCAAGTTTCAAGTTAGATGGTGCCACCAAATGTTTTGTGCAAGCTGTAAAATATACATCCATAAACCTGAAATAAAATAAAAAAAAATATTTTATTAAATTTTTTGGTCTATATTTTAGATAGTAATTCTCCCAATATTTCCCAAATGAAGCATTTTACAGTTTAATGTAACAACTACTCAAATAATTATGAGATTATGATAAATAAATCTTTTCAAATTGGTACTTACTTAGTTAGAGCCTTGATCTGCCCTGCAATCTTTCGTCTTCTTGAAGTAACCACTTTGTCTGCAACATTTTCACTTTACACTTTCACCTGAAATTAAATAAGAAACAAAAAATAAAATAAGTAATTTGTTACAAATAGTAAGAGTTAGTATTAATTTGTTAGTAAAAAAGGTATTTACCTCTTCGGGTTATTAATTCACTGCATCGTGAAGTTCACTCCAAGAAGGAAGGTATAGTCATCACCTGTAATGAAAAGAAGGTTTTCAAAATATTAGTTAAATTATTTAATGCAAATCAATTACTCCAAAAAATACATACCCCAATGAGTTGATGCACTGCATCCTGGAGTGGACTTCAATAAGATAATCACTGCAACCACTTTATCCGCAACATTAACACTTCACCCTGAAATTAAATAAAAAAAAATATATAATAAATAATTTGTTAAATAATAATAGTTGGAATCAATTTGTTAGTAAAAAAGATATTTACCTTCTTGGGTTATTGGTTCAGTGCATCTTGAAGTTCACTCCAAGTAGGAAGGTATAGTCATCACCTGTAATGAAAAGAAGGATTTCAAAATATTAGTTCAATTATTTAAGAAAGACTTCAAAATATTAGTTAAAATATTTAATACAAACTAATTATTTAAGAAATACATACCCCAATGAGTTGATGCACTGCATCCCGGAGTGAAGTTCAATGGAAGATCTCGCCATTAATCCTTGATCTTGCAGCCTGTTCTCCAGTCCATTTTGGTGGTATCAGCATATATCTCCGGTAACCGCATTCTTACAACTATTCTTACTATATATATTATTATAATATGACCCTAGTTGTTTTAGATAATTAATTGTGTTTGATTTAGGAGTACTTCAAGTTCGTTATTTGAACAAAATCACCTTTTAAATTTCTTTCTTATTGTTCTTGAATAATTTCAGATCTTTATCTGTTGCTCTTGATTGATCTTAAAATTAATAACTTAATTATTTATATTCTAATTGATGTACTCACTGCGTAAAAAACTTGGTGCACTGCATCCTAATATCCAACTCCAAGTTACAAGTAAGATGGTGTCACCAATTATTTTCTGCAACTAGCCAAACACACAACCAAAAACCTGAAATAAAATAAAATAATATTTAATTAAATAATTGCATTACATTTACAAAGGCCACGTCATCACTTAATTATAAAAAAAACTGCTACCCACCTCTTCGGGTTTTGATGCACTGCATCCTGGAGTCCACTTCATGCAGGAAGGTATCCGCCACTTTCAAGTTCATGCCAAGTCAGGCTATGATGCACTGCATCCGGGAGTGGACTCCAGTAGGAGGAGTCGACCCATGATGCACTGCATCCGGGTGTGGACTCCAGTAGGAGGAGTCAACCCATGATGCACTGCATCCGGGTGTGGACTCCAGTAGGAGGAGTCGACCCATGATGCACTGCATCCGGGAGTGGACTCCAGTAGGAGTAGTCGGCCGGATACTCCCTCTCTCACTCTGGAACCACTTCACCAACTCACACGCACACACACACACTTCCAGAGACCGGAGAGAGTTTCTTAGAGAAACTGCCGGTCATTCCGGAGAACTTGAGAAATTGACCAAAATCAAGGGGTATCCCACTACGATTTAGCCAGAACCACTTGGGAATTGCAAGTGCAAGAAAACGTTAAAAATTTAAAATTATCATTGTCGCTGACGTGGCCATATTAATTTAATTAACATTACATTAACATTATAATAAAATAACATTTTTTTAACATTAAATTAACATTATATTGACATTATATGGATTTTAATACACATTTCACATAATTTAAATTCTTTAATTTGTTGGCCGATTTTTTCAATTTTCAAAATTTCCAAGTTTCTTGAAAATGGGTTTGTTGAAAAATTGACCATAATTCACTAACTCCAAGTCCATAACTTTTCTAATTTTAATCCGATTTTTAAGTGGGATGCCTCTGAAAATAATTATTATCATTGATTTTATTTAATAAATTAATTAAATTTCATGAAAATCAGAAGACTATGTTTATATATAATAAGTATAGAAATCGTCATTACTTCGATGTTGAAGACTGCAAGGGGATATAGCCTCCTTTCTTGTTTTTAATGATTTTATGCAATTTTTACCAAATTTCAAATGAATTTTGTGTGTTGTTTGCGCAAGAAACAACTAACAGCCGAACAAAGTATAGTTTTGAAAAACAGAGAAGCCCAACAAACTATTTAATAGAGCGCAATTTAATTGCCATTAAGCTGATCCTTTAGTTAGTTGATGAAAACCAACTTAGAAAATATTAGTTGACATTTTTGGTAAAAACACTTTGTTGGATTAACTAATTGAGAGCCGCCCTTGTCTCCGAACGAGAGTGATTCAATTGCGGCGTGGACTGCGCGTAGAACGTGCCTTCCCCAACATTCCCCAACATTCGATCGAATGCCTTCGCCGCACCACTTGAACACGGGTTGCACCGCCCGCTTCCCGGAGACTCGATTGCGGTTGCACGGTTCCCTCTGTTCGGCAGATTCCCGGGGCTACCGCAAAACTCTGCCCTTCACTTGGGGAGGCGGCAATTTATGGCTGGTTTTAAGGCAGTTGAGACTGCTGACCGAAGGGCTGACTATCCATTGAGCAGCCAGCTATCAGCTATCAGCCATCAACTATCAGCCATCAGTCACCAGCTATCAACAACAGCTATCAGTGACTGCAGTGCAAGCCTTCGAATAATCCGAACCGGGATGAGTGGGGGTGCCTCTGGAGCGGCGCTCGTTCTCCGAAAGCCCCTTAACTTGACTCCAAAGTGTCATCGCTTGGCTCGGGGACAAGATAAGATACGCGACTGGGTTTCTGGGGTTTGCTGGTTCGCAGGTTCCGAGACCTGAAACCCGCGGTTTCAGGCGGCTCCGAAACGCTCCCATTGATCTCCCCGGATTTCCCCTAGAGCCCGTGTCGCAGATACGGTCTCCACAAAGCGTCTTGAGCAGGCCGGGGCTTCTCCAAGGTCCGCACACGCGACGGGGCAACTTAAGTGGCCGAGCTCGTTACACTCGGTCTCCAATCCAATCCGTGCGGATGATGAGTTAATTCGACTCTACAGATCTGTGCTCTGTGCTCTGTGCTCTGGCAGCGAACTCAGTTGACGACCGCGATCGGGCGTGATAACATCCGCCCGCCAGAGGAGCCGCATATCCGAATATCTGAATACCAGAGCATCTATCTGCTTATTCCGAACTGCATTCCAGTCGCCCCGCATTCCGCACACTTGGCGGGGAGTGTTTACGACTTGGACAGGCGACAGCCGACAGCCCACAGCCGCTTATCAACCGCCGCCATTCGCAGAGCAAATAAATCAGGGCGAGCGAGTATGTACACAGCATATAATTATATGGTAGATATAGTATAGTATCTGCTGCTCGCCGCGAGGCTTCCCCACCAGGGGCGTTGGCTCCGGAGGAGAGGGGGAATCGTATTCGTAACCGTATTCCCATTCCCATTCCGAACCCAAATCCGGAATCTCAGCCAACCTTTCTCGTTGCAGCGACCGCTTCCGCAGCCGCAGACGCGCCTCCATCGCCCCTTTGCCCGCTCTGCGGCTGAACAGCAAGGAGATGCTGGCCAGCGACTTTGACAGCCACAGCGTGGCCTCCAACCAGGCCTCCATCACCAGCGTCAACTCCCTGGCCAGCCTGCTGCGCGAGAAGATGCAGGTGAGCCCCTGGTCAAAGGTCAAAGGTCAAAGGTCGAACATCTAACACCCCTAACTTCGCTCCTCCGCAGGCATTCCCGCAGCTGATTAGGAAGAAGCGGCGCGAGACCAAGGACTACAAGATCAAGATCTTCGTCGTCGTGATGTTCTTCATCATCATTTTCCTGGTAAGATAGCTTAGGAGCTTAGGAGCTTAGGAGCTTAGCAGCTCCACCTTCGGCATTCTTTCCGAGATACGAAAGCCCTCCGGCTGACAGCCGGCGGCTTAGGCTGTCGACGCTGAAGGCGACCTAAGCGACGGCCCAAGCTGATCGGTGACTACGGTGCGGAATGCTATCTTGCTGTCATGAGGCGTAACCACCAGGTTAACTGGACGCCTCCCACATCCCTCGCTTAGTGTACTCCACCTACTCCACTTACTTACTCTTTACCACAGATTGGGTACGCGTACGTGGCCTACCACCAGCAGGTGCTCACGAGGAGCTACTTCCAGAAGATCAAGTTCAACCCGCAGGACCGCGTCTTCCGCCTGCTCAGCCACGAGGACAAGGAGGTGATCATGGGCCAGCTGGGCGTGACCCTCGGCTCGGACACGGCGCCCTTCCACTGCCTCGAGGAGCAGCGGCGGCGCGACGGGAGCGTCTGCATCGAGTGGAACGGGCTGGCGCGGCTGCACCTCAACTTCGAGGACAAGGGCGTCTTCCGCTGCTACTCGCTGCAGTGGCAGGCGCTCGCCGACGGACTGCTGCCCACCGACTGCTACGAGCTGAAGCGGGACAACGGGCTGTGGTTCGGCGGCGGGGTGACCAAGGGGCAGGAGTGGTCGCTCAGCTACGCGAACTTCGAGTTCGCCCCCTACGCCTCCGGGGACAGCAAGGTGCAGCAGTTCGGGAACGGGGTGAAGCGCTACTTCATCAACTCGATCGGCGTGGCGATGCAGGTGAGCGAGCGGTCGCCGCTCCAGCTGGGCGTCAACCGGACCGAGAACCGCTTCTGCCTGCGGGCGGCCCACGACGAGTTCACCTTCGTGAACCGGCTGAGTCCGCTGCCGCAGCTGGAGTACCGCATCTGCACCACCGAGGACATGCGCAGCCTGCACATGCTCATGACCCAGCAGAGCCTGTGGGACGGGCTCAAGGAGCAGGACATCCGCGAGCTGCACAAGCTGCTGGAGGAGCCCGTGTGGCGGGTGCCGCACTCGGAGCAGCCGGACTCCCTGAACGAGTCCGCCATCTGCGACTACTCCGAGAACGCCATCGCCGTCGGACTGGGCCACATCGTGATCAGCGAGTTCTGGCAGGAGAACATCGGCGACTTCGCCGTCGACAGGGCCCGCTTCCCCACGCTCAAGGACACCATCGACGTGCTGCACCGGCGCGGCTTCAAGGTGGTGCTCACCATCCAGCCGTTCATCAGCACGGACAGCGCCAACTTCAAGGAGGCGGTGCGCCGCAAGCTGCTCATCTACGAGCGCCACTCGGAGCGCAGCATCCCCGCACTGACCCGCTACAAGAGCAGCGCCAGCGCCGGCGTCCTGGACATCACCAACAACGCCTCCGTGCCCTGGCTGCTCGAGAAGCTGCAGCGGCTCAAGGAGGAGTACGGGGTGCACAGCTTCTACCTGGACCTCGGCACCGGCTACAACCTGCCGCACTACTACCAGTGCCGCCAGACGCTGGACAACCCGGACACCTACGCCCGCCTCCTCACCGCCAGCCTCGAGTCCGCCGGGCTGATGGCCGTCTCCACGGCGAGCGTGGTGCCCAAGCCGCCCACCTTCCTGGCCGCGCCCCCCGCCAACGCCACCTGGGAGGGCCTGCGCGAGACGCTGGCCGCCGTGCTGAACTACGGCGTGATCGGGTACCCCTTCGTGCTGCCCGGGGCCATCGGGGGCGACTACCTGCTGCAGCGGCCGCTCTCGAAGATGGTCTCCTTCTACGCGCTGGCCGCCCCGCCCTTGCCGAGCGCGGAGCTCTTCGTGCGCTGGCTCCAGCTGGCCACCTTCCTGCCGGCCATGCAGTTCGGCCACCTGCCCTCCGAGTACCGCAGCGAGCTGGTCTCCCGCGTCGCCCAGGAGCTGCGCGAGGTGCGCCAGACGGTGGTGATCCCCCTGCTGAAGAAGTACCTCAACCCCTCGATGAACGAGGGTCTGCCCCTGGTGCGCCCGCTCTGGATGATGGACCCCCACGACCCCGCCTGCCTGATGGTCAGCGACGAGTTCTCCGTCGGCGAGGAGCTCATCGTGGCCCCCATCCTGCACGAGGGGCGTCGCGAGCGAGAGGGTGAGTCACTCCGTCCTCGTTCCGAGGGGGGATCCTCCTGCGAAACCTGTGGACTGCCCGGAATATCCGTATGATCACCCGCGAATGCAATTGGCAAGTGGCTCTTTAATCTGCTGCTCCAATCAAGCACTCTTTGTTGGATTGCCTCCTCTAAATGTACAATACTCCGGGTGCGTCCACCTCCAGGTTGATCCAGGGGGTCCCCTGCTCACTAACCACTAACCACCAACCTCTAACCACTAACCACTGTCCGCTGTGCTCCACAGTCTACTTGCCGCAGGGCGTCTGGAAGGACGGCATCGACGGGTCGCTGCGGAAGGGCAGCCGCTGGATGCACGGCTACCGGGTGCCCAAGGACAAAATCGCCTACTTCCGAAAGATGCCGGACAACACGCGCTTCTAGGGTCCAGTGATCCAGGGGGCCAGTGGTCCAGTGATCCAGTGGGCCAGTGGTCCAGTGGTCAAAGATGCACCCAAGATGCCTAACGCTAGCTATCCTTAGCTCTATCCTTAGTCTACGTAACTCCGATTTGTGTGTGATTAGTTAAGTACGTCTCGCCGAATAAATACGTTGCACCTCTCCTACTCGCTGCTCCTGCTCGCTGCTCCTTTTCGCTGCTTCTACTCGCTGCTCCTACTCGCTGTTCCTACTCGCTGCTCCTGCACTCGGGCAGCGGACCCTCGCAGGGCTCCGCCTCCGGGGGCTTCGCCAGCAGGCCGCACTCCGCGTCGGCCACCACCACGTCGTGCTGATCGAGGCAGACGACGGACCGCCTCCTCAGAGGCACCGCCCCCAATTCCGATCCCGCCCCTCTTTTCCGTCCGAGAGAGGCCGGCAGGTGAGCGGACAGAACTGCCAGGGGCCCGGCCACCAGTGGGCGGGGCAGGGCTGCTCGGCGCAGGGCCGCGACTGCCGCGACGGCCTCCGGTTCCTGGCGAGCGTCCAGCAGGGCAGCGTGTCCGCCAGAGCTGCATGGTGGGAAGGAAGGAAGGGGTGAATTATCAGCGGGCTGGCTGCCAAGTGGAATCTCGCTTCCGAGGGGACACTCACCCTGGCCGTCCTCCTCGCAGAGGGGCTCCCGGTGCTGCAGCCCGCCGCCGCAGGAGGCGGAGCAGGCGGTCCAGTTGCCCAGGCGCCACACCAGCTGCCTCCCAGCAGAACTCGCGTTCCCGCTCAGCGCCGGCAGGGTGAACTCGTAGAAGATGCCCGCGTTGCTCTCGTTGCCGCGCACGATGGCCTGCATTGGGAACCGGTTAGCATTCGCAGTGGATTGGGAGGATTGAGGGGATTGGATGTGGAAACTCACGTATAGCGAGATGGCCTGCTGGATGGGCTGCGGGATCGTGATGGTCTCCTGCTCGTCGACGCGCTCGTAGAGGCTCTCGGCGCCGGCGATCTCGAACTTGCCGGGCATGGAGATGAGGCTGTCCCCGTTGAGGAAGAAGCGGCCGCCGTGCGCCGCGGCCACCGCCAGGAAGTGGGCCGCGTTGCCCTCCTCCCGCACCTGGATGTGCCGCGCCCGCGCCGGGATGGTGACCACCTCCACGTAGGCGCCGTCCCGCCCCCCGAGGGGCTCCGCGAAGAGCTCCCGCACCGGCTGGCACTGGTCCCCTGCTCCGCCGCAGACCCCGCAGCGGTCCTCCTGCAGCTCCGAGTCCACTGTCCAGTCGCACCCGACCTTCTGAACGAGACGCAGAGCGCAGTGAGCAGGCGGAAGTGGAAGGTGGAAGGTGGAAGGTGGAAAGTGGGATGGCGGGATACGGGATACGGAATACGGGATCAGCCTACCTTGCAGATGCCATCGATGCACATGTTGTTGGTGCCCAGCTTGCAAGGCGTCCCGTCCAGCACCGTGGAGCCCCAGTTGGCGATGATCGTGTCGTCGACGTCGCTGCAGAACAGCTTGCAGGGGTTGTCTGTGGAGGCAGATCCCAGGATCATTTCGTTTCATTTCATTTAATTAAATTTAATTTCATTTCATTTAATTTCTTTTAACTTAATTTAATTTTATTTCATTTAACTTCATTTCCTTTAATTTTATTTAATTTCATTTAACTTTATTTAACTTCATTTAATTTCGTTTAATTTCATTTCATTTAAATTCATTGCATTTATTTTCGATTCATTTAAATTAATCTCATGAACGTTAATGTTTAGTGGTCACTCACCCTTGTCGAAGAAGGGCAGCCACTTGTAGGTGGCCCCCTGGTAGGTGGCGTTGTCGAAGCGGGAGCACTGCTGCGCCCGGAAGCCGGGCTCCTCCGGCGGGCAGGGCCGCTTGCGGCAGACCTTGTACCGCTTGCGCTCGCCGATGCAGAAGACGCCCCCGTTGGCGGGCACCGGGCTGTCGCACTCCCTCTGCTGGGTGGACACCCCGCCGCCGCAGCTCCTCGAGCACTCGCTCCACTCGCTCCAGGCGCCCCAGCCGCCGGCCACCGCGGCCAGCTCCTCGCGGCGCACGCAGCGCCCGCTCTGGCACCACTTGTTCCGGCCGCAGGGCGTGCCGGGCGCCGTGGGCCGCATGTGGGTGACGCACTCGCCGCGCACGCGGCACCACAGCGTGGAGCAGAACTCGTGCGGCGCCGAGCAGGCGCCCACCTCGCTGTCCGCGGTCAGGTTGAACTGCAGGCGGCACTGGCCGCGCGCGTTGTACCGCGTGCCCGGCAGCTCGTCCGGGTAGTTGTACTCGTCCAGCGGCGTCGGCGGGTCATCCAGGCAGTCACCCAGTCCCTGGCTGCAATGGCAATGGGAGGTGCGTGGTGGTCAGGATGCAGTGGGGGGAATCCATTCACTTACTCCAGGAAGTGCGTGATGTACTTGCGGCTGCAGTTCGACCAGCACACCTGCAGGGTGTCCGCTCCGAAGGTGGGCGTCATGATGTGCACGATGGGACCCACGCGCGGGTGGCAGCCGATCTTGGCGGTGTCGTGGAACATCCCGAAGCTGTGGGCGGAGAACGGGTCAGTTCTGCTGAGTTAGTGGGGAGCCCCTCCTCCCTCCCCGCTAGCATTGGTGCCAAATGGAGCCACTGGGCCACTCCATCCACATCCACATCCACATTAGCATCCACATCCACACCTGATCGAAAGCACGCGAGCCGAGCACCCAGACGGACCACCTGCTGCTCCGCCCGGAGCCAGGTCCGATTCCGGTCGGCGGTCCAATTGCACAACCCATCGCCGCTGCATCCACTGCATCTGTTCGCTGGTGGAAGGGGATCGCGATCGCAAGTGGGAAGGGGTCGCACCACGCTAGACGGACTGACGGCCACTCTGCACTCGGAGAAAAGGGGGCCACCAAGCGAACGGAAACCAGTTGGAACACCGGGTCAACCATTCCTAGTGACTAGTCACCATTGCACCTGGCTCGGCCGAAGAGCAGATACTTTTCTCGCAGTGCAGAGCAGCCAGAGAGCCGCCCACTGGCTTTCCACTTGGCAGAAACCGGAAAGCTTGGCGATCGCCCAACCGACCGATCAACCGATCAGCCAACCCGATCCGAACCAGAATGAGAATCCGAATGAATCTGAATCAGCCAGCAAAACCGGACCCGGCTGTCGTTGTCAGTGTCAGTGGGTGTGGGTTCGGCGTTCTGGTGATCTGGTGATCCGGTGATCGGAAGTGTGGAGTGGTGTGCCCGCCGAGACCTTGCTCAGTTGCCCGAGGCCCTTCGCACATGGATGGATGGATGGAGGACTGGATTGGACAGAAACGATACTTTGCCGTGGCTCGAGGGTGCTCCCGGATGCAGCTGAGGATGCAGGCGGGAATCCATCAGGGGCCTAGTGCCATACTCACTTGTGGCCCAGCTCGTGGGTGATCGTGTGGGAGAGCATGATGCCGTTGTCCTCGTTGACGCTGCAGCTCTGCCTTGGCTTGCACATCCCGCCCACGTTGGCCAGTCCGAGTGTCCTGTTGGCGAGTCAGGATCAGGATCAGGATCAGAGTCAAGAGAGAGAGAGAGGGAGATAGAGAGGGAGAGAGAGGAGGTAAGCTCACTCACATGCAGTTGTTGGCGCAGATGTTCTTGCGCGTGATCAGGATGGCCACGTCGTGGTGGTGCGGGTCCTTCTCGCTCTCCTTGTTCAGCTTGTGCTGCCAGCTGTGGAAGATGGAAGATGGAAGATGAAAGGTGGGAGATGGAGCAATCAGGAGAAACAGGATGCCCACCTGCAAAACCTGTCCAGGTTCTTCTGCGCGTTCTGGGTGAGGTTCAGCTGGAGCTGGGACTCCTCCTCGTCCAGCTGCACGATGCGCACCACCACGATCTCGATGGAGTTGCCGATGCTGGGGTCCTTGTAGAGGGCGGACACCATGTTCATGATGGTCAGCAGGTAGCCGTTGAGGTCCTTGTGGAAGGCGGCCATCGTCGCGTCGGCCACCACCAGCGTCTCCACGTGGCGCGGGCTGCTGATGGAGCGCCTCCTGCGCGGCTGCTCCTCATCGGGGTGCTGCTGCTCCTTCTCCGCCTGGAACTGCGTCTCGTACTGGAACCTAGTGTGCTGCGGGTGGTGCTGGTGGTGCGGCAGGTGCGGCAGCTTCCGACGGCGGTGGCCGCGCCTGTGGTGGCGCCTGATTTGGCGACCCCCTGGATCTTGACCTTGCCCCTTGCCTGCCACTCCAGCCGCGTCTCCATCCTCCGGCGCGGCTCCCGCGTGCCGCAGTTGCTTACCTCCGCTGGCGATGCTCCTGATCCCGCTGGCGACCCGCCACCCCGCTTCCGCTTTCCCCACTTCGGATTCGGTTTCGGGCTTGGCTTCTGCTTCTGCTTCTGCGGCGGATTCTGGCGCGGGTTCTGCTGCTTCGGCTGGACGGAGGAGCGCTGGAAGACGACGTGCGGGTGGCCGTCGAGGGGGTGCGCCGCGTGCTGCTGGGAGGGCTCGATGAAGTACTCGCTGCTGGCCGTGCGCACGTGTCCCACCTGGCGAAGAGGAGCAGAGCAGAGGGATCGGAGTTGGAAGTTGGAGCCTGGCTCCATTTCCGTGTCGGAATGAACTTCACGCGGTGCTCACCAGTCCGGCGCAGGTGGAGATGGCCACGTTGGAGGCCGCCTCCCCACGCACCCGCCCCTGGAAGTGGCAGCCGAGGTGCCGCGAGGACAGAGGCGTCCGCGAGCGCAGCTCCCGCCGGTGGCGCTCCACCACGAGGCCCGGGGCCAGGAAGTAGCTGTGCGGCGAGAGCTCCAGGTGCAGGGTGCCCTCCTCCAGCGGCAGCTGCAGGTGCAGCTCCGCCGGCTCCACGGACGCGTCCAAGTCCCGCCGCTGGCGGTGCCGCCGGTGGTCCCGCCCATGTCCGTACTCCAGCGAGAGGGTCATGAAGGAGCCGTCGGGGTGCACCCGCCGCGGCACCACCAGCTGCCCCTCGCCCGGCGCCAGCTCCTCGGAGTGGACTCCGCGCAGCGCAGCCGCCCTCGAGAGGCAGATGCAGAGGCACAGGCCGAGCTGGAGGCAGAGGTGCAGGCGGAGGCGGAGCCACTGGCTCCCTCGCCGCATCCTGCTGCGGTGCTCCTGGTTCTGTTCCTGGTTCTGGTCCTGGTCCTGGTCCTGGTTCTGGTCCTGATCCTGGTCCACAGCCCTAGCCGTTGTCCAGGCGGTGTCTCAGCAGCATGGCAGCGGTGGCATGCTACGGGTCTTGGCCCGGTCGAGGTCAGCTCTGCCTGGAAAGGGAATGGGAGGGGATCTGCTGAAGAAGGACTACCACAATCCAACCCAACCCAACCCAACACAATCGAACCAACCCCATCGAACCCCATCGAACTCCATCGAACCCAAACGAACCCCATCGAACCCAAACAAACCCCATCGAACCCGAACCCGAACCCCAATTCGAACCCGAACCAGATCCGATTGGCTTGTGGCCCAGTATCGTGGTGGCCGTAAAACGGGGGAGACCACTTCCAGATGCAATAAACCAAAGGTGATTTGCTCTTGGCTTTCGGCAAACAATCTCCAGCTCGAGATGGAACGGAGACAATTGCCGGGCCAAAAGTAAACCTAAGACACGGGCCGTAAAATAAAGCAAATGAAAGCAACAACTCCGGAGAGCAACAACAACTCGCTGTCCGGTCATTATCATTATCATTATCATTATCAGTATCAAGGCAACACGACAACTTAATTATTCAAGAGAGCGACGCAGGCAGCGGCGCTCTTATCACGATCACGATTCGTAATTTATGATAAATGTCGCCGATTCCATTAATAAAATTAAACAAAAGCTCATTAGCTAAGAGCCGACTCTGCAGGGGATCGCCGATCGCCGATCTGGGTTCCTCCAGACTGGAGTTCCTCCACTAATCGAAATCCTGTCTGGGAAAGGGGATCGTAAAAGCTGACAAATTGGCACAAAAATAAAAAAAAATTTAAGCAGCCAGGCAATTGAACTTCGAGTTTTTTGAGGTATGCCACTTAGAAATCGGACCTATTTTTTGAAAAATATGAAAGGGGTTTTATTAAAAAATTAGAGAATTAAAATATAAACTTTTAGAGGTATGCCACTTCCTAGTCTGATTAAATTATAAAAGTTATAAACTCAGAAGTAGTTAAATTTGGTATCCCATATTTTGGAAGTTTCAAAGGTCGCACTATTAAAATTTAAATGAGTGTCAAAAAAAAAACAAAAATTAACTGAAGATGCAGTTTGTTGGGAAATTGAACATGAAACTCCAATCGAAAAAATTTGGGCTTCGGGGAAATCCAAGTGGCTCGGAGTTCCGAGAGCATTTAGGAACTGGAAACTCCAAAGTGAGAACGACGTGCGGAGGCCGTCTCTGATTCAGAACCCAGTCGCGACTCAGAGCCCATAATAATGGCCATAAAATATGCGCTTAAATATTGGATATACCCGAAATTCCCACTCCCATCCGTCCATTCCTGTTTCGCTGTTTGTTCTGTGAATCGCGGTGAATTCGAGTCGCGGCGAACTTGAAAGACTTCCCGCCTGAATTAGCAAGCGCCACATGCTCGAATATTAAACTGTTGCCTTCGCTCGTCCGCTGCTCCCCTGCCCTGCTGGTGTGCTGGTCTACTGGTCTGCTGGCCTGCTCCTCCCGTTGTGCTGCAGTGCCGCCCAATCCACCAGCAGGCGCCACTCTTAATTATCAATCAATCAATCAATCACTGCCGCCCGACGGCTCCTCCATTAAATGTCCGCCAATTGGACGGCGAGCGCCGAGTCAGTCTGTCCCGCCCCGCCCAGCCACTCCCCCTTCCCCTTTCCCTTTCCCTTTTCCCACTTTCTGCTCCAGCTGTCCCTTTCGATGGACAGCAAACCCCCAAGGATAAGCCTAACTGGCAAAGGGACGGAGGGAGGGATGGCTCCGGCGCGTGATCTCATCCACAAGTAGAGGAGATACCGAGATCCGCTCATGAACTGGGCTCAACTTCCTCCAGCTGGTGAGGTCGTCAGCCCCTCCTCCGCAAGAGCCGAGACCACTTCCTATGTATGCATATTGGCTTTGGCAGACGTTGGCGTTTCAGCGCTTCGCGTTCCTCTGTCTTTGGGTGAATTTGGGCATTTATCACCGGATTACCGATTTGACACTTATGGATTTTGGTCAACGGCCCATCGATCACCAAATAGAGATCCCCCTTCCCCCCTCCGATTCCCCCGTCCATCTGGGAAAGGCCCTCTGGCTGGCTGGCGAATTTCCGATTTCACTCCGTGGGGCCTCCAGTCGCGAGACGGGGCAATCCGCACGCCCACCAGTCGGTGGTCTTCGGTCGGCGGTCGGCTCCAGTGGCGCAGCCTCCAGTGGCCAGACTTCGGACTCTTCCGACCGCACACCGCACATCGTACATAGTAGACCGCAGACCGCAGACCGGACCCAACGGACCGGGTGACCGGGTGGGATGGGTCCCCTCGCGGGGCACCTCCGACTCTTGGCTGGAAGCCCCATTGATGTTTGGCCACTCGTGCGCCGAGGCTCCATTGAGAAACGAAACTGGCACGGGCCGGCACTTCGTCACTTCGGCACTTCGGCACCTGGGCTACTCGGTTCTCGGATACCCTTCGAAGGGGCACGAGTGGGCGTGCTCTCCGACGGATCTCTGCGATCCGATGTGGGCGATGCAATGGGTATAAGAGAGGTGAGGGGTGCAAGGCTGGGGGGCTCAACTCCCAAAGGGAACCCCTTAGCTGCAATCCACTCGGAGGGTATCCACACTTCGGCTTGGCTCGCCACGTCGGCTTCCTGCCTCGCTTCTTTTTCATTTATGGCGTTTTTTATGAATGAAATGAAGCTTTTCACGTAAAACGACGATTTCGTATTGCTCGCTCGGCTCGACTCGGTTGGGTTGGGTTGGTTTGCGTTTGTGTTTGTGTTTGTGTTTGGTTTGGTTCGCTTCCCCCGTAACACCGATCCCCAGTCTCCCCGATCGTCAATCCGCAATCCCCAATCCCCAATCCCCAACCCCAGTTCGCCAGTCCGCCAGCCATCTCGACGGTTTCGCTCCTATCTCGGGGCACATTTGAATCTCTATGGCTTCGCTCGCATGTGGGCCGAAAATGTATTTTTATGGCAACGTCGTTCGATTTATTGTTTCATTTGTTTTCTGCGCTGCTATTAGCGAGCCACACACATGTGTGTATCTTTCGCTTGGCTGGGCTTCTTTGGCGCAGTGTTTGGATGTTCGGGGATGTCCGGATGGTCGGATGGACAGCTGGCCAAAACCCGGCCAAGAGCCAAAAGCCAAAAGCCAGGCTGCTCCGGAGTGGCGAGTGGAGAGTGGAGAGTGGAGAGCAGAGAGCAGGCCACTTGGTGTTGGCTTATCTCGCACGACATTGTTGCCATACATGACAGTCAGTCGGTTCTCCACCGTTTTTGGGAGTCGTGATTTTGTTTCTGTTTCTGTTTCTGTTGCTCTTTCTGTCTCTCTTGCTCTTTCTGTTTCTGTCTCTGTTTTTGTTTTCGTTTTTGCACTTGGCTCTGCTGAGAGACAGAGTGTGCTTCCATTCGTTGTCGCCATGCGTGATCTTGAGATCGCACCGGAAATCGGACGAGGACCCCAAACAGCGGGGGAAGTGTGGGAATGGGAACGGGAATGGGAAGATCCCCCAGAGGCACAGACCGACTCTCTGACTGACTAACTGACTAACTAACTGACTAACTAACTACCGGACTAACTGACTAACTGACTTGCCAACTGACTAAACAAATGGGAGTAGAGCAGTTTCGACTGCCTTTCCAGGGTGGCACACTTATTAAAAGGGTTTTGGGGGTAGCGAAGGATCCTTGTCGTCAGGAAGACATACATATGTGAGAATGTGAATGTGCAGCGCACCTTAGTGTAAATAATGACTAGCAAGCTAGCAAGCACTAGTGAGGCCACCTAAGACGATAGCAGCTTAGAAGAACTAGACCATTGAAGAAAAGCTAAGGGCATTCCTAGGATGCCTCGACTTACCGATTCTGATGCCGATTCCGATGCCGATCAATTCCGATTCGAATTTGGAACTCGAGCCTGAATCCAATTCCAATTCCAACTCCAATTCCGACAGACGAAAGGGGCCGTCGGCGAGGCCCGCAAAAAATCCAACCGCACACGAAAGCCCGACGGCAGCAGTTTAGCTTTTCGGGGCGGCGATTATAGCGATATAGCGATATAGCGCCAGGTAGGAGAACCCAGACAACCGCTCTTTCACAACAATGGCCGAAGATTTCACAAGTCACAGACCAGAGTTCGGTTCACAGCACAGGTAAAAAATTGAATGCCAAACAAGTAAAAAACAACGCGGTTTTGAAAACAGATACTCTGTTTTCGACTCGAGTCACACTCTCATCTCATCGCACACGGGCCTTCTACAGTTTCCAAGAACTCGGAGGTCGCTGCGCAGACGCAGTGCGCATATGCACAGATGCACTGCACATAGAGTGGGGAGTAGAGTGAGTGGTGGCCGTTCTTCGGTCTTCGGTCTTCGTTCTTCGGGCACGGAAACTGTTTCTTCCGGCGCTTCGACGAGTACGTGGTTCGACGACGACGACGTTTTCAGTGCTTCAGTGGGGAGCGAAGCTCAGGCAGCTCAAGCAGCGCGGGTGAAAAGATATCGTGCCAATAAAAGTGTCGAGAGCTGTAGGTTGCTTAAATAGATTTTCCTCTCGATCCGTTCGAACCGCTGGCTCGACGTCGAACCTCATCCAGTGCTGCCCACCCGGCCACTCGGTTCATTTTTTAACGGTGAAATCCCGAAGGCATTATATAATTCATAGCGAACGTGTGGCTGCAGTACCTTAACAGTCTTGACACCAAACAGCAAAATTGAGATTCTTTGGGAGTGCGAATACCTGCTGGTGCCATTGGGAAAACTACAGATCCTTCACCCTTGACCCTTGGTCCTTTGACTCTTAAAGATACTGCATGTTCGTACATTCGTATTTCTCGACATATCCGTTGTATTAACCCAACCAAGCAGCACTGGCCCGATCTCTCCCAACCAGTTCGAGCCCGGTTCGATGTCGAGCTGAGCTCGGCTTTGTCGCCTGGGGAAGTGGGGAAGTTCGTGTTGACAGTGAAAATAGTCTGCAAGTGCCCTTGGCTGAAAAGCTGGCCGGAAATTGGGGGCCAAAGGTTTAGATGTACATGTGGATCTTAGGGGAACATTTTCCTTCCACTCTCTGCCAGCTTACACTGACCTCTTTTCGGAACTTATGATTCGCGACAGCAACACATATTCGATTTGCAGGTTCGATGTGCATATTTTGGGTTGCAGAATCTTATAGGCCAAGTATTCCAATTATACGTATAGTACACATAGTATGGTACAGTGAACACTCCCGCCAGATGGCTCTGTGCAGCTGTTTTCCAATCCGAAGCTTGTCTCTCCAAATTGAAATTGAAACAAACGGGTCAAATACGCACTTGGACGCTTGGACCAATCAGTATTGCCAATTTGCTGTTGCCAATTGTCCTCTTACAGTTTGTGAACGCTGCTCCAAAATGTCGTGGATTGGTCCCAAGAGCTCCACTGGGTGTATGCATGCAGGTAAATTCGAAAAGGAAGAGCTGACTTCCTCCGCTCTTCAGCACCCGTTGCATCCCTTCATCGCCAGGCTCCACTGTGGTACCGCAGATAGATGCCCTGCGTGTTCGCCGTGCAATTATAATCGCATCATGTGCCATACCATGGTGCATCTGCTTTATGGCGGCGATCCCCAGGAACTGCCGCCTTATCTTCCGCTGCCCCGGCCCCGGAGAGGGGTGTGGGGTGAGGGAAATGGGGTGGCCAGCCGGGCGACGTGTCCCGCCAAGGACACACCGTTAAATGCGAACGATCGCCCGCGGCCTGCAAAAAGGGGAGTAAATTGTTTAAAATTATCACATACTCGTACTTCGAGCAGAGACGCCGCGGGGAAGCGACGGCGACGCTGCTCCCCTCCCCCTGCTCCTCCCCCTGCTGCTGCCACTGCTCCTGGCACTGCATCTGCTCCTCCGAAGACGAAGCAAATCACATTATTAGCAGCCGGCGCTGCTGCTGCACGTTATTTTTAAATTTCGTTTCGTTTCGATCGGCCCCCGTTTGATTTTAGGCGCCAAGCCGATGTCGCCGGCGTTTGGCTGCAAATTGCGACAACACGTCTGGAGCGTGGCAGCACACAGCCAGGCATACACTGAGCGAAAGAGGCTTGGTTGGAGATCGCAGGTCTGGTGGCAGTGAATCTCTCAGTTGATCGTATTTGACCGGATTAAGCACTGCACTGTCTGCACTTGAAGCAGGTATTTCTTTTTGATTTCTTTGAGTGGACACATTAACACACAAGAGCGCAGATTCAGGGCGATAAGGCCAACGAGAGCGAGCGAGACAGGGAGCAGCCGAGATAGAGATACAAGATAAGTGAGACAGCCAAGAGACGCCAGACAACAAGACAAAAACAACAATGACGCGGCCGAAGCGAAGACGCAGCCTCGCACTGCACTTGAAAAAAAGTTGAAGCAAGCTTGCAGCACACATGAAAACATCCAATCCGACTCCCAACTCAAGGGCTCCCATCTCCGAGGTATTTTCGCTGGCAAGTGCTTTCTTTGCATCGCACTCTCCGCTCTGATGAAAGCCAGCCACGAAGCACACGCGTTTTCTGCCAGTGCACTGGCTGGCTGGGGCTCAAGCACGTTTCAATCTCAATCATTCGGGGCTGGGCTCCGGGAAAGGTTTACGTTTACGTAGCTGGCGCTGCCGCTGCCGCTCAAACAACAATGAGAAGTCGCGCTGGTACGTCATAATATATTTTTATCTGATTACCTGGCTGCGAAGCGCGCTAGAGGTGGTGAGCCAATGAAGACCCAATAGAGACGAAGAGCTCTTGGGTCACGAAGGACCCCAGGGATCCTGGTAGAGCGTGGCCCAAAGAACTGCTTTCCGCATGAAGCCTCTCGCGCCAACAAAGCTCGTGACTGAACTGATCCCACCTCCTAAGCTCTGAGTGGGTGTTCCACAATGCGTATTTAAATTGAGTTTTCGGAGCCCAAGTTCGTGCCTCCGAAACTATCGAGCTGCGAAATCCTGCGCCGTGTCACGCGTTCACCCACAGAAGGCCGAATGGTCGAATGGCCGAATGGCTGAATGGCTGACAGTGGCGCCGGTCGCCAGGGACCAAATGGGAGCCAGATTCCGACGCTCCGACGCTCCGACCGATCCCACAGAATCGTGCGTTAGTCCGTCCAGACACACAACACACACCCCGCCAGAAAGATACTGTATCTGTGCTGTATCTGTATCTCTGCATCTGCGGCGGCTCCAGGCGACTGGAACAACATCATCGCTCGTCTGTCTGTCACCCGTGCTGCTGGCATTGTTTCTGTGGCTGTGCCTCTTGTTGGGGCCCGTGTAATTTTTTTATTTTTGCGTGACTCTCATGTCAAGATTTCATCTTTGCAAATCTCACTGGTCCGGTGGCGTCAGTCTCTAGATTTCCGAGATCAAAACTGAAAAACTTGACTTTATGCTTTGTAAAATTTCTTCCGCAACGAAGTATTTGAAAAAGGCATCGTACCTTGGTAACAAAAGATTTTTAATAAATTTTTAATAAATTTTTAAATCTTAAATTTAAGTTACTTTTAATCTGCTTTTATGCTGTCAATAAACCATTTCATATAGCATATAGTTAGACGCCTAACTTAACAACATACCAGTTCACCAAACTTAACATTTGAGATTAACGTTTCTAATCAGAATCATTTTGACAGTTTTTCTTATCAGATAAAAGGCCGTTGGGTACAAGTCAAATTTAGACAGTGATGCCAATTTTTTGGCACATTTGGGGAGCAGCCACTAGGATCGGTGGGGAACATTGGAGGCCAAACATCGATAAAGAAATTTAAAAAAAAAACTGAAAACATCGATGCATCGAACAACTTTGAAACATCGATACTATCGTTTGTTAAACTGATTTTTTTTGTGTTGTTTTGGCCAACTAAATAGCTAAACAGCCCGTTTCTACCGTTCTTTGCCACTTGAAGGCGACTTCTGGACACAGATCGGAGGGGCCTGGCCAACGGGTCGGATGGCGCGCAACGTGCTCGAGAGCAGCCTTCTGGGCGCCGGCTTCAGCATCATCTTTCAGGTGAGGTTCCCCGGGTTGCGTTCTATTTTCTCTGGCCCGGAACCCTGGGGCCGGGCATTACTCATCCACCGAGTGTCTTATCGCCCGCAGATACTGTGCCGCATCCTGACCTTCGGCATCAACGCGTACATCGTCCGCCATGTGGGTCGCGAGGTGCTGGGCATCATGAACGTGCGCCTGCTGCTCCTGGAGAGCACCCTGCTCTTCCTGTCGCGCGAGGCCATCAACCGGGCGGCCCTGAGCGCCAACGCCCAGCAGGGCGACCGCTGCTCTTGGGCGCAGCTAATCAACCAGATGTGGCTCACGTAAGTAGCCGGGCATGTCCCTCCCCGGTGGCCACCAATGCGAACTCTCCCCATCCGCAGGGTGCCCATATGCGCGGTTCTGTGTGCTCCCTGCCTGTACATCTGGTTGAACTGGCTCTCGGCGGTGGACGCCGTCTACGCCCAGCAGTACGAGTTTGCCTGCTACGCCGTGGCCCTGTCCTGCGTCCTGGAATTGCTGGCCGAGTCCGCCGTGTTCGTGGCTCAGGTGTTTTGCTTCGTCAAGCTGAAGATCCTGCTTAACACGCTTCACATCCTGGTGCGCTCGGCCATCTTTCTGTGGATCGTCACCGGCGACCGCAGCGCGGCGATCAACGCTTTCGCGATCGCCCAGCTCTCCAGCGCGGCCACCATTGTCCTGGGCCAGTACGGCTTCTTCTACCTCTACCTAAGGGGCATCAAGGCCTTCGGGGCCCAGCAGACGCGGAAGAAGCCACCGGCCCCAACAGCCTGGCAGACTTCGCTGTACGAGCACATGGACGACTTCCCCTTTAAGCGGCTGAGCGACTTCCTGCCCGGCGTGATGTTCAACCCGAACGGGAAGCACTTGAACCGGGAGCTGCAGACGCTGACCCTGAGCTTCGTGAAGCAGGGCGTGCTCAAGCAAATCCTCACCGAGGGCGAGAAGTACGTGATGTCCGTGTCGCCAGTGCTGAGCTTCGGGGAGCAGGCCACCTACGACGTGGTGAACAACCTCGGCAGCATGGCCGCGCGCTTCATCTTCCGGCCCATCGAGGACAGTTCATACTTCTACTTCACACAGACACTTTCGCGAGACATCAAGTTGGCGAAGCAGCCGCAGGAGCGCGTCCGCCAGGCGAGCAGCGTTCTGAACAACCTGCTACTGGGCGTAAGCTCCATCGGCCTGATTGCGTTTGTCTTCGGACAGAGCTACTCGCACCCGGTGCTGCTGCTCTACGGCGGGCCGGACTTCGTGGTCGGCGGACTGCCGCAGAGCCTGCTGCAGTGGCACTGCCTGGCGATCTACCTGCTGGCCGTCAACGGGATCAGCGAGGGCTACATGTTCGCCACGAACACCAGTCGGGACATTGACAGGTACAACTACCTGATGGCCATCTTCTCGGTAAGCTTCCTAGTGCTCTCCTACATCCTGACGGGGATCTTCGGACCAGTGGGGTTCATCTTTGCGAACTGCATCAACATGCTGAGCAGGATTCTGTACAGCACGTACTACATCCGGCACCAGTTCCGCCCCCTGTCGCTGGATCCGCTGCTGGGCCTCTGGCCGGGAAAGCTCTTCGGGAGCACTCTTCTCTTGGCCGGGATCGTCTGCTATTGGGTGAGCTCCGCATGACGTTTTCCTTTGGATACCTGCTATAAAATCTCCTTCTTCCTTCTACAGTACCAAAGTTCTGGTCTGGCCACACACCTGGGAGTGGGTGTCCTGGCCGGACTCGCCTGCCTATTGTCCTGGGCGCTGGCTCATCGAGACCTGGTGCGACTGGCTTGGCGCTATGGTCGCCGCATCAAGATCGAGTAAGGGCACTTGTGTTTAGACCGCAATGAGACGCACAGTTAGAAGTTACAACATATTTATACATAGCTGACAATTGTAAATTAATTCCGAAACTAAGATGTGTACTTATGAAGTGTTTGTAGAGCCTTGATTGCTTATCTAACGTTAAGACTTGCATTAAAAGACAACGATAGCTTCTTAATATTCATTTGTTACTAGGAAAGAATGTTATTACCGGAGTCACCCATACTCTGAAAGTTAATTGTTATTGGTCCAAATTTAAAATAGTTAAAACAAATAAACTCAAGGATTTAACGAAATGCAAATCATTGTTAAACAAATTAAGGGGCCTACATACAACTGTAAATTTTAAATTGCCTGTGGAACGTCATACATCTTTTTTTCACCAGTTGGTTCGGTTTTAAACACTAGTCCAACGGAAACTATAGCAGGTAGCCGCCACTGATAATTTTTACAAACTTCATATAGGAAGTCTGTTTATGCAGAAATTATCCGTTAGATTTCGGCTATGGCTGGCTGGAGATGGGCAAACGCATTTATTCTTTGTGCGATTCACAAACTCGACACATCCGAGTTTCCCACCAATCAGGGCTCTGACCGGTGATGCCAGATGCTAGGTCTCAATTTGGTTGTGTTTGTATTGTGAGAGGGTACACTATTGCAACATGTGGCAACTCTCTCTAGCGCGCAAGTAACAAACATTTTGTTTTGTTTGCTGCGATTTCGGGACACGCCGGTGACCATGAAGAGAAGCAAGGACGAGGACAAGGAAGAGTCGTCTCCGCAGCCGACGACGCATAATTCTATCGCTGGTAGTAACGGGCCTGAATCCGCATCTTCGGCGGCCAGTTCCGCAGTGGCGGCCACTTCATTCGCGGTTTTCGAGGCAACCGCAGTAGGAGCCTCTGTTCGCACGACAGGACGCGTTAAGGTGAGTGCGAAATCCTTGCACCCCGCAGGCATTCCCTTGCTCGCCAGCGCATTACCTTACCGGTTGCATCTCCTCCAGAAACCCAAACAAGTGTATGATCCCTCGGACAACTATGTGTCTCGGGCCAGCAGCAATCGCAGTTCCCTTGGTGGGGCAGCTGGATCAGCAGCCGTGGCTGCCACCACCGCCCAGTCACCGCCTGACAATGGGGCTGCCAAGGACGCCAGCGATTCCCAGGACTCCACACCCAGCCCAGCGCTTCCCGAGCAGCAGCCGTCGCAAAGTCGCAACTTCGACACGTGCCAAAAGTGTGCCAAAAGCGAGCCGAAACGCGGTTCCGGACACAAAAGCAACTTCCTCACTTGCAAGGGCTGCATGCAGAAATGTAAATATCCAGTTCCCCTATTATCACAGACATCTGCCATCTTACAATATTAAGTGCATATACGAAAAAAAAAACCTGCAATATTTATAAGCATAATCGTTATGCCTAACTTACAGCCATTAGCAATTCAAGATACCCAATGTTAGTAACAGGTAGAATATCTATAAAGTATACCCACAGTTTGCTCACTCTTAGTAACATTACCATTTAGGTCAATTGTTGAAAATTTTGCCATCTGATTGCTTTCTTTCTTTTTTCCGTATTTTTAAATTGCTTCGAGTTTCATATAAAAAAGAAAATGATACCTACACATTTAGATGTTCCATTTTATATTCTATAAAAATGACTATTTCCTTCCTTGTCTTAAGCAAGATAAAAGTCTTTTAACAGTTTTTACACTTTTTTACTTTAAAAGCTAAAAACCGACGTTTTTTTCCTCTGTTCGTATTATTTCAGGGCACTTTCCTTGCTTGCCTATAAACTTCGAGAACCAGAGCCTGGCCCGCAAGAAGTACAAGTGCGACAAGTGTCGCTACTGCCAGGTGTGCAACGTTCGCGGTCGGGACTTGGCCATCTGCAGCACCTGCGTGGCGGCCTACCACGCGGACTGCAACGACCCCACAATCAAGCAGAACAAATCCGTGGACACCAATCCCAAATGGAAATGCTTTAGATGCGAGGCGAGCAGCAACGGAAGCAACACGAGCCCGCCTAGCGAAGAGCAGACGTCGGGCAGGAAATCAAACGCTGGCCGCGACGACCAGTTAGTGGTGGCCAGAAAATCCAATGCGGGCCGCAAGAAGCGCATCAAATCCGAGCCCACAGGCCAAGAGAAGCCAGCGAAGATCGAGAAGCTGGGCAAGCGCAGTCCGCCACTGAAAACTGAGGTGAAAAAGGAGAGGAGCGAGGAAAAGAATGAGGAGCAACGAGATCAGCCAGTGGTGGTTAAAGTAGAAAAGGTTGAAGAGGACGAGAAGGGTTGGGAGCCCGCGCAGCCAGAGAGTCAGGGCGAGCAGGAGTCATTTCAGGAATTGGTTCCCTCACGTCTTACGCCACCGCCAGCACAACATGCAGCACCAGATTGCTCCCTGAACTTTAGGGGGCAACCGGTTTCCACATGGTCAGTGGAGCAGGTCGTTGGCTTTGTGGCGAAGCACTATCCGAAGGAAGCGCACGTGTTCCGTTACCAGGACATCGATGGCGCCTCCCTGCTTCTGCTCACCCGCCAGGATGTGATGAACGGATTCGGCCTGAAGCTGGGACCGGCGCTGCGCGTCTTCGAGCTCGTGATGTCCCTGCAAAGTCGCTCTGACGATGTCAGACTCGCCTGGTTCGAGTAGCGGCCTACCTCCTTAGCTCCTAAGATCACGCGCCCCCCCGTAACTTTATCCCAATACTCTCATCTAGAGCCATCGCCAACCAATAAAAGCTTATATTAAGTCTTCTGGCGAACGGCTTTCATGCGCTCCAGTTTTAAGTTTGTTCTTCATGTAACTCCACCCATGCAAATGCACATACTTTGTAAATGATATCTGCTATATTTGCAAATAACTATACGTTTTTGTGTTTAAATGCTTTTTGGGAAGTGGAGGGCCCAAAGTTATGTTTCTTGTTGACGGGAAGTTATGAAAAAGGTAAATAAACAAACGCACGTGACACTTTAGTGGGCAATTAACCTCGTCAAAACAATTTGGGACGGTCTCGTTAAAAAGTTACGAGCATTTAGATAAGGTGAACAAGAATTCTTAAGTTAAACCTATGAAATTTCAAGAAAATGTTCTTTTTTCATACAATTAGGAACTGAAATATGCAACTTTTTTTATATTTTTATTAAAACACAGTGGCAAATTATTGAGAATAACGTGGTTTCGATGTGAAATCGCACTTAAACCGCTTGGCGAGTAGTTCGACTTTAGCATATTATTGGATAGCCCAAAAATAGGTATTTGCGAAAGAAAATATTATAGGGAAGAGAAAATTTACTGATGGACATTTCTAAGCAATGTGAGCAACAATATTATAGTTGTTTACGGGCTTTCGAATGTTGAAACAATATATGCCTAGTTAATCATTACACAAAATGCAAAGAATTCTTCTAGCGTAACATTTTTTTAGTTAATTCGTCATTAATTTTTAAGTTGATATTTACATAAGTAAACATACATAGGTCAATAAAAGAATATATCCAGTAAATATTCTTGGTATTTCGTGGCTTTGATAAACTAATTCTTAAAATGACCTAAAGTTTTTATAATTTTAACGACTACGCTTTAGTTCAGGTAGTGTATACCTTAATAATAGTTAAAGTACATAAATAATTAAGTATTTTTATGGTGTTTCTTTTCCCTTGCATGGGAAATATCGATTCTTCAGGGAGAAGTGCTACGAATTTTCCAGACATTAATATCCACTCTTACTTATATACACACAACTTGGGGAATATCAAGAACATTGGATGTAATCGTCGGCCTCCGGGTTGTGGAAAATACTGTTGACAGATCCAGATAACTTGGAGCTAGACACGGGGCAGCAGCTTTTCCTCGTCGCCGCCGGGAGCCTGCATACTGGATTTCGGCGCCGATCTCGCCGGGTCGTAACCATACAGGAAAATTGAAGCGATGACCAGACCAGCTCCAAAGGTGAACTGCAGCGTAAGGTTGAACTCAAAGATGTAGATGGAGGCCACGCACGAGATGATGATGGCTAGCGAAGTGGCAAAGCCTTTGAGTATGTTGTCCGCATACTTGACCACTACGGCCACGATCAAACCGCCGCCGGCCTGCAGGAGTACCAGGTACCAGACAAACAAATCGTAGCCGTGGAAGAAGCCTTGGTCGAAGATCCTGCTGCCATCGTTAACGACGCAGGTGAGCAGGCCAAAGGGAATACTGAGCAGACTTAGTTGCACGTTCCTCATCCACACGGAGATCTCGGCTCCCTTGAGGATCTTTTCGAAGTAGATGCCCGCAAATCCGGAGAGGAAACAGGCGCCTAGGGCGGCCCACAGTCCGAGCATACGGTTCTGTTCGGGGGCTGCTCCTCTAGAAGACGCCGTGGCCGCAGCTGCCGCTCCACCGGCCGAACCAGTCGCCGGAGCCTCTGTTTGAGCCAGCTGCACTAGCACAATGCCCATCACCAGCAGCAACAGCGCGCCCCACTGAGTGTTTAGCAGCTTGCGCCGCAGGATAACCACCGCAAACATGGCCGTGGTAAGGATCTTCAGCTGATACGTAACTTGGTAGGTGGCTGCGTCCAAGTGGGAGGCGGACACGTACAGCAGGTTGTTTTGAACAATGTATACCAGCGACGGCACACATACCTTCAGCGTGTCCATGGGGTTGGCAACAATGGTCTTGTGCAGCGAACGGACAAACTTTTGGGCATCTTTGCCCTCTTCGTTGAAGACCAGGAACAGGCACGTGATGAGCTTGGCGAACTCGGCCATTAGGACGGCTACAAACAAGGGTGTTAGAAGCGATTAGAAAACAAGGCGAATGTGAACGAAAACAAAACTCTTAGGTGTACTTTAAACCCTCAAAAGACTCTACATTAGAAGACACAAGCAATTTATGTATATCTAACTTTCTATGGGCGAGAGTGGGTGCCGCATGCGGAAGTGACTTCTTATCAGCTTCCTCGGCTCCCGCCTGCTGCTACTTCCCCGCCTCCTCTTTCGCTATTGCTTTTGCCTTCGCTTTTCTGATGATGTTGCTGCTTGCGTGGACAGACAGACCCACGTCGAGCTCTTGAGTTCTCGGAACTGTCGCTAAGCCCTGAACTTGATGACCAAGCGAGACCAATGACCTGAAGTCGAGACTTGAATACTAACCCGTGGAGCTGAGGAAGATGTCGCCGGGCCGGGTGCGGGCGTACCGCATGCTGAGCCCCAGGATGGCATTTTGCAGGGTCAGCGTCAGCAGGCTGATGTACTTCAACGTGTTGGCGTTCACTAGGCGGCGGGGATACGAGTAGGAGTATGAGTATGTGGCAGGTGCGGGCAGAAGCGCCATTTCAGTTCGGCTGGAGCGACACCAATCGACTGGAGGCTAACTACTCACTGTGTATGTTCATGCTGCTCCGCTCGAACTATTGTTTTCTAAACTCCAAAACCAATAGAGCCAAAGGCAAACAAACAAAAGAGTTAGGCACACAAATTGTCTTGACGCAGGCCTTTCTGGCCAAGATCGCTCAGTCTTCGTTGGTGCGCTGATCTGATCCGATCCGATCGACCCGTTCGAGAGAAAAGCAGACGACTCCGTTCCGCGCGACACGTAAACAACAATTTGAGCCCCAAGCTTCGGCCAGCGGCAACTTTTTTATCGCCGCTACGCTGTGTGGTTGTTGCAGTTGTTGCTTTCGCGGCAGTGGACGGCTTTCGATAGACCCAGTGATGGCATTGCAGCGGAAGCATCGCTGAATGCTAATAATATAAATTCAAAAGTGCATATAAATATATATATGTATGCACAAAATTATTCTGCTGACTCCTTGTTTTCATGTCGAAGTGCTGCCGCGAAGTTCTGTTTTTATTTGTTCAGGTGTGGTTGAAGTTAAACTTTGCAACTGAAGCAGCCATAAAAAAAACACCAAAACCTGTAACCGGCTAACCAAGTTGATTAGTTTTCCAGTCGGTAGAAAAATAAGCTATTTATAGTTTTTTTTTATAAAGCAACAACAGATGTAAATGTCTTTTATAAGGTAGAGTGAATCTACTGCATATACAACTTTTCGATTGTTTCATGTAGGCCATGCCACTTGTTGTAAGCCGCGTGTCCAATCCTGCATGGTTAGATTGCTGAATGTTGCCAGTTACAATTTGACACTATTTTTCAATATTAAAATGTTGCATCTTAACTTTTATATTTTGCCGCTTTATTGCACAAGTCCGCTGATTGTTATCGATAGGGGGCTGTTTATCACTCGTGCGTGCTGTGGGAGCCCATTTATCGATAACGCGGGGCCGGGTGGCGATTTCAGTGGCATATTAACAAAACAGTTAGCGAAACTTGCAAGTTTCTGAGGAGTTGTGAAACTCAGCAACCAAGATGCGCGAACAGCCCCTGAAGGAGGTGACCCAGCTAATCCACGCCATCAAAGTGGGGTGAGTGGGCTAAGATACCGTAAACCCGTAAACGCTACTAAGGTGGCTATTTTCTGCAGGATGGTGGAGGGCTCCTACAGCATAACGAACAAGACGCTGGATATATTCAAGTACATCATCATGAGCAAGAGCTGGCAAAACGCCGAGTGAGTTGGGGATGCTCTCGCCTGGATCAACTGTTACATACGTTATTTGCAGCGCCCTTATGCAGATTGTGCGTGCCCAGTGCAAGATCCTGCAGGCAGCTTTGCCCCAGGAGACGGTAACCTCGAACATCGCAAGGAGGATCCTAAAGCTGACGCGCGAGGAGTTCGATCTGCTGCACGCCAAGGTGCAGCACTTTGCTGACGACTCTCAGGCCTCGCTATCGCTCCACAAACTGGTCACCCAGACCAGTGAGAGTAACGTGAGCGTGGACTACTCGGTGCCTCAGCAGGGATTGCGCGAGGCGTTGCTCGACCATCTGCAGGAGGTCGAGACCGAGCTGGAAACCAGCTCGGAGAATATATGCGTACAGGCCGAGGAGCATATCCACTCTTCGGAGATCATCCTGACACTAGGACACTCGCGCAGCGTCGAGAGTTTCCTCAAGCGTGCGATCAAGAAGCGCCAGTTCCTCACCATCATTGTGGCCGAGTGTGCGCCCGCTTGTCGGGTGAGTTGTGATACAGTCGTTAAATAATATCCTGTATATACCCAACATATTACCGCGTTTCCAATACAGGGCCACAATCTGGCTGCCAGCTTAGCGGGCGAGAAAAACGTGGAGATTGTCGTGATCCCAGATGCGGCCATCTTTGCGATGATGTCGCGCGTCAACAAGGTAATCATCGGCACGCACAGTGTGCTGGCCAACGGCGGACTGAGGGCGGCATGTGGAGCTTACACGGTGGCCTTGGCCGCCAAGCACTACTCCGTGCCAGTGATCGTGCTGGCGCCCATGTACAAGCTGTCGCCACTGCACCTGTGCGAACAGGACGCCTTCAACATGGTCGGCTGCGCAGAGGACGTGATCCCGTATGACTCGATTCCCGCCCGCGAGGCAAAGGTCTACAGTCCCATGTTCGATTATGTGCCACCGGAACTGGTCACCCTGTTTATATCAAACACGTACGTAGTAATTGTTTCCCTCTTGCTCTTTACTGTGCTGTTACTATCCATGATACTATTCTTTAGCGGTGGCCACGCCCCGTCGTATGTGTACCGCCTACTCACGGAACTTTATCACCCCGAGGACCTGGAGATTTGAAGTCGTGATTGTCTCGGTTAGGTTTTCTTCGCAAAAAATCATTCAATAAACGCTGACCTTGAGTTCGGCAGAAAAAGGCTTCCTGAAGATTGGTTTGATTTTAATTCGCTGTAGCAACGCCTCAGAAGAACTTGCAGCCTTGATAGTAAACACTTGTAAACATGCTTTTATTCGTTCAAAAGTAAATGCCTGAGTGACCAATCAACATTGTTAACAAACAGAGTTTTGTTTATAAATATTGAACAGTATTTAGTTTTGCTTAGCAGCAATAACAAGTCATCATGCGATGGATTGGTTTAGCTGTAGGAATAACTTAACTTGCACCTTATGCGTTTATAGTTGCTTTCAGGTAGCTATTTTCATTTCATATTCGCGTGACAGAGTCTCGAGTCTATTTTTTTATGTTTTCGAGGAGCTGAGTAAAATCCGCCAGGCTGTCCGCGTAGTAGTCCGGCTGGGCTTCCTCTGGGGCGCTTAGCATGTCCTCCTTGGTCAGGCAACCGCTGAGCACCAGCAGGGACTGGAAGCCGCAGGCCTTCCCGAACTGCACGTCTTGCACCAGGGTGTCGCCGATGAAAATGCAACGCGCCGGGTCCCGGATTTCAAACATCTCGCCGAACATCTCGCCCAAAACGGGCGACGGCTTGCCCAAGAAGGTAGCCTCCCGCCGGGTGTAGCGCTTCACGTGCTCCAGAAAGTCAAAGAATCCGGCCACGTTGAGGTTCTCGGCCAGAGGCATGATGACGTCGCTGCCCCCGGCTATTAGCTGGCAGCTCTCGTTCTCCTGCAGATGCCTTATGGCCTTGGCGAGCTCCACGTACGACAGGTCCAGGTGGATGTCGAAGAGCACTGCTCCCACGGGCTTCTCGATGGCCAGGTGATCGACGAGCGAGGCGGCGGTCAGGTGCTCCTTGACTTGCTGCGAGGAAAAGCGGGATCTTTATAACAAGCTCAGATCCAAGTAGTTAAAGCTAGAGCTATTGGCAGCAAAAGAATGGCAATACTTGGGTTGCCTGCGACTGCTCGGCATATTGAGTCAGCTTTTCCTTACATTGCTTGGCCAACTAACTTTTCTATTTTCTCTTACCAGCGACTCAAACTCAATGTTGTGCTTACGCAACGTCTCGTTGGCCTCCAGGGACATGAGGGAGAAGACCCTCTCTCCCCGGCTTGTGCTTCTGCAGGTACCTGACGATGGTCTTCACCGGGTGCACGATGTCGTCCTCCTGAACATCCCGGGCGCCTATGTGCCGGAACTTCTCCATGTAGCCCTCTTCGGAACGGAAGCTGTTGTTGGACACGAACTTAACCTGCTTGCCAGCCGCCTTTAGAGCGTTAACGGCGGGTCCGGTGTTCGGGATCCAGCCCACCAGGAGCCATACGACCCCATCGCAGTCGCTGATCACAAGGTCGAAGGAGTCAACGAACTGGCGCTGCTCCTCCAGGCTGAGCTTCAAAATGTGGCGAGGTGGCGACATGAAAATGTTGTGGGCTGTGTGGGCTTTTCGCTCTTTATGAACAGATGCTGGTTGCGCGCGCACGGAAGTTCCACAGCCGACTGACTGCCTTTGCCGGCATTTAACCCTCAATGTCAACGCATTGACATTGGCTCCCCGATTCCACGGCCACCGAAATATACATACGTGTGTATGTCAGGTATATATCTTTTATTACACGATTTAGCCAGCCGAGCTGAGTGCTCGTCCGATAAGATTCCGTATGTAAATAGATGCCACTTCTGGCTGGACGCGGCATGAAAGACGCGTGAGCTGTCTATTTCCTGCTTATCATCCGCAAAAATGTACTCATTGTTTTTTTCAGAACATTTGGATTTTTGAATGTAGGTGATTAGCCATTTGAGAATGTAATCCGATTGTGATCAAATTCTTTATAAAAATTTACAAAACTTGCAAAAGGAAGCCCCAAATCTTCGCATCCAGAGCCCACAACTATCACAATTTTGATCCGAATTCAATGTGTCGGATCTCTAAAAATATTTCCTCAGCAAATTGCGTTTAAATTGTTGCATTTTTTGAATACTCACCTTGTCAGATTTTTCATGTAACTCCCAAAATTCACTTAAAGGTGCAAAAATAATAATAGATTTTTTAACGAAGGTCTATTAATTGAAAAGAGGTCAAGTAAGTGAGGGCGATGTGCGGGATTATCGATCGGCGCGGTGCGAAGGCCTATTGTTTACATCGTTACAGGTTGCAATTCGTTTTTAGTGGTTCCGTCCATCTTGCAACTAAGCATGCACAGGCACAGTGAGCTCTCGACAAGGCGAACACTTTAAGAACGAAACGGACATGGTACACATATGGAAATCGTTTGTTTTGCCTCCATCACCTAGAGCACTGTGCTGTAGACCCGGGCCACACGTCAATGCCTTGACATTGATTGCTGCGGCACTTGGCCGGCGGAAACGGCGAAGAACGAGGAAGGGAAAAGCCGCTGAAACGGAACGGAGGAAACCACAAATGGGCAGCAACTCAAATTCAAATGTAACATTTCTATTGGCGGTGTCCGGAGAGACTTGTCCCCACCTCGGGGAAAGCTAAGAACAGGCCGACGGGCGTGCACCCGATATGTCTGCGCCGCTCTGGGTTTAGTTTGCTTCCTCCCGCGTTCCCATATATCACAGGTCCAATCGATTGCGGGCCCAGTTAGTTTAGTTAGGCGTCTCTCAGATAAGATACGGAGTACGAGTGGCGAGCGCTCGCGCAGAAATCCACCAGAAGAGCCCATTCTGGCCCCAGTGCTTGGAGCGACTGTTCCCGCCGGTTATACAACACACACGCAACAAAGCTCTGAAAAATGTCCGCGCTGGCCAACGGAGGACAGGCGGAGGATCTGAAGATCCTGGGCCAGTTGAAGAGCATCGAGCAGATCAACGAGCAGCGCCGCCTCTTTCTGAGCAGCACGATCAACGAGGAGGCGTCGGAAGGCCCAAATGGTGAGAGCAGCCCGGAGGAGAGCCTGGAGAAGGGTCTAAAGCAACTGGAGGCGGGCGAAGTGCCCGAGGAGGTGGCCCCGGCGACGCAGCAGCAGGAAAAGTCGCCCGAGCAGGCGGAGCAGCCGAAGCCCCAGCCCCCAAGCACGCTCACCCTAAACGTGAAGTACGCCACGCTGCCGAGTCCGAGTGTGGTGGCCTTGCGATCGCCGCTCTCGCCGCCCCCCAAGCCGCCCATGCTGGGCCGCACCCGAAGCATAGGCTCCGGCGACGGCAAGAGTCCCGTGGGCAACGGCGCACCCAGGCCCGACGGCCCCCTGATCCGACAGAGCTTCCCCGAGGGCGTGATCCTGGCTGCACCGAGCGCCCCGACCGCGCCGCCAGTTACCGCGGCCGAAGAAGCGCCGGCCACTGTGTCTGCCCGCCACTACGAGGGACTCATCGAAGAGCTGCGCTGCCCCGGCTGCGCTGGCGCCATGAAGGCGCCCATCCTGCTCTGCAAGAGCGGGCACAGCGTCTGCGAGCAGTGCACCCGCATCCTGCTCATGTGCCCACTGTGCAAGGTGAGACGACCGGCTGACGTCAGCGCCCGTTTTGGTTCGGCTGTTGACGCCTCCCGCGGGCTTCTTATCTAGTGACGTACTTGCGCGGGTAGAAACTAGGAGAAATTGCTAGGGAGCAGATTGCCACTATCGACGCACGAAGTGATCTCCAGTACCGATTACTTGTGTGCCCTGCGGTGGCACCTTTAATCGATTCTCAAGAGGAGACACTATCTCCACCGAACATAGATAGATAGATACACCGCTTCTGCTTGTCCGTTGGGAGTACTTTCCATACGTTCTGCGTTCCTATAGAAGCAAAGTGGGAAGTTCTTGCTATCCGATCATGATATTGATAAAATCGGATTGCAGACGTCCACAATGCTTAAGTTTGAGTAATGTGTCCGTGCAATTCCCCCGAGGAGTGCTTATCGCAGCGGGACTTCAAATAGCTGTAGGGCCAAACGTTGTATTCTACGTTTTGTGGAATAAAAGAATGCGGAGGCATTTTTAAGGGACGAACCCAACGATTCACGTTCGTAGCACAGACTAATTCCCCTTGTTTTGCTCCCCAGGAGGCCTTCACCTCCTCCCGATCGCTGACTGTGGAGGCGCTCTGCGCGAAGGCGCACTTCCGGTGCGGCCACGCCGCCGGCGGGTGCCAGGTGCGGATGCCGGTGGTCCTGCTGCCGTGGCACGAGCAGCAGTGCATGTACAAGCCGATGAAGTGCTTCATGGGGCGCGTGTGGGGCGACTGCCGCTGGCAGGGCCGCGAGGTGCAGTGGAAGGAGCACCTGGAAGAGCAGCACGCGGACCGTCTGTTCCGCGCCAGCAGCGCGCACCTCGAGTGGAACCTGGGCACGCGTCGGAAGCCGCTCACCGGCTACTACGTCTTCCAGGCGCACGACGAGATGTTCAACTTCTACGAGATACACGACCACCAGCGCATCCTGTTCACCATGACCTGCACCTCGAACCGGCGGGACAGCAAATACAACTACGCCTTTGAGGTGGCCATGCTCCAGCCGGACAACGAGGCGATGTCCATGACCCAGAAGTTCCCCGTGCACAGCGAGTACGACAAGGACATCCTGATGGAGGGCACTTGCGTCAGCATCCCGCTGGCCGAGCTCAGCCGCTTCCTGGACCCCGATAAGGTCAGTTCATCGCCGGCACGGTACGGCTGGTTGTCTGGTAACTATTCTGAGTTCGGAATTCTGAAACTGAAACCCCTTCCACCGACAGGTTCTTCACTATCGCGTGAGTGTGGTGGCGGTCAAGTCGCCGCGCCGCGCGAAACCTCCCCGCCAGAGTCTGCCTCAGCCTGCGGACCTCGAGCAGACCGCCAATGGCGGGGGCAACGGCAAGAGCGTGCCGACCAGCATGATAATCACGCGCACATACAAGGAGGCCATCGGCGAGGCAGCCGCGGATAGCAGGGCCGAGGCAGCCGCTCCGGACTCGGAGGAGGACGCGGCTGCCGGCGGCGGTGGGGCTGATGGGAGCGGAGCGCCGGAACTCGTGCGGAAGTGGGGCACGCCGCAACTGCACTTCAACCGGAAGTATCTGCGAAACACGCTGAACGACTCCTCGCCTCTGGAGGACGAGCTACGTCCTCTGGCCGCGGATCTGCGAAACGGACACGGCGACGACAAGCTGTCCCAGTGCAGCAACAGTACGAGCTATACGAAAAAGGTGTCCGACTCGCTGCGGCGGAGCTTCCGGGCCCTCAAGGCGGACATTGTGGAGATGCGGCCGTTCAGCCGGAAGGCGGGCAAGTCGGGATCCTCCTCTCCGACCTCTCCGATCTCTCCGGCCCAGACCAATGGCAACTAGTGGATCCACGGGTGTTTTTCCTTTGTATTTCCTATTACTCCTTAAAATGTTCTAAAACTTGAAGCATGTAAATACATATATATTGTTTTTAATCCACTCAAGGATGTTCTGAATTTTTGACCCAATGAAACGCCTTGAGTGTTCGTTTAGATGACACTTTATCTAGGACTTAGACTACACAACTTACAGAACTCCCGGCCGGCCTACAGCAGGCCCTGCATCTCGTTCATGAACTGCAGATAGGCGTCGTCCTTCGTGGGCGGCTTGTTGTGTGCCTCGGAGGGGGCGTGGTGGCCATCGCTCGGTGCGTGTCTGGGCCTTGCCGTCCGGCGCTGATCCTCGCGCTTCACGCGCAACGTGGAGGGCACGAAGCGGGTGACGTCCGCACTCAGGTTCCTGGCAAGCGAGAAGAGTGTAAGCATGACAAAACAAAAATTCACAAAGCTCTGTGAAGCGCACCTGATCTGTGGCTTGGCGGTGATGGTGGTCACCCCCTTGGCCGAGTCCTTGGGCGGACCGCCGCCGCCCTGCTTGTTGTGGTGGGCCAGGCGAGGGGGCAGACCTGGTGGTGGCCCCGGCGGCATCCTGATGCCCATTCGGGGCATGGGCCCCAGGCCGTGCGGTGGCCTCGCTCCTGGCGGCGGTCCGGGAGGCATGCGCATGCCGAAACCGGTGCCCGCGTGAGGTGGTCGCAATGGCGGAGGGCGGTACATGATGCCCGGCGGGCCTATGTTGTGCATGGGCGGCAGCTGCGGCAGTTGAGGAGGCGCTGGCACCGCCGAAGCAGGGGGCAGTGGAATAGTCGGCAAGGTCGGCGCCGTTGGAGGCGCCGGAGTTGGTTGCGACGGCGGGCCGGAGGAGGATTTTGATGTAGCAAGCTTGGCCGGCGGTTCGGCCATTTCTGAGTCCTCGTCCGGATCATCGTTGTTGTCGCTGTCGCTGCTACTGGCCGTCTTTCGGTCCGAGCTGGAGGCTCGTTCCTGGCGCTTTTCTACCTCCGCGTCCTCGTCCTCGTCGCGCAGTCTGTTTAAATCGTCCTCCTCGGCCGCCAGCCTGCGGTGCTTGCGCTTGTGCACGTGCTCCATTTCCTTCATGAAGTCATCTATGTTTTGGTTGTTCGGCTCGGAGGACTCATTTTCCTTGCCCTTGCTCCTCTTTGGCGCCTCCTGCTCCTCCTCCTCGACCTCGTCGTCATAGTCAGTGTTGCCCTCGGCATCGGAATCGAGTTCGGACAGTGCAAACAGGTCTGGTGGCGGTCCCGGGGGCACTCCCAGCCAATCTTTCTCTTCATCCTCCTTCGCCTTGTCAGTTTGCGCCTCGCAGGCCGACGCATCGCTGTTTTTTGCGACGCCCGGTGGTGCACCGGGGGCGTAGGGCGGTAGGGCCATGGTCATGGGAGGCGGGGGAAGGCGTATCCCAACGGCGGCTCCGAAGCCCCCGACAATCGGCCCCCCAGCAGAGCTGGTAGGACCGCCCGGAATGGCCGCAGACACGGGCGCGGGCAGTGGGATCTCGTCGATCTGAACGCTCTGGGCGTGCTTGACGCTCTCATAGTACTGCTGCTTCTTCAGGCGCTTCTTTTCGTACTCCACCTCCTTTCGCTTAAGGTCCGCCCAGTGCTCAGGCTCGTCGTTATGCTGAAAGAACAGGGAGGCGTTTAGGGCTCCATCCCGGTGACCAGGGAGACAAACTTACGTAGAGTCGCATCACCCGGTCGAAGGTTTCCTTCAGTTTCTTTCGCTTGTCGCGAAGCACCTTCTCGTTCAACGGCGACGGCTGCAGCACGTTGTACTCTATAAAACGGAGGCACTGTGTCAGTGGCTGGCTCTAGGCTAACTGCGCGCTTACCCACCCATCTCGTCGATTTTCTCCATCTCTTCGAGAATTTGCGAAGGGTCCTTGTTCTTCAGCACCGCCGCCCGCACCATTTGGCGCTGCCTCTTGTTCTTCTTAAGCTCCTTTTTTCGGGCCTCCTTGCCTGAAAGAAAGCGCCTGGTGGGTCAACACTTCGTCGTGGGCCAACTATTGTACTTACGCGCCTGGTCTGTGGGGTTCATGTACTTGCCACTCTTTGTGGTGTTAATAGAGCGGCGCCCCATCTTGCCGGCAATCTTTACAATGTTAATTTAACAAAATAATACTTTAAAACTTAGCGGCGGTGTTGTTTTCTTTTTGTTGCCCCAAACACTAGTGCTGGTCGCTCAGAAAGTCGCTAGAAAGTGCGGCCACACATAAAATCAGCGGGAAAAAGCTAACGGCTATTAAGGGGTTGGAGGCATTACTAAGCCCTTCCATTTAATAACGAAACTTTATATAAAAAATTTGTGTCCCCTGTCACTCACACTCGTTCACTCTTGTATTGCTCAAAAAATGACAAATACTTACGCACTAGGTATCTGTTGAATTAAGTTTAGCATTTATAGAAAACTTTAAATTAAACTCAGTACAAATGTAGATCTTGACATTCAATTTACCCGCTATGCGCTAGTGCCCGCACTGCCGCTAACAGAGCAGAAGTGGACGTTTTCCAACACCCGGCAATCGTGCCACAAAAACTGGCGGGATACAAATTTAAAGTCGACGCTCGAAATGTCGTCCGCGAGTGACCCGGAAAATAGCCTGATCAACCTCTTCTTGGACTGCAGGCTGAGCGACGACGATGAGCCGGTGGCAGGTTATCAGCCACTGGAAGCCACCAGCCAGGCAACCCAGTCGCAGTGCCAACTGGTTCTTTTCAAGTCGCCGTGCAAGGCGCCCCAATCCCAAATGCGAATGAGTGCTTCATCTGCGGACGCCGACGAGATCATCGTTATTTCTGATGAGCCGGTGGTCAGCTACCTCTACTCTTCTCAGATGAGCAGCTCCTCCGAAGAGCCATTGGCACAGACATACAGCGATTTTATCCCTGAAACGGATGACAGCCGTGAGTTTTCGATGTGATAGTAAAATGACAAGTTTATCCCTTTTCGATCGCCGTAGGTCCTGTTTCCCCGGGAGCTTTAACCGACATGGATTCGCGTCTAAAGCAACGCTCTCCGGATAGAAGTCTAGACAAGCTGGCCAACCCCACGAACCGCTCGGTGGTGACACGCAGTGGTCGCGCGGTCAAAGTGCGCATGGACAAGGAGTTCGACTACTCCTCCTCCCAGTCGAAGGGCGACGGCGAAGAGGACTCCGACGACGACGATGACTACCAGCAGGCACTGGAGCTCAAGCGGCTGGGTCGCAAGCGGGTCAGCCTAGAGCATAGCAGCAGTAGTGCCTGCAGCACTGACACCAGCTTCTCCTCTCCGGAGGGGGCTCCCACCATCTACCTACAGCTGGGAAGCCAGGTGGCTCTCGTCAAGCGCGATCCCCTCGCCGATCTCTCCTTGGACGACGACGAGGACCTCAAGACAAAGGTGCACAAGTTTCTGGGCCTGATGGCGGCGCGGCGCAGACTGTACAACCCGGCGGACGACAGCGATCCGGTGCCGGAGGAGGACGAGAAGGTGGTGTCGCCTCAACATGTCCAATGCCGGCTGATCACCCCCACGCCCACCAAAAAGGACACTGCGTCGCCCAAGCCCATTGTTTCGCGTTCATCAATGGATATTTCTGTTTGGTGGAGGCTAGCTATAGCGCACCGTGATCCGCCCACCCTAGAGGAGCGGCAAGCGAAGGCTGTCGACGACTTTGTGCTGCAGGCCAACGCCAACTCAGCAGAGGAGCAGACGCCCGACCATCTCAAGACGCCCATCGACCTGAGCGAGCTGCCCAGCAGCAACCATGTGGCGGTAATCTGCCGCCGCCACAAGGAAAGCCTCATCTGCCTGAAGCGGCACCCGCTCTTTTACGGATTTGTGGAGTCGCTCAATCGTAAGTTGTCCGTCCAGCGTTGAGCCGCCGAGTCTGATCTCCTGCATTTCAGCGAAAACCCCGATCAGCATGTGTCACCCAATGGCGGTGACCTACCGCGAGAGCAGCTTCGACCGCTGCAAGGATGCCCTGGCCAAACAGCTGTTCAATATCTTAAACCATGCGGTCTTCCACTGCGGCCTGCAGGCGCCCATTAACTGGAAGCGCGGCATGGCCATACCCAGCCTAAGCGAGCTGTCCGTGGGCGACTCCGGGCAGCGCACCGCCCGCATCCTGCTGTCAGAGCGCATAAGCCAGCCGGCCATGCTCGTAAAGCCGCTGCTGCACGAGATGTGCCATGCGGCGGCCTTCGTTTTTAACCGGGAGACAGGGCACGGCGACAACTGTCGCAGATGGTGAGTTCATTTTAGTGCGTCAAAATTAAACATTCCGTGAAAATCACCCACTTTCGTCCACTTGCAGGGCGTACCAGGCAAAGCACGCGCTCCCGGAGCTGCCAGCGATCGACGACTGTGAGGTCACCTTCAAGTACACCTGCTCCATGTGCGCTCGTTGCTCCTACGGAAGGATCCAGTTCAGGACGGAGCAACTGCGCTGCCACTACTGCCAATTCGAGGTGGGGGTCAAGCCCTTTCACCAAGACGACGTGTACCAGGGCACCCGGCCGGACACGACGATGACACCGTTCAAGTCCTTCGTCCGGGAGCACTACCTCAAGCTGGGCGAGCGGGGGGGTGGCACGCACAGCTCCAAGATGATACAGCTCAGCGGGGAGTACGCGGAGATGAACTCTCCGCCTGATAGAGAAACCCGATCGCGTAGGGTAAAAAAAAGAGGCCAATAGAAGCAGTCATTCATAGTCATTAAATAAGACTCTAAAGTGTTCATGCATATCATAGTTAGATCTACAAAGATTCGAACTAAGAGTAATATAAGCAAGTAAGCAATAAGAAGTAAAATATTCAAACTATGTATGTATGTATGTTACAGCACCTAATACTATTAATCTAAAATTAAGTGTAAAATGGAAAGAAGATTCGTTAAGTTTTGGAACTCAAATGAAAGTGGAATATTTGAACAAGAAATATATATATTTGTTTAAAAAAACACAAGTTATTCACAATTCACTCGCGAAACGGTCCCGTTGGCTTCCATAATCCAGATGCAATCTAACATAGAGTCAAAGACTATAGAATATCAAGATGTTGCATGACCTCAAAAAAATCGTTCTATGGTGGGTCTTGATATGGAGACCCACATTACTTTGCACTTTTAAAGGCAGCTAAGACCATATACTCAATTAGTTCGCCGCGCTTCATGAAGCCCGGTGGTGTTGTGGTAGATGCTATGCCTCGTGTACATGAAGGCCCGGGTTCGTATCCTCGCCGAGCCCAGCCATATCATAAATTGTTTTTTTTTTTTTTTTTGTGTAAATTAATTAATTATTTTATTTTTACATTTTTTTTTCAATTTTTTGTTTTTATATTTTTTTTCGCGTTCATGCAAGTGGTGAACAGCCTGATACAATTATACAAGGTAGTCCACTCGGCAAAATCCATAGTCCCCTAATTTAACTTTGTCAAGTAAGTGTGAGTGAAACGGCTACATTGTGCTTCAGTTTGACAAGCAGGCACGCACTGAAAATAAGGGACCAAAACCGAACGAGTGGACTACGTTGTATAATTGTATCATGGTGAGCAGCAAAATACCCTAAAACGCGTATGTACACGCGCATGTGTGAAAATTTAACGACACAATTATCTGAATAAGGAACATTATTAATATTGCACCTATGAATTCTTTAATTTAATTATTATAAACGAAAAATGATGATTTAAATGAAAATTAAAGAAAATAAAATAATAATGCTTTACAAGTCTGATATACCCTTCTACTATTGTAAAGTGTATAAAGCCCGATAAACTGAAAACTAGCAGCTGTGAACAAATTCCCAATTTGGGAACACGACGAATATTAAAAACGAAGACGAAAGCCGAAAGCAGCAGTTCGTCGTGTTTCTATTTTTAGATTTTCCCTTTTTACCCCGACCGACCGCATCATGAAGCTCGAAACAGAAACGAAAAATTGTTTGTATGGGATGCAACATCTTGATATTCTATAGTCTTTGATAGAGTGCACCGCTTACTTCCGAGGTTACATCTGTCAAATAAATGTAACCAGCAAGGCTAGGGCTTGTTCCAGCCATTGCTACCCAAAGAAGACTCAACACTGATGGCGAAATATTTTTGTACTAAATACATTTATTGGTTTCTGCTCCAACTGAATCCGGGGCCTCGCGTTCCTAGCCCATCATTCCTTTGCTACGCTTGAAGGCTGCTCCGGCCTTGCGGTTGTGGTTGGCTCGCGACGACTTGTGGGCTTCCTTCTGACCTCTGCTGCGCTGAGTCTGCTGCGTCTGGCCCTGGCCCTTGGGAGCTCCCACCACAGAGGGGTTGGAGTGCTGTACGCCGCTTCCCCCCCCGCCGCTCCTCTGTCCGTACTTGGCCAGCTGGCGCTGCTGGTAGCGGGCACGGGTCACTTCAGGGTTTTCGCAAAAGTCCCTGCTGCTCCGCTTCCCCGCCTCCGCATCCGCATCCGAGGTGCTTTCGGAGCTCTCTTCGTCGTCGTCCTCCACCTGGTCCTGGGCTTCGTAAGCAGAGTTGGAGGCCGCACCCTGGAGCCTTGCCCGCAGCAGACTCACTGGCGGCGCCTGGCCCTCGTTAAGTGCCTCGTAGCTGTCGTCGTACTCGTCGTCGTACTCGCCGCCTTCCTGCGGGCCCTCCTCTACCAGGGAGTACTGCTGGTAGCGCTCCTTTAGCTGCCCCAGGTCCCGCTTGTCGTCCAGCAGCTGTTCCGCATTCCGCGGCGCCCCGGGCAAACCCTTGCCCTGCTTTATGATGCACTCTGGCTGGTCCCGGGTCAGCACGTCGTAGCGGTCGCCGTCGTGAACGTTGAAGTGGCGCACGCCGGTCTGACGCTGCAGCTTGTCTTGTGGGTCGGGCGGAACGTACACCTCCTGCCGGTCCATCTGCGCCAGGTCCGGCGGCAGGTTGTCGTCCAAGATGGCGGCGATGGCCTGCTCGCTGTTCTCGTAGCGCGTGAGCAGGCGCCGGATGAAGCCCCTGCCCAGGTCGGGTAGTACGTCCAGCACAGCGGTCACCTCGAGGTCGAAGTCTCTAGCGGCTCCGTTGGCAGTCGGCGACGGCGGTGGCGAGTTGCGTGAGGAGTCCTCTTCGTAGTCCTCGTCCTCCGCCTCGCTGTCCAAGTTACTGGCCATGTCGTCGGCCATTGTGCCGCCAGGGCAGCTACTTAAGGCCTTCTGGTAGCCGGCGGTCACGAAGTCAACTTTGTAGTTCTTGCTGGCGGTACAGGGACGGTGGGTATGAATATAATTACCGGGACAGGAGAGATGGGTATGGGGAGACCACTTACATGCTTGGGCAGCGTTGGACCAGCAGCTCCATGTCGTGCTCCAGGGGAAACTGCCGCTGATAGTCCACCACGAAGGTCTGCGCGGAGAGGCACTCCTGCAGCAGCTCCACTAGCTGCTGGCCGCGCCGCGCCTCCATCTGCAGGCTGACCACACAGCGCACGACGAGAAGGAACTGCTGGCGCGTCTCGTTCAGCCAGCGCAGAGAGCTGGCCCCCGGTTGACCATGTAGATGTTCTTGTAAAGCATCGGCACCGTCATGTCGTAAAAGTTGGCGATGCTGCGTAAACGAAAGGAAAAGCAGGTCAGCTAGACTGCGCCGATACCTCGTTCAAACCACACCTCTGGGTCAGACGCAGCTGCTCGACGGTCTCCACCAGATCGGGACAGAATTGTAGCAGCAGGCGCAACGTGTAGGCGCAGTCCAGCGCAAAGAGCACCACATCGTCGTAAGGCGTCTCCGAGTCAGCGTCCAACGGCGCTCCGCCGCCAGCACCCTCGCAGCCCTCGTTCTCAACCTGGATCTGCATGCTGAGAAAGGCGCTTTCATAGAAGGCCAGCGCCTCCTTCAGGTCCTTCCGGTATTCCGGCTGCAAGCGCAGAACCTTCCCGAAGATCTGGCGCAGCAGCTCCGCGTTCGAGGGCTCCGCGTCGCCCACGGCGATGAGCAGGTCGAAGAGCAGCGGCACCGAGATTAGGTAGTTGCTGTACAAAAGGCTGCTGTGCTGCTGCGGGCTGATCCACTCCGAGTCTGACTCCTCAGGTGTGCAGAGTCGCAGCACCACGCGCACCACGAGGTCGAGCAGCTGCTCGTAGAGAAGGCTGGCCTGCTCCAACTCCTTGTCTTGGATGTCATCGGGTTGACGGTAGTAGGGATTCGCACGCTGCAGGAAGGTGACAACGGCAGCCATGGCCGTCTCATCGTATACCATGTAGGACCAGAACCTGGCAGATACCACGTAAGGTTTGGTCGTGGCCAGGAAAGGAGTAGGTGGTACTCACTCGTGCTGGGAAAGGCTCAGCAGGAACTCCATGTCCTGCCGACAATTGGTAGCCGCAAAGGTCCACTCCTCCAGCGCGGCTCCGGATTTCAGGCGGCCATAGGAACTCATCAGGCAGAGGTAGCTGCCGAATGGCTTCTCGCGCCGCACCCAGTGCTCGTCCTGCCACGAAATGTCTGTATTAGTGTGCTCCTGACTAGTGCTCACTGGCGGTCACCTACCAGTGCCGGAACGTGCCTGCGCACCCCATCCTGACCGGAAAGCGCGAGTTTCAGTTCACCCAGCGGCAGCTTCTGTGGGTTGCAGCTGTTGTTGTTGCTGGTGTCGTTGTCCAGCATGGCGAAGAGCAGTCAACCTATTCCAACTGGAGGAAGTCGCTTTTGCGATTTTGGCGAAGTGTTGCTGGCGAAGTGAGCTGGAGAAAACACCGATGTATCGATACATCGTCGAAACAAGCCAAACAAGCTTTTTCCAGATTTTCATTTTAAGTGGAGGTGGTCACATTGATTATTTGCCACTTCATTTAAAAAAAAAAAGGAGTTGGCCCGTTTCCTTTGTAGAAGATTCCAAAATAGCGGACATCGAAAGCCATCACATCGGTAAAAAATGAAAATGGGGAACCCAGAGGTTCCTAGCTTTACTGTGGATTCCACAGAAACCACTATCACGTTCGCCAGCCCGAAATCCCGTGAAGACTCCTTTGAGTTTATAGCCCAGGCAATCAGAGGAAAAAACCACAACACAAGCAGAATCGTTTTGATATGTCAGCAAATTTTAGAGGCCAAGCATCTGAAATCGGAGCTCGCCAGTCGCAATGTCAACACGTTACTTCTGTCAGCGGATGACCCGATACCCGGCCAAATGTTAGTTCTCTGGACCAAGGGGGTAAGTTTTCTATATTTAATATAATTTACAATGGATGCCGTGCGAGTTTTTGAAGTGGAAATAACTTCTATAAACACACATACATATGCACATACATATGTACATACATACTTTCAAAAAAGAAACCCCACATAAAATTTTTTTTAGATATGTACATAATTTTTTAACAGTTAGCTATTTTATGCTAAAGTTGAGAGGAGCTCAAAAGTATACCTTAATTAGTGGCAATTTGCTAAGTTATTTGCTTGGAAAAGTTTCATCAAGATAGCTTTAAAATTGAGAGACTAGTTTACATAGAAACAGACAGACGGACAGACTATTTCGATTCAGATCGGGATGCTGATCAAGAATATATATACATACATACTTTAAGGGGTCTGAGGTAATACCCTCTGCATTATTGCCCATTAGAGAAGTAAAGTTCTCTGTTCTTGTCTTTCTCCATTCGTTTTCAGTACATTCAACAAGCATTGATTCTTTGCGATGACATGCTTCACTTGCTCGCAAAGATCGATGTGACTTTCGTGATCCATACAACGCTTCCGCCCTCGAAGGAGTTCTTGGAACGTTTGGAGCTGTTGAAGAAGTCGCAAATCGAAGTGGACATGCTGGCTATAATTTGCCACAGCGAGGAAAACTTGAAATCCGGCAGTAATAAAACGAAGCCTTGGCCAGAAATCGAAGATATCCAAAAAAGATGCTTAGACGAGGGTCCTCAGAACTTGGGTTTCCCAATGGAAATTAGGGATAACACCTTGTCTTCCTTTCTTAAACTGGAAGAATCGGCTTTACATTGCCAAGTCACCGATCCTAAAATTGCACCTACGGATCTATATGGCACTGAAGAAACCGCCTCGACGGACTCCTTCAAGACTGCCAAACAGTTCCACCCGCTGGCCGGGTCAGAGGACGCTCCTGCGGTGGGGCCCAAGTCCAATACCCGGAGTGAGTACGGCGTGCTGGCCTGCAGTCGCCACCCGATCTTCTCCTGCTACGACCTGGGCGGCGTGCCCGCCATAAGCGCACCCATCGCGGCGGCCACGCGCCGTCTGGGCATCGGTGCCTCCCGAGCCAAGGGCGTCCAGAGGTTCGCCTGGCCACACGTCTCCGCAGGCAAGTCCGTGATCGTCGTGGGCAACTCGAAGATCGGCAAGACCTGGTGCTATCTGCCCACGATGTGCCAGTGCAGCTATGAGGAGCTGCAGCGGCGGCCCACGCTCGGCTGCGGACCCACCAGCATTCTGCTGTGTCCCAACGAGGAGCACGGTGCCAAGATCCACCACTGGGCGGAGCAGCTCTTAGCTCCGCTGCGAGGGGAGGTGGCTTTGGAGGGCGTGGTCGCTCTCTGGGAGAAGGGCTGCGTGAGGGACGCCGCCAACCGGCTTGGCCAGCCCGTCGGAGTTCTGCTGACTACCGTGGACCTGATGCTCCAGCTGCTGGCCCTCCACTCAAGTCAGTCACCCCTTTTCGACGCCCGCGCTGTGAAGCACATAGCCTTGGAGAACTTGAGCGAACTGGTCTGCCTGCAGCCGGTCGAGACCACGAAGCTGCTCAGGAAGCTGTCCGAGTTCTTCGAGTTCGGCCCGGGAAAGTGCCAACTCCACGTCTCCGGTCGAAGCTGGCAGGAGGAGTCGGTGATGCAGCCCATCCTTTCGCTGGTACCCGATGTCCTGGTACTCTTCGAGGACGCCCTGGAAGCCAGTTTCCACCGCGACGTCAAGCTCGACTTCGAGCTGGTTCTGGAGAACCAGAAGTTCGACCGCCTGGTGGGGATGGTCGCGAACAGAGACCTCGCCACGGAGCGGGTCGTGGTGGTCTGCCAGAGTCCACGCGAGGTACGCGATCTGCACAAGAAGCTGGCCCAGAAGCAAGTGGCGGCCCTGCCCTGCTACTCGGAAGTGGGCTTCCCCATGGTCACCCGGTGGCGAGTAGAGTCCATGGCGCTTCCGCTCCTGGTCGTGGACGAAGTGATGCCCAAACTGAATTGCGGCCCCATCGACCTGCTTATCCACTACAGCTTAGCCACCAGTTGGCTGCTGTTGAAGAAGCGCTTCACTCTGTTCTTCGAGAACTTCCGACTTCCGCCCCCCAGACGTCGTGGGCACTCCGTAATCTTCCTCCTGGAGAACTGTGGGGAAGGCGTTTGGCAGCTCTGCGACTTTCTGTTGAAGCACGGGCTACCGCGGCCCGCCCCGCTGCTGGACATTCTCTCCCAGCGCCACCTGGTGCAGCAGCTCCAACCGGAGCCGCTGATGCTCTGCAACCAGCTGACCGCCCACGGGGATTGCCTGAGGTACCTATGCCGCTACCGCCACTGGATGTGGCGGGAGGAGGTGCGCCCACCGGATCACTACCCCACCAGCGGCGAGATTCGGTTTACGGTCCTGACTGTGAGTACTCTGAAATTGTGAAAGGGGTTTTTAATTAGAAGGAGGCTTGTTTATCCCCTCGCAGTGTAACAGTCCCGCTCATCTGTCAGTGCGTCTGAACAAGGACTTCCCCACGGTGGCCTTCTTCAACGGCGTCCCGATGAGCCAACTGGGAGCTCAGCTGCAGCGTCACTACGGACTCGAGGTGAACCGGCACAGGCACCCGAACCCAAACCCCGGGGAGAAGGCGGTGGTCAGGAACATGAACCGATACGACCGGGTGGCAATTTTGAAGGCGATTGGCGATGGACGGGTCGCTGTGCGACTGCTGGACTCGTCCACCGATACTCTCGTCTACAATGCTAGCCAGGTTTACATCTGCGAGAAGATCTTTCAGGTGAGGTCTACTGTCCATTATGGACTGGGTCAACCTTTTCATCTCACTAAACGCTTTCCGGGCATACTTACTCAGTCCATAAGCCTGGCTTTTCCGGCACTACGTTGATCCTTAGAAGAACACTTTGCTTAACAACCTCCCATTTCCAAACCCTCTGCAGAATCAACCCAGCGAGGCGATGGAAGTTCGGATTGCAGGCCTCGAGTCCGGCAGCCTGGATCGCTTCTGGCCCGAGGACTTGCGCAACGCAGTGCGCACCCAGTTCTTCAGGCGGGATTCGCAGATTATGTGCCGTCGTGAGTACCATGCCCAAGTGCAGGCCACCATCCACGCGACCATCTTCGTGGACAACGTGTACGACGACAAGGGCGACGACCTGCGCGGCTTTGTGGTGAAACGCTTCAGCGCCCACCAGGAAGCGCGATGCTTGGACAAGCTAAGGCAGATGGTCCAGAGCTCTAGGCCAACCGCAAAAGCAGCCAACTCAGCTAAGAAAGACTGAGAAATCTTTTTTCACTTTTAATATTTTACTTTTAGTTTTATTTCGAAACGCGTATTCTACTTGAAACTGCATTGATTCGTTTCTGATACCAAGACGAATATAATAGAAGTATAAGTATTGCTTATTTTAAGCAGACTTAAATTGGATCTTAAAAGCGTGTTCATAAAATAAAGAGCCTTAACCGGAGTGGTTAGCTTACGGATATCAAGAGACAAGGTGATCTATGTCTTCATAGATCGCTGGCCTGCTGGCCACACGGACAATCGATATTAATGGGAAGAGTTATTTTTATATATGTACATACATATATTTATATACACATTAGTACCATATCTAACTAAGAAACCGTTACTTTGCATTGCCAAGTAAGTGTGTCCCTGTCCATGTGTGTAATCACGGCCTGCACATTAAATGTCGTTTTCCAATGTAATAATCATGCGACAGCCCGACGAGGTAGGCTCCTAGCGCGTCCACGTGGTACGAGTAATGACTCTTCCGCCGTTCCAGGGCAGGTGTCACATTTGTAAGCGGGTTTTTTGTTGCGGCCAGTGCCGCCAGAAGCACCAGTTCAAGGCCCACGCCATCGCTGTGCGCGAACCACTGGGGTTAAAAGCCTGCGGCGCAGACGGCGTCGGCGGGATCAAAGAGCACTGCCATAGGATGGAGTCCGGAGCAACCACTATCTACGTGTTCTGTCCGATCTGCGAGCGGCGGCCGCTCCTGCTGCGCGAGGAGATGCATGGCGAGCTGCTGGCCCACATCGAAACCTGCCACCTGCCGCTGCGGTGCCGCAAGTGCCAGCGCAACTACACCCACATCGACGACCTGCGCGAGTTCAGCAAGTGCGTGGACCAGGCGCAGAGCTGCACGGAAGCAGGCTGCACCGACCTCAGCGGCGAGACAGAGGCCTCCAGGGCAACGGTAAAGAAGGCGTGCAACAGCACCGCCATTTCTACGCAGACGTCGCCCGGTGTGACGCCTATATCGCTTATCAATATGCGGTGGAAGGCCAAGAGCCGCGTCACCCACGAAGAGTTCATTAGCGACAGCGTCTCCTCCATCCGCAACCTCTCCTCCTTCAGCAACAGCTCAACCCAGCGTTCCGCCGGCCACCTGGGCGTGAATCCGCCGGCAACCGTGGAGAAGGGTAAGGTCATAAGGTCAACCTCTACTCCGCTGCAGTTGGAGCCGGTGTTCGCCAAGCCTAAAGAGCCGGTCACCTTCAACGCCTCCCACGGCGGGCATGTGTCCAGCATTTACCATGAGGAGCCGGTGGCTAGTCCACCCCAAGAAAGCAATCCCTCCCAGCAGCAGCAGCCTCCGCAACAGCGCGCCTGGAAGATGGGCGCCCGCAACAAGATGAGCGCCGCCACACCGCTGCGGCAGGTCATGTCGAAAAGTATCCAGAAGGCCTTCGTGGAGCATGGCGGCATGCTGACGCAGCCCGCGTCCGCGGTTATCCAGCGCCGGGTTCGCCTCGATCTCAGCGAGCACAGCTCCTGCGAGGCGGCCGCCGGAGGGTCCTCCGCGCTGGACCTGCGCCTCTCCCCAGCCCTGCGGCGCACCCAGAGCGAGATTAGCAGCTCAGAGGTCAGCTCCTGCTCGCAAAATGTCGACCTTTACAAGCGGCCGTTCCTGCTGTCCGCTCAGAAACTCACCACCGAGTCAATCATTATCACCCGGATGAACTCCAACTCTCAGGAGAGCTCCTCCACGGTGTACAACTCCTGCGAAAGTGTGGAGATCATCTGCTCCACCTCGGAGCCAGCTGCTGTCCATGTGCCGGCCATAACGCCCATCCGCGTCACTGGTGCTGGAATCAACAAGAAGCAGATCAAATTCGAGACTCCGCCTAAGAGCGGCCAGCAGCTGGTCGCCCGTGGCGAGGCCGAAGACTCAAAGGACCAGTTCTTCACACCCGATTCTGGGACGCCGGAGCGACCAGAGCGGGTGCGGCGTCGCCAGCCGATCGTACCGCGCCAGTTAAGCGGTGAGTTCTCGCCCAGAAAGAACAATTTCAAGGAGAAGGAGCTGACGGTATTGACTTTGGTTTCCTCGCCACTGCAGCGCCCAAGGGCGCGTCCTCCGCTGCGTGAGTGCCGACAGAGCAGGGCCTTCAGCGGCGTGCAGGATGTGGGCGAACCCGAGACTCAGGACGAGGAGGAGGAGGACGAGGTGTTCCGGCCCACGAACGCCTCCACGTGCAACGAGAAAAAGCAGGAGCCACCCAGCTCTGGTCGCCTATGGTCGCTGATGAGCTCCATGATGCGCCTGCCGGCCAGCTTGCGTGGCGAGCGAGACAAGGACCAGCACCAGGAGCGGGACAAGGAGAACGCCGGCTCGGGCTCCATTATACGCCGGTGCGCCTCTATCGCCGGGTCCCTCGTGCGCCCTGGCACCAAGGAGTCTTCCGTTGAGGACCAACAGACCCTTAAGCGAAAGCGCACGCACACGCTGGACAACCAGTACTGCGGTCCTGTATCGCCGTCCAGCTCCTCGAAGCGCTACCGCATCCGGTCCCGGGAGCCTATTGAGCGGATGCGGCGCCAATAGCGATTAAGCTTTTATCTGAGAAATTATGTTTTAATCGAGAATCTGTTTTAAAATTTTAATAAATGTTCCGTCTTGCATTTACCGTTACGCTCGGCGCTGCCACCCTTAGAAAGGTGCTCATGGGGCTATCCACTCACAAGAGCCTACTTCGCGCCTTACGACCGAAGCACAGACGGCAAACCGTCCAGTATAAGCTAAGCTGTCAACTTAAACGGAGTGATGCAGGCCCGACCACGAACTCCGTCCGGCGAGCCGGAAGCCCACAAGCTATGGATTCACTGCAACTGCTGCTGCGCGCTGTACGCCGAGAAAAAGTGTGATTTTTTTCTGCTCGCCTGCCACCACGTATGCTGCGAGCGGTGCGTCAAGGTCGTCGCGGGACGCACGCCCAGTGATGCACCCATCTTCGAGTGTCGCACCTGCAAGCGGAGTGTGCGCGGCCGCCAGGTGAACAACGCAATGCCCAACAATTTTAAGCAGTTCTTCCACCCGAAGCCCTTCACCTTGACCAACGACTTCATTGAAAAGTTTCAGCGGGGCAATAACCACCACTTCGACAGACACAAAAATAAAAAGGTCAATAAAACGAAATGTTTTGTACAGCAACAACCCTTAATTAAATGTTCCCTATTTGTAAATTCAACTAAACTACCTAATTATCCCATGTTCTGTATCCACAGGAAGCGGAGATGTACAAGCTGAATAGAGATATCGAGCTGGCAAAATCCGTATGCCAGAAGCGCCTCCGAGAGGTGCAGATGCTAAATGTGGAACGCAAAAAGCTAGTGCAACGGGCGCGGCAAATAAAAACGCAACTTGAAATTAAGAAGGCGGAAATTCAACGGTTTGAACTATTTTTTATGTGTTTTAGAGGTTATACCTAAAAGTTAAATTAATTTTGTCCGTTAGGAATTCGCAAGCCAAGATGAGCCGCTCCCTAGAGTCACAAAGTCATTTGGAGGATTCCGTCCGTGGCCGAAATCGGCTGTCCCCAAAAAATTCTGGCAGTCGGCGGAGCTCTAATGACTTTAATCGGAAACATGTCACCAGCTTTATTCACCAGCCAAACCACTCGTTTAACCTGTAGCCTAATGTGTTCTTTAAAAATAACGTATCCTTTCTCACACAATCGTACATATATAAATAAATATTACTAAGTTCTAGGTTTTTAGGTTTGCTAAATTCGAAAAGTGTACTCGCTAATGGTGGAGGATGTCTCGACTAACACAGCCCGGTGATGCCAACTTAGAAAAGGCAGGATTTTTTAGAGCATTGGGGCTAAAGCCAATTCACTTTCTGTCAACACAAATTGTTTTTTATTTTTTAAAACTTAAGCCAAGCGTCGCTAGAGCAGGGAATCCGGGGTAAACCAAAGGCAGCACACCTAGACACACACACCGATACGGATACGGTCAGTATTAGGCTCGGAAACGTGATGATGAGTGGCAAGGCGGTCGGGGTGGTAGTCCTCAACTGCAGGACGTGCACGCGAGCATGCAAGCAACACAAGCCGCTGCAGGAGGAGATCGAGCTGGGTTTGGAGGGCAGCACCACGCTAGCCAGCATGCTTCACTACTGTGCCGGGCTCTCCTTCGAGCCGCAGGACGGCGTGGCCATGCCGCAGCACATTTGCCTCAACTGCCTGCAGCTGTTGGAGCAGGCGTTCAACTTTAAGCGTATGGTCATCGACTCGGACGAGCTCCTGCGCCTGGGGCTGGACGAGGCGCACGGCGTTAGTCGCAATCAGCATCAGAGTCAGCCCCAGCATCTGTCTGAGTCTTCACAGAACCCACACCACCAGCAGCAGCAACAACAACAGCAGTCCGGCGAGCCCAGGGAAGAATACGTCATGATCGAGATGCTCAACGAGGAGCAGGAGCCAGGCACTGTAAGTACATGGGCGCAGTCCACTGGACGGCTAAGGAACATTACTCCAGGAACATCTTTTTTCCAGGAGGTGGAGGAACACGAGGCGGCGACGCACCACGACGAGGAGGATTTCGTCATCGAGGAAGTGGCCGAGCAGGAGGAGGAGCTGGCCGAGGAGGAGCGCAAGCACTCGCACACGGGAAGCCAACAGGAGCACATCACCGTAGAGAGTGTCCACGAGTTCCAGCCCACAGAAGTGGAGTATGTCACCATCAAGGACGAGTACGAGACGATCGTCACCGAAGAGGACGAGATCGAGGTCATGGACGAGTCCGGCGGCCACGACGAGATGTTGAATGGCCAGATGATTGTAATACCCGCCGAAGGAGCCATGGACGAAGTGATCGGGGAGACCCTCGAGCTGGACGAGGACGAGCGCGAGGAGCATTTGGTAAGTAGTCGTATGCACGGCGGCCAAGCACCCCATTTAACCAGAACTCTACCACAGCTGGCCGAGACGGAGGAAGTCTGCGAGGAGGAGGACTTTCTGGAGGAGTCGCTGGACTCTTCGCCGCTAACAGCGGGCGAGGCCTTGCCTCACGTGTGCTCCGTCTGCCAGAAGGCGTTCCGCCAGCAGTGCCGCCTTAACCAGCACATGCGCTCCCACGTGGACGAGAAACACTACGAGTGCGAAGAGTGCGGAAAGCGGCTGAAACACCTGCGTAACTACAAGGAGCACATGCTGACCCATACGAACGTCAAGCCGCACCAGTGCAATGTCTGCGGCCGGTTCTACCGCACTACCTCGAGCCTTGCGGCGCACAAGCGCACGCACGCGGAGGAGAAGCCCTATAACTGCGACCAGTGCGATCGAGGCTACGCGGCGTACGATCACCTGCGTCGCCACAAACTCACCCATACCGGCGAGCGTCCCTACGCCTGCGACCTCTGCGACAAGGCGTACTATGACTCCTCCTCGCTACGCCAGCACAAGATCAGCCACACCGGCGAGAAGGCCTTCACCTGCGAGATCTGCGGCGTGGGGCTCACCCAGAAGTCTGGCTACAAGAAGCACTTGCTGGTCCACTCCGGCGCCAAACCGCACAAGTGCCCCATCTGCGGGCGGGCCTTCACCTTCACCAGCAACCTTAACGCCCACGTCCGCCTGCACTCCGGCGAAAAGCCGTTCAAGTGCGAGATCTGCATGAAGGCATTTCCCACGAAGAAGCGCCTCAACAGCCACCTGCGCGTCCACAACAAAGAGGCGCCAGTGAAGGCCACCAACGGCGGCCAGGCGGTTGACCATCGTCGTCGGGGCGTGGCAGGGGGCGCGGGGGGTGGCGCGGGATCCGCCCTGCATCTGAGCGAAGTACCTGAGCAGCCGGTGTCCACCTCCAAAGTGGTGGTGGTGCTCTGAGCGGATTAGGTTCTAAGACTAGTCTAGGATTTTTACATTTACGACCATGTTGAACTGTTGGAACACCAAACATTAAACACACCCTGATGACACTGTACCATGTACGGGTTTTTTATATCACATAAGAAAGTATGCGTTACTTGTAAATTATTGCGTTACCAATTTATGGTATCGTTAACGTTTTGTGTATCATCATTCTTATGCATTCTGCTTGATTAGATAACTCAGAGCTGCATATTATCAGACTCCCTCTACTTTAGGCATTAAACACATGGGTTTGATATGTTTTTGGTTTTGCTTCTAGGTCATTTGTGTATAATAGTATTAATAAGATTACATTGCCAAACAACAAAAACAAGCAAGTTAAGGTATTTATTAAAACAAAAACATTCGCCCTATCTATCCCGAGGCAGCAATAAAAAGAGCGCGCCTTCCTGCACCCAACTCCTACTATAAATCGGCAGAAAATATGGCCAGTGTGCTGCTCCGGGTCCAGGCTATGCTCGCTGCGTGCATTGGGGCAGGCGAAGGGTGGATGTGTGGACGCGGAGCGGGTGCGCAGGATTGCCGGCCTCCTAGCGCCCGAGAATGTTGCGCGACCACTGCTTGACCATGGGTTTCGTCTTTGACTGCTCGATGCGCTCTGCCTCCTGCATCTGCTCGGCCAACTTGCGCTGGTTGTCCCTGAACTGGCTGATGGGGTCGTCAAACTGCCGATAGTAATGCAACACCTCGCGTACGTCGTCCACGTTGTTCTGGGCAATTACTGTGGAGTACAGGATGGAGTTGGTTATTGAACTTCGCCCACGCCAATCGGGCGCAACTCACTCTTCAGGAAGGCGATGAGGTCCAGCAGCTGACCGTCGTCGTCGTTGCCGTGCCAGCGGGCCAGGCCAAATGTGTTGTCCGGGTGCATTTTAGTGGCATTCGCGTCCCAGTCGATGACGATCACCTAAAACGGCAAATGTCTTAGGCAACCAGTTACAAAAAACGAACTCTAACCTTTCTCAAGTCGCGGTTCAGATTGTCGAGGTTCTTCACGTGGTGTCCGTCAACAAAGTGCGTGGCGTCCCTGACCAGGCGGTACATGATGTACCCGTTAGGGTCCAGGGCGTCCAGGATGGGGAAAACGGTCATTCCCTGCTCGGCGGTGAAGACGACGATCTCGAAGTCCTTGGCGCACTCGGCCAGGAAGTGGTCGACACCGGGACGCTTCTTGAAGCGCCAGCCGGTCTGGTACGTCCAGTCCGGGTGCACTAACACATCCTTCATCTCCAGGACAAGCGTGTACCGCGGCTGCACGTACGGCGGCTTCAGCGGATCGGGCAGCAGCTTGGCCCGCGACGGCTCTTGGATCATCCGCTGGTAGTAGTGGATGCTTTTCCACATTCGCTGCAGGTACTGTTGCACCAGCGGCTTGTGTGAGAATTCGTCCTCTATGGTCTGCCCTGTGGGGTCAACCTCAGGCTTTCCGAACTCGTAGACGGCCCATAGTCCAGCGGCCACGCCACCGCCTCCAAAAATCGCGAAGCTGCGGGCGAAGGGGTTTCAATGTGAGTGAGTGTACGCAGTTCGCGGTGCAGTGGCCGTGGGGAACCTACCCTAGCTTCATACGCTTCCAGGCACGCTCGTTCTCCTTGGCCTCCTCCTCCTCCCGTTTCTGGCGTTCCTGCTCGGCGCTAGTGTCCACCTCGGGCGCGGTCTGGGGGAAGAGCTTGGCCAACAGCGGAGCGTTGGAGCCTGCTGGTGATGCCTCCGGCCCGGATCCGCCCGTTTCCTGCTCTGAAGGAGAGAGAGGTGTGTTGAAGTGCGGGCTCTGTAAGACGTCCTGCCGACAACTTACTGGCTGTGCTGCTGTAGCCGCGGGCTGTGTGCTGGACCGAAGGCAGCAATGTGGCAATGGCACGGTGCGGGTGGAGCTGGTGATGAAAGTGTTGAGGCTGGTGATTACCCAATGCGCGGTTCTGGTGGATACGGGCGAGAACGCGCGGCGTACTTAGGCCGCGCAGCATCTGAAGGACGGTGGCCGGTGCCATGCTCATTCTACCCAATTTTAAGTCCTTGCGCCGAATACGAGTCCTGCCCGCTAGCAGCGACTTTTTTCTTTCAGATTTCCAATAAAATATTCTACCTCGCACCGGCTCGTCGAAGGCGTTAGGAATTTTGGGGCCTGTCGCCAGCAAGCGTTAGTACCTTTGGCACGTGGTGCACGCCAGTGGTGCTTCGCCCATTACAAACCAAGTCTGACGGGTTTTTCGGTATATCGGCAATCGGCAATCGATAACGGGAGGTGCAAGGCAGGACGCGCATTAAAGATTTATTTTCTTAGCTGCCACTAAAGTGTAAATGTCAGCATGGAGGCAATGTCGTTGGAGCAGCCGGGCTCCATTCCACAGCCTCCCTCTCCAAAGGATGTCTTCTGCCGCGTTTGCAACAACTTATCGCCCCTTTGTTTGCCGCTTTTCAAACCGCTTTATGGCTTGATTGCCGGTAAGCCCACAACTCTGGCCAAGATTTTGAGCTATTGCAGCGGACTGCAGATCCTGGAGACAGAACTATTTCTGCCGCACCACATTTGCCCCCACTGCGTGGTCGGCTTGCGGCTCTCTCTGCAATTTAAGAGAAAGGTCCTTTGGATGGACAGGAATCTAAGGCAAAGTCATCTGGGGTGTGGCCGTTCCAAAAGGACTAACAATGCCACAAATGATTTTATACTTGTGCTTGATGACCAGGAAACAATAAACGCTTTCCACCAGGATCCGACAAATTCAGTAGACCCAAGCCCGCAAGTCGAAAAGCACCTAAATCTGAAAGCCTTGACCGAAGAAAAGAGTCAGCCGGTAGAGCTGGATCTACAGGAGGGAGGGCTGCATTTTGAACTTGAAACCGATGAACAATTCGCGGATATGGAATATCCCTACAAGGTCGCGAAGAATTCAGCACAAATTGTAGAAAAAGAAGAACTAGTGACACAGGCACTTGCGGCCAGCAAGTGCAGGCTTGGAAAAGCTCTTAATCCTTCGCTGCGGTGTCTGGTGGGCTTGCTCGCATCGAAAGAAAAGCGTTTCATAACGATATGTATCCTTTTTGCAGATTTGCCAAAAGCAAATGAGCTGCAAACAAACGTTTGAGTATCACATAAAGCTCCATGGCCCGTCCTACGATTGCATGGGAAGCAGTCCACAAAACACAGCTGCCAACATTGAGGAATGCAATGAACTCTACGATATGTTGAAGAAACCAGATCAGTCGTGGGCGACACAGAAACCCTTGGCCAGCAGGAGCAGGCCAAGGAAAGCTTCTAACGTCTCTCTGCAGTGTCAGGTATCTAGATCGAGTGCAAACAATTTAAGGACTTAAACGATAAGCACTTCTTTGATGCAGATCTGCGGCAAGCAACTTAGCACCAACAACTCGTTCAAATACCACATGCAGCTCCACGGCACTGCGACGCCCTTCGCTTGCAAGGTGTGCGACGAGTCTTTCAAGACGCGCAACGCCCTTAAGGGCCACGCGACGCTGCACGACGTGAACAACCCTAACAGGTGTCCCACCTGCGCCAAGGTCTTTCGCCATGCGTCTTCTCTCCGCACCCACCTGCTGATTCACAGCGGCAGCAAGCCCTTCGAGTGCAGCATCTGTGGCAAGGGACTGACCCAGAAGTCCGGGTACAAGAAGCACATGCTCACGCACACGGGCGAGAGGCCGCACGGCTGCGACGTCTGCGGCAGGAGCTTCCGCTACTCGAGCAACTTGATCGCCCACAAGAGGTGCCACAGCCAGGAGAAGCCGCACCACTGTGCCGTGTGCCAGAAGCGGAGCTTTGGCAGCAGGTCTGAGCTGAACCGCCATATGCTGGTCCACAGCAGCGAGCGGCTGTTCGACTGCGGCAAGTGCGGGAAATCCTTTAAGCGGAAGGTGTCCCTTAGCATCCACCTGCAGTCGCACTAACAGGCCGTAAAGGAGAGAGGCATGAATGGATTATCAGTTCAAATCAAGAAAGTATGTACAGCGAAAACCAAATACATTTTTAGAGGTCAGACCACTCTTGAACTTTCGAAAAACAGTTTTTTCTTCTGACAATCAGTTCTACGTAAACATTGTGGATATTAAGGACTAAGGGAAAATACAAAGACAAGGAATAAAATAGGTAGCACTTAGAACTCGAATCCATTTTCAATTCAGCACTCACTTGTAGAACTAGAAAATAGTTATCGGTACTTATGCTTATATATTCCACAGAAGTTAAGTTTATGTTCGCTTTTATTTTCGATATTTGCCTTTCCATAACAAGTTTCAACTGTTATTGTTACAACTAGTATTAAAGGTTGTGTTGTTGCTCTCGCCTAAATTACGCATTAAATATCTAAGGTTAACAAGGAGCGGGATGTGGCAGGGAAAACAATTCCAGACTTATGGAGCCTTTGAGTTTTGTTTTTGGGAAACTTGGGTTCGCGGACAGGGGGTAATCTCTACACAAATGGAAGGTTGGTGTTAAATGCTAGAGAACTACATATGCTGAACCGATCTTACGTGCTATAAACCAATTAGAGGAGTGTGGAACAAGTGTGCGAGCGAGAAGACAAAGAAGGACGCTGAGAGAGTGGCTCTATAGCATGATACATAAAAATAATGTATAAATAAATATATATGTTAAGACAATGTGAGTGCTTGCTAATACTTGGCAGACATAAAATGAGAATAGATCACAAGGAGTGGTGTAAAACATAGATGCTAGTTCATTCAACATGTGGGATGAATAATATCAGTTAGTGAAAAAACCTAGGACAGGAGACTTGGAGGCACACATGGGTTCTATTCCTCTCGTTGCTCAGGGCGCGGAATTGCGGACAAAGACGATGCAAGCACGTCTGAGTTCCAGCAGTTACCATTGCTAATCCTTTTCCTGCTGCTGCAGCAGGGCGGCGATCTCCTGGAATTTGTGACGGAAGTCCACGCTGCTCTCGCTGATTACCGACATACTCGACGAGGGGTCCTTCGGAATGGAGAAACAGTCACATCGATTTGAAATGCTTTGGAAATAGAGGGCTTACCAGTATATCCCTGGTTGCGTCGATCTCGTCCAGATGCCCCAGCAGCGAGGTCAGCGAGAAGTCGTTGATGTTTTCCTCCAGCCAGCGTGCATTGGAAGTTGAGTCTCTGAGCAAGTGCATCGGGCTTACGCTGCCGTGGAAGAAGTTTTGTGCTGCCAGGAAAAATATGGTATTTAGTTGAGAAAAAAAAAAACAGGAAAACGTCAGGGCTTGCTCATCAGCAATGCTGGTAAATCTTAGATTTCTATATATGCCTACTTGTGCTCTCGTCCTGGACAGCCTCGGCCAGGGAACTGCTCACTCCGCTGCTGCTGGTAGCCACACAAAAGTCCAAGTTCGGCATGTCCCGACCGCCGCCCTGGGCGGATGCCTCGTCGAGGAACTGCACTGCCTGCTGGTGCTCCTGTTGCTGGCCCTGCGAGGCTCCACTCGCATTTGGGTCGGATACGGAGTCGGAGGTGCCGACGCCACTGGAACCAGAGCTGGTGCCGCCGAGCACCTCGATTGGCTCGAAGAGGCCGCTGTGGAGCTGCCGCGCGCTCAACGGATCGTATGGACGACCCCCCATTGAGGCGGGGTGCAGGAGTCGACGCTGCACGAGTACCTGGCGACTGATCTTCTGCCGCGTGAGCTGGAAAAGGGGAACAGCGTTGCAAATCACTCACGAGGCATATGTCTGGTCGCACTCACCGCTGAAAGCTGTCTCACGGGGTCTATGATGTTGGCTATAGGCCGCCGCACCGGGAGCATCGGGGTCCGGAAGCTGCCGTCCATCACGCTCACTCCGCCGGCAGCCGCCGCCTCCGCCAGCTGCTGCGCCTTGCTGACCAGGTCCCGCTTGCGGTCGCAGGTGTGGCCGCAGGTGCACTGGCGCTTGCGCACGCGCTCGCTGAGATTGGCCACCAGGAGCAGGTGCTTCAGCCTGTTGCTCACCGACGAGCTGGCGACAGCCTTGACGCGTTCAACGCTATCACAGTCGTTGGGGTTGTAGGGCAGCGAGGTGCTCGGATTGATTGCGAAAGCGCTGGGGGCGGAGGAAGAGCTAGCTGAGGCGGCGGAGGAGGAGGTAGTGCCGGCTTGGACTTGGGTGGAAACCGCCGAGCTGGCTTCGGCCGCCAGGCCCGTCGCATTTTCCATCTCGCACCAGTAGTACTCGAGCTCGAGCTTGGAGTCTTGGCCGAAGACCACGTACAGATCGCCTATGGTTATGTCCGCAGCATTGGCCTCCGTCCAGCCCTTGCGGATCCGCTTGAGGATCTCATCGCTCAGCAGCGGCTTAAAGTTTCGAGCCTGCGCCGCTGCTGCCGCCTCCTTGGCTTCCTTGCGCTTGGAGCGAGCTGCCGGGGGAGCCACCAGGGAACCAGCCGCAGGAGTAGCAGCAGCAGTTGCCGATGGAGCAGGCGGCTCAATGCCGACTGGTGGAGCCGGCGGGACAAGAACAGGATCAGCGGGAGTTTCGGGCACAGCAGCCCGAGCTAGGGCCTCAGATGAAGCCGTAGTCGCGGCTGCCTGCGATTCAGCAGTGGCCTCCACAATGTCGCCGAGAAACTCCTGAATCTCGTCGCCCAGCTCGTCGCCGCTGCTGTTCTCCAGCTTTAGTAGGTTTCCCTCCAAAGGAACGTCGTCCAAGCTCTTCTCCAGCGGTGGACTGGCACCAGACTTGGGCTTTTTGGCCTCCGGCGAACGCTTCTCGGAGCCACTTTCCGTCCTGGGTCTCTTGCCGGCCGCCGCTGCAATGCCTGGCAAGCTGCCCAGCGTTTCGCTGCGCACCTTGAAGCCCAGGCGCTCCTCGTAGGCGGTCAGGCAGATGTTGACGCTGCTTAAATAGGCGGTGATGCTGAGCAGCGGTCGATGGATTGCCACTCCCGGCCTGGGCTGAAAGCACAGCGAGGGATCCAGCGACGGAGCCGCCGGCTGCAGAGTCTCCGGCTCATTGTTGTTCACCGAGGCGCTGGTGGCGGACGCAGCGGGGCCCAGGCTGCCGAGGAAGAATGCGGTCTTCTCCTCGTGCAGACGCTGATTGGCACTCCGCCATTTGTACTCGAACGTCTTAATGAAGCCGATCAGCTTCTTGTGCAGCGGAACAATGATCCTGCTGCGCGGATTCTGGGCCAATGACTGCACTCGACCGAAGGCCTCCATGTTGGCGGGCGTCACCAGCACTTCCACCTTGCTGGGCAGCCGGATGTCCTCGAGGGAATCTGTTGGCGGGCAAACGTTACACAAGGGGTATTCGGAAGCACGTGGTCTTAAGGAAAGAGTGTTTACCATCTAGTTGATTGAGGCGCCGGAGCGCCTTGCAAGACGGCGTTTTGATCCGGATATTTTTGCCCTTGCAGCGCACAGTGATCTGTCCCTGGTAAACCAGCTGCTTCAGCTTCATGAAGTGTTTCTCCGTGAGAAACTGCAGCTTGCGGCGCATCTCGCCGTAGTTAATCAACGTGTACAGCTCCTGAGCAAGCTTTTTGAGTTCTGAAAATCAAAAAATGATTGGATAAATTGGATAAAGGGTCACAATGTGATAAAATTGCTATACATAAATGATTTTAATAGAAAACCCATAGAAAAATTCTAAGAAAAGTAAAGATTAGAAAGGTTCTTACCCTCCGAGTAGCGCACATATTTGCAGATCTTGTGGTAGGTCTGGTAGTAGTGCTGGCGCGCCTGATCCTTGGTCTTGAAGCTATAATCGCTGCTCGCGTTGCGCCGCTTCAGCTTGGCGTTGATGCAGTTGGCCACCGCCTCGAAGTCCTTGCCAAACTCGTTGAGCGCGTCAAAGAAGCAGTTGCGCTCCACGTTTGTCCAGGTGGTCTTCCCGCTGCCCGTCCTCAGCTGGCTGGGCGTCTTTTGAGCGGCCTTCTCGTCCTTCTTGCTCGGCTCCCGCTCGCTGGGCGGCGGTGTCATAGGACGCGTCTGGTCCTGCTTCATTTTCTGAATGACCCGAGCACTGGCCCGCGTTCCGGGGCAGTTGTGGGTGGTAACTGAGCCGAGAAGTTCTTCCTCGGGTAGATGGATCTTAAAGTGCACTCCACTCTTTCCATTGGGCAACGGCTCCTCGACGGAAACGGCGGGCGGGGGCGGTTTGCACGGGTCCTCCATGTTGGCCAGTCCACATCCGCTCGTCGCCTATGCAGGATTGCAATTGGCAATGTCAATTAAACTGCGTAGTCTTCCGGGAAAAGGGAGAAAAATGGCGCTCGCCGGACTCTTTTATCGTTTGTAATTGCCGCCGGAGCGGGCGTCCGGTGAGTCCTCCCGCAAATCCGAAAGAGTCCTGGACGCTTCACTGAGCTCCGGAGGACACTCACCTAGAAATCGGACATGGAAAATCGGTGCAATGGCTTTATAAAAAAAAGTTAAAATCAAGACGCCAGGGATGTTGATGTTCCTAACAGAGTGCCGTTAACAGTGAGCTGCGTGCTGTTAGGCGCAAGGCGCTCGCTGTTATTTTGTTTCGTCAATGCTTAGTGCTGACTGCCCAGCCATAATCCAGGCGCACTTGGCTATTGTTTTCTGGGGCAAAAGATTGTTTGGCAAAAATTTCGGACTTCATAGTTAGTAAATTGTACTGAAATAGAATTTTAAGCGTCGCTGGCAAGGAAGAGTTTAAAATTAAATCAAATGTGAGCAATTGTAACCCTAACAGTAAATTAAGTAAAGACATAAACCACATTAGTCATGTTTTACAACATGAGAACTAACATCAACAGAAACTTGACAGATTTTTTTAATGACCTTCTAAATCCTTACAGTTTTTCAATTATATTTTCCAACTTTTTATCTTCGGTTAATGTTCAGTTAATAAGCTTCTTTCCAAAACTTTAAAAAAAAATGTTATACGAAATTTGACAGAGTATTCTTTAAATTTAATTCTCAATTAGACCCACTCCGTCCTATAAAAAATTCTATCGAGATCTGTTAAACTTTTTACCGCTATTCGTGGAATTGCGAAATTCCTCTTCCTCTTTCCTTCGCGAGCATCGGTGCATCAACACAAGCACGTGTAGCTAAGTGCCGGGAAAAGTTAAATAAATTGAATTTCACTTATTCTATATTGTAAAAAGTGTTAAAAACCGAATACTTGTTAAGCAAAAAATTTTGTTTTCGTGAGTGTTTTGAGTTTGGCTCGGTATCTGCGGTTTTTTATTCGTTGAAGCCTGCAGTTTTCTTTCCGGAACCAGGAATTTTGTACTCACATACATAGAAATGTGCAAGCAACTTTTTTGCATTTGTAAATGTGTGTGTAAGACTGCAGCTAGATCGTGTGAATTTTGATGGTAAGTAAAGGGAGTAAAAAAACATTAATACATATATTAGGAAATGCATATGATTATTATAATGGTATATTAAATGTTTTTTAACATATTCCCAATAATATGTTTTTGGCTTACCTTTTTTTCAAATGAAAAAAGTTGTGGAACAAAGGGAATATTATTTCTGTTATAAAGTTTATTTTTTTTAGACTACAGCTTAACAAAAAAAAAAAAAAATGTCTTACGCATCACAAATAATAACCAACAAGAAGTAATACTATTAAAATGGCTGCAAGTATCAAGACGAGCATTATTTTTTTCTGCCAATGAAAAAGGGAATAAGATGTATTCAGGTTAACTGGTACCGCATTCCGAATTTTTCCTTACCTTCCGTGCCTTTTTTTGGTGCTGTTCGGCCTGGTCCAGCTCGTCAGCACCTTTGTCCACGTGGATGGTAGCCTGCTGGGCGTGGAACTCCACCCGCTGGATCACCTCGCTCTGCTCCATCACTAATGTTTGGATGCGCATAAACAGAGCGTGAACCTCCTCGATGGACTTTTCCAAGCGACGAAGCTCGTTAAACCGCTCCATCATCTCGCGGAGCGTCTGCCGCTCCTTCTCCGTCTCCTGTAGATACTGCAATTTAAACCAAAATAACATACATATGTATTTCAGTAATTGAAGTTATTGAATCACAATGACTGTGGTTTCTGTATATAAAATGCAGACCACAAACGGCGACATTATTTTTAAGCTTTCAATGGCTTAAGAAAATGTATCCCAAACTGCGTTCCTCCTATACAATATTTTGTTTAAGCGTAACATATAGCGTATATAACGTATACGTACTCATGTCGTTGCTTCAAACATAGAATTATTCAATGCTATATTTTTTGTTTTGCAATGACTTCCATGCTTACATTATCCACAAAGAGTTTGGTTGTCTTGTTCTCGATGAGTAACTCTATTTCTTGTTCGCTGGCTTCTGAATTAACTGAAAAAAAAATACAAAAAAATAAATTATTTCTTTCTCAAAACGAGTTTCCTCACAATACCGCGAAGTATTGAACTAAATTTACTTCGCAACTTGACATTCACTTAATTCACTTTTTTACCACTTTTCGATTCCAAATTTTTTTTTTAGTTAACAGCTTTACTATTAAATGCACATTTTACATCTATATACGTATAATTTTTTGTTTAGTTCATCCACATTCCCCCTTTTTCCATATACTCACTGATTTTTGTGTGCAGTCTCAAATTCTTTTTGACTTTTGCCTCGTAGTTTTGCAGAAATAGTTCGTTTTTATGCCAGAGATTAATGAAAGTCTGGTGCAGTCCGTAAAAGAGGGTCCTTTTTATTCTTGCCTCCAAGCTGTAATCGTTCTCCACTGGTAGATTCGACTTGAAGTCCTTGAATCGCGTCATCAGCTGATTGCCTATCCTCAGGTTCTTGCTGTGAAGCTCATCCATCTCGTTTTCTGGGGATTATTTTTATAAATATGTATTCTTTATTCGATAATATTACCAATCCTAAGACTCACCGTTGAACGTTCGCAGATTCACGGTTTGGGACATTCTGCTCATCGTCTCCAAATTGGCGGCAATCTGTGCGAGTTGTTGTCGTATCTCTGTGTACTGAAAAGGGTTTAGTAAAGTTCGAGCGAAAAAAAATCAAAAAAATTAAAATTAACTAAAATGGAATTTTATTTGTAAAGCTTTTTACATTTTTAATTTTAGAAAACTTTCTACCAGTTGATAGGTGCAAAATATTTGTTTACATTAACAGAGAGTTAAGAGACCCCATAAAAAAGAGGGCGGGACTTTTCTATAACCTCCTCTCTTCAATCCTCTCGTTATCACATCAAATACGGTTGATAAAAAAAAGGTTATTTTTTTTTACACTTATCACGAGTTTTTGTGCGACGCCGGTAGCGATTGAGTAATACAGCTGATTCATATACAAAAAGAAAACACTTCTCTTTATTTCCCGCTCTCTGTTTAAAGTGAACAGAGAGAAAGTTTTACTAGTTAACTGGACATTGTTAGGGTTAGAAATAAAATATATCTTGTAGATATCTACATATAAGTTTGCGCACTATCTTTAAGATCCTGTTAGACAAATGTCACAAATTTGAACAAAACTTTGAACTGTAGTTATTTTCAAAAAATTAAATAACAAATCCTTGTCTTCAACTCACCGGATTGAGTATTTCATCCACATTCGAGCCAAGCTGCGACATTTTCGAGCTTAACCGATTATTGGATTCGACACTTTTTGTATTATTATTGTTGCAGTTTTGGCTAATGGCACTGTAGCTGTTGTTACCACCGGTGTTGTTGGTCAGGAACTCCGTGGTACCATTGTACACGTTTAAAAGCAATGAACCGTTGGATGACGAATTTGAGTTTGAGTTCGTGCTTAGCGAGCGCTGGCAAAGAATATGTATTAAAAAAAAAATAAGTTAAATAGGTCCATGCGATCTTAGCGAGCTGCAGCGAAAAACTGAGAAAAATCAAATAGAAACTACCAACTTTGGTTGAGTATTTACGTTTGGTGTGCTTACAATCTGGCGCGGTGTAAATGAACAATAAAAATGACTATGGTGCTGAAATTCAGTTAGTGCTGAAACTTTGCACGGGCGACGGGCAGCCCATTCAGTGTGATGTGTAGCTCCAGTATCGCCCTTATCTCTGGGCGATCTGATAAACACCCAAGCGCGCCCCCCCACCAAACCCCTTGGGCTATCAAGGCGAAACAGTGCCAAAGCGCCAATAGAACTGTGAGAAATCGAGCAAATTGTGAAGGAGACAACAGAACAGTGATTCTTTGAAATTTATTTTAAGTCTTTAGAGATTCGTAAGAATTAAGTTGCGAAAGAATCCCAAAAGGACTAGTTATGAAAATGTGGTGACCAATTGGTGTATTGTAATATGAAGAAAAAACAAAAAGGTTATTTTTTTTGTATGTTTACCTTTTTCAGATGAGGAAAAAAACTAGTCACATAAGTTTATTTTGAAATGTGGTTTGTTTAGATTTCAAATTACTTTTAATCACTGTGCTTTAAACTAATTAGTAGGTAGCAGTTGCCTCGTTCACACCACATTCACACCCCCTGCAATCGCCGCCCACATTCTTAGAACATTCGTATTGTCGCTTCTCTTACCTGTAAAAGCTCAGGAAGTCGATCTTTCCCCATTTTTGATTGGCTTGGATTGGCTTGTACTCGATTTTCAATTTATAGTTGTTATCTATAGAATTTGGGTTTTTTTTTTAAATATTTTTCAACAATTCATTTAAAATTTATTTTTTTCCGTCTGGCTTTCGAGCTTTGTTCTTAATTTTTGTTGTTGCTGTTACTTCCAACAGCTGTTTGCGAATGAGAATATGAGCTCGAGAGCGCAAAAGAGAGGGAAATTTAGCACTCTATCTGCTATCAAAGCTAATCAGCGCGTTTCTGATAAGAAACCTTGCATATACATTTACGGAAAGCCCTTCTCACAAAGAGAAAAAGACGATTGCAAATTAGAGAGAGAAAGAGAGGGGCTTTTCAATAGACCACGTTAGAGAGAACAAAACACATCACTATGTATTATCACCTTTTTGCCATTTATTTTCCGTTTTTTAATTAAATTTTTCTTTCTCTTGCTTTGCCACACTTCTCTGCACACACAACAAAAAAGATTACAAAAATTATTTTCAAAAATTTTCTTTATTTAGTTTGTATGCACTTTCGATTTATTGAAAATCGAATTCTTTGTCTTGACCGCGTCGCATTCGTTTTCAAACTGAAAAACTGACGCCGGCACAAAAGCCCAGAGCCTCCAAGTCGCGCCGAGATTTCTTTCAATTCAAAAAGATTAAAGACAGCGAACACTCTGTACACTTGAGATCAAAATAATATGTTTTGTAAAAACGGAAAACATTACAATATATTGAAAAATATATTCATATTAAAAAGTAATATAAAATCAAGTTTGAAGACGACGTTGTACAATGTTGAACTTCATATAGAGTGCAACAACAACATTTAAAATAAATCTTTTTACACAATGGAGCGCCATTAAAATATATTTGTATAGGTATACTTATATATTTCTAAAAAAAACAAAATAAAAACTCAAAAAAGTTTATTAATTCATAATAAACGCTTTTTTTGTGCCCACGAAAAAAATTAAAATGACCATTCAAAAAGTTTTTAAAAAATTCCGTGTACAGTATCATATTTTTTCAAGCACGGCTGTATTTGATACGTTCGTGTGCTTCTGCTTGAGAGCGATAATGATGGAGACTCATACTATATTATGTGTAGTTAGTTACGATCTACATATTTGTTTGTATCCGAATGAAATACAGAAATCGTCTTTTGCCCTCGAAATGAAAACTGGTTTGCTCGGCTAGAAAAGTGTGCTAATTGTTTTTTATTATTGTTATTACTCTGCTGTATGTTAAATTCTTTCAACATTGTTCTGTCTGTTGCTGCAGTACATTTTACGCTTCATGTCGCTGTTCAATTGAAAAAAAAAAATAAAAATAAACTTGCGACGACAACGTTCAAAAGTCACTTGCGCTAATTAGTTGAACTTTTTCTATTGCCGTTTTCTTGCTGTAATGCCCCCATATGCAATTAACAGGGTATGAACGGATGGGACTGTTTCAAATATTTATTTCTTATGATGTATCTTTTTTATAAATATTTAATCCAGTTTCATTTTAATTATGTAAACTCTGGTTTTTTTAACGTTATTTAATTAAGTATTTGCTGATTTTTTGGTGCTACTTTTATTAAGTTGTGTAAGCAAAAGTGTTGCGCTTTTGATGCCTACAGGGTATTTTTTTATTGACAATTTTGCGGTTACAAAACGAAACTAATGAACTTTCCTCAAGTACGTCAATAGCAGTAATACAAAAATAAATTACGTTAACACCAGACAATTGCAACTTTTAATTTTTCATTTAGTTTGCAATTCTTGTCGAGATGCCGTGCCTGCCAATAAAGATAATATAAAGTTTACAGCAAACTCTTATAATATAATAAATTAGTTGTAATATTTTGTTCGAATTGCCAAGACCAGGTATTATTTCTTAACCGCGGGTTGGCATGGTATCAATAAACATCTTTTGAGGATTATATTACGTCCAAGTGTCATTTATCTGGGAGGTACCGATGGGTGAATGCCCGTTCCCTTTGTTCCCTTCTGACTCATCGCTGATTGGCTGAACGGTTATTAAAGCTAATTTTATTGTTGAAAAGTCGTTAAACACATTAATTTATAAATATGTAGCTTATAAAGTCATGAGTATGTATTGTGTATTATAGTGTTTAACAAAGCTGTTTTCAATTTAAGAAGAGTGGAGAGAAATGCATTACAATGCATTTCCATAAATTGTCAATAAGTTGACTTTAGCAACATCAACAATATGCTCAATCATAATACCATTGCAGAGGGTATTAAAATTTCAGTCAGAAGTTTGAGGTGAGTTTGAAGTGATCGAGAAACCTTAGACCCCATAAAGTATTTATATTTTGGATCAGCAGATCCTGTTCTGTTTTGCGCTACTATCCAAGTTAACACTGTTAAGAGAAGTCTTACATTCAGATGTTATACACTAATCAATATAGAATAAAATATTCTATATATTATATTTCAATTAAAATTTGAATTCTCCTTTTGGACAAAAAAAAAAAAAACTAATCATCTTGAAGTTTTATCCAGTATATGTAAAAATAATGGAAATAATGGGAATTGTTAAACTCGTGTTTAAATTCCAAAACGACTAGTATTTAAAGTTCTAAGTACTCACTGCGACCCATCCTCGGTGAACTGCATCTTGTTGTCCAAGTTAAATTGGAGCCACATCTCTGCTGCAGCTGCTTTTCAAGCACCCACTAACTCGAAACCTGAAATAAATAAATAAAAACAAAAATTTAATTATTAAATTGCATTTACAGAATGCCCAGTGCCGGATTAGCCATATAGCAGGAGTAGCAAATGCTACGGGCCCCGCGCATTGGGGGGCCCCGCGCGGCCGCGCTCCAACTCCTACCTATCTGATCGTAAAAAAAAAAATTTAGATAGGAGCCTAAAAATAATTTGCATGACTTAAGTATGGTCAGTGCTTACGAAGATGATTTGGAGAACAGCCTAGGTGGCGAATTAGTGCAGTTCGCAGAGCTGCTGAAAACAGATGTGGCTACTGTTATTGACAGCACGAAACAGGAGCCTCTGGAACAGCAATTTTATAAACTTTTATTAAATAAGTCTTTAGAATCGTGTTTCCCAAACTTAGAAATTGCCTTGCGCATTTACTTGTCTCTCATGATCACTATCTGCAGTGGCGAACGTTCTTTTTCAACATTAAAACGTATTAAAAATGAATTAAGGAACACGATGGGCCAAGAACGTCTTAATCATCTCACTTTGTTGAATATAGAGCATGATTTGCTTAAAGAAGTCGATATTGAAAGTGTTATCTCTAAATTTGCCCATATTAAATCCAGAAAAGTTTATTTGTAACAATTTTGTTTTATTTAATACCCTAAACTTGAGAACCTAAAGCAAAGCAAGGGCCCCTTGACAGAATTTGCTACAGGCCCCGCGCTAGCTTAATCCGGCACTGAGAATGCCACGTAATCACTTACTTTTTCGGGTCTCCGATACACTGCATCCGAAAGTCCACTTCCAGTGGAGTCATCTTCAGGGAAGAATACGTATCCAAAATTTATTGAATTTCAAAAAATGGTACCTCCTCACATGGATGCTCTGCATCCTGGAGTTGGGCCATACCGGTGATGCATTGCATACCGGACTCCACTCAAGGCGGAGTTCCCTTACCCAAATTTATTCAACCCCAAAAAATGGTACCTCCTCACATGGACGCTGGACGCACTGCGTCCTGCATCCTGGAGTTGGTCCATAGCGGAGATGCGTTGCATCCCGCACTCCACGCTAGGCGGAGTTACCCACAGGGGGCATACTTATCCGAATTTATTGAATCCAAAAAAATGGTACCTGCTCACTCGGATGCTTGACGCACTGCATCCTGGAGCTGGTCCATAGGTGGTATCGCCATATAGGCGATACCACACACACACGCGCACAGCAAGAATCCGAAAAAGTTCCAGAAGGGAACTTCCGGTCAGTCCGGTCCACTAATTTATGGACCAAAATCAAGCCCTATCCCATGAGGAATAGACCAGAACAAGTTGGGAATTGTAAAAAAGGGTGGGCGTTAAAAATTTGAATTTCTCATTTATGATGACGTGGCCTATTTTAAATGTAATTAATTATATTAATATGAAAAAAAAAATCGTTAATATTTTGTTGGATGCATGATATTGCATGTTGCGTGCAGAATGTGGCAAGTGAAATGTCGCATGTGCCATGTGGCATGTTGCATGTTGCAAATTGAACGTTGCACGTTGCATGTTGTATTTTTAAAACGTTTTTCATCTTTTTTAATTTTTGAATGCTACTTGCCGTGTTGGCATTGATACGCAGCATTCACTGTACCCTTACAAATCGCACGATGTTTGTTTTCCTATGTCGGCTTTAGTTGTCCGATTTTTGTGAAGTTTTTCTTTTGACTGAAATTATAATGGTATCTGCAAGGGTATTATAATCGTCAAAGTTTTTATGTTGTTTAGCCTCAATGTATTATATTTTGTTCGACATATTTGAAGACATATTTTTATCATTTTTATGCCCAATATATTAAAGTAAACAACTACACTTTTTTATTTAATTGTATTTTATAAAACATATTAGTCATTAGCCAATAGGGTTTTATATCCCCATTTTTCTCCCAAAACACCACTGTTATTGATAAAATATAAATAAGGAGGCTTTTAAATGGGCAATATTTTTATGGATATTAAGTTTATTTTGCAGCTTTTTGTTAGTTTTCTCGGCTTTCAGCTTTTCTTTTGTTTACAATTTTTTTTGTCATGTGTCGAAAATGGCAAATTTATGAGTTTTTGATGAGTCTTTTTGTGCGTTGTCCCCACCTTAGTTCTTCTGTTATTATTTTTTGTTTGTTTTTATTTGGGTCAAAGTCTCACGCACAAAACGAGAAACGAAACTTCGTGGAAAAACGGGCTAGCTGGGAAAAGTGGTAGCTTTGAGAGAACAGGAGGGAAAACGGGGGAGAAAATCGTGTGCGCTTTTTGACTTTTGATTAAATTCGTACGAGTTAAAAAAAAATTTTTTTTCGTGTGGTATAATAAACAAAACAAAAAAAAAAATTTAACAAAACAAACAAATTTTCTGTTGCGGTTTTGCGTGGATTTTCAGATATCCTGTAATTGTATAGAATTAATTTATTTCCTTCATTTCACTCGTAGCGTTCAATTAAAAATATTGAAAAATATTGAATAAAAATTTCTAAAAGATAAACAATTTATGCTTTAAACAGAAATATTGTATGCTAATTTTTAAACAATTTAACATTACAATAATTTGTTAGTTATTTATTTCTAATTCGATAAAACCGATGTACCCGCACATATTTACCATATCAGCAAACCATTTTTTGATATTTCACATGCAAAAAAAAAGTAGACAAATTGCTTTTAAAGCCTTTAAGGCATGCTGCAAGTGCAGGACGATGGAAAAAGGATGCGAGGGCTGATCCGCACCAATTTAAATGCGCGCCCAAAACTATGCAACGAAATTTCATATTTCTCCTTTCCATTTTGCATAAAAGTCGCACCAACGAAACCAAAACCAAAAAGTTCCCTTTTGCACTCCCATGCTCCCATGCTTTTTTAAGTTGGTTTTTTGCTAATG